TTTTATTTGAAAGGTGCTTCTCATGTATATTAATTTCATTGGTATTGGATCTTGGGCTCCAGAAATACTTCGGGAATTCCTGAAAATCAATTATAAAATTAATACACAGCCGAGATATTAGAAGTCGGTCTTGTTTTTCGTTAGTAAAAAAATGGTTATTGATATGTCCGATCGCTCGCATTCTGACGTCATAAACGAACTTTAATGTTGCCAGTGACAATATAAATTGTTATTAACGAAAAACAAAACCGACATCAAGTATCAGAAGATACAATACCAATGAAATTAATATGGGACCACGGAGAAAGCACTTTTCAAAAAAAAAATTATCATCAAAATCGATTCACTCACTCGAAATTTGTGAGGTAACAAACATAAAAAAAAACCATCGAATTGAAAACCTCCTTGTTTAAGTAGGCTGAAAACAACCATTTGTACGAATTAAAAGGATAATGTTAGGGCTATCCCTTACGCTTTGGTGTGACAGGCCAACAGATATGTTTGTGAAAATCCTCCCTTGAATGTTGTTCCGTCCCCTTTGAAGCCACCCGCCACTGAAACTTCTTTTATTGACTTTCAGCGCACCACATATAACTAGTTGTAAATATTAGCTGTTACTATTTATTACTTAGACAGAACGTTGGGGGAAAGAGGATGTTAGTACTCGCATTGCTAATATTCTCAGTGGCGCAATATCAGTACACCAAGTACTCTTCGCTACATAGTATAAAACAAAGTCGTCCCGCTGTCCGTCTGTCCCTATGAATGCTTAGGTCTTTAAAACTACGCAACGGATGTTGATGCGGTTTATTTACTAGATAGAGTGATTCAAGAGGACGGTTTATATGTATAATTCATGCATAATGTAGTAGAGAAACACTGACAATTTAAGAGATTTCTAATGCAATGTCGAAAACAAAAAGCAGCATTGCACCCGTGCGAAGCCGAAGCAGGTAGTCGTCTTATATAATTGAACTTATATAACATTTTCTATTCTATTGTGTAAGAACTAAATAAATTTACTATATACAACGTGGCGCTACTACCGCGACCATAAATCAACACTCATACAGAGGATAACTTATAAAATTTTTATTAAACATTTAGTTTCTTTAAACATCAATATTTTTTTTTTTTGTGAAAAGTTGCCAAACGAGCAGACGGTTCACCTGATGGTGAGTAAATACCGCCGCCCATGGACATCTGCTACACCCGAGGGTTGCAGATGCGTTGACAACCTTTTGAAAATTGGGCTCCGGCTACCTCACTCACCAGACGAAACGCGAAAGTATTTGTCACACTCCACTTTACGCTGGTCTTCTGTGAGGTCGTGGTATTTACCCGGACGGGCCTGCCCATTCGTGCAACAGCCGAGGCTGCTGCGTGGCCCTACCACTCTTAAATTAAAAATATATTTACGGAGTTATTAAATTTTCCAAAGCAAATAATTTTACAACACCTGTACGTTTAAAACTATAACGTAAAGTTCATTTGTAAAGGCCACAAAGCATATGAGTTGATTGAAGAAATTTTAAAAGATAAAACATACTGTTAGGAGATATGTGGCATCGAATGAAAAAGTATCTGTATTTATGAATCAGTCTGTTGTAGTTGCACAGGATGTTACAAATTTTATTTCTTTTTTTCTTTAATTAGTTTGTTTTAATTTTTTTAACGTTTATATTTAGAATATAAAATATTTATGTAGCGTTAGAAGTGTGTTCATTTATATTCGCGATTGAAACCCCATGCTGTATAATAGAGTCGGCGAGGGTCGTCTGAGATATCTTTAAGAAAAACAATCGTCTACACAAACTACAACACAAATTGGAAAAACGCAAAAGTTGAGAGAGATCTAACTTTGATCTATTGTTCCAGTGGTGAAGTATCCACACGGGCATTTACAATTTCTTAAGATGAAAATGTTTTCTAATTATACTTTTGTTTCCTTCCCTCGAGCGCCATCGGAAAAAATTCTATTAAGAAGTTTGTAGTGGCTTTTCTGTGGTCGAAGTTTCGAGATTAATTTGCTGTGACGGCTGAAATAATTGTAATCTTGGATATTCGAAAGCTATTGTGGAACATTTAGTAGACTTATTAATAAATATATATACAAAGAGTAATTTCATCTGCATAGTTCCCACTTAAAAATGAATAATTGTTAAAATTTCTCCCAATAAATTATTAAAGCCGTGAACAGTGCAGACAGACAGTTTGATTATAAGCCGTACAAACATTCACTCATCAAAAGTAACACAGAGAATTTAGTCTGTCTTTTTCAGTGTTATCTTATAAAAAGCAAATTTTATGATTTTTGGTCAAAGTAGCTAAAAGAATCTGGTCTATCATTTTCAGACGTACATTATGAGAAGCAAATTTAACGATATAATATCGGCTAGTAAAGTCTACGATGTAACCGTTCACAATTGCTAGTTGTCTCAGTGGTGTACGCAAAATTCTAAAATAAAAGTAACTAAGTTACTACACTCTAGTTTTATTTATCTATATAGATTACGGGTGGTCGAAACGGTGACAGTAAAATATTTATTCTCTTTTTGTATTTTTTTAATGGAGCAGGTGGCAAGCGAGCTGGCGGTTCACCTGACGTTAAGTGATAACCGCCGCCCATAAACACTTGCAACACTCGTAGGGTTGCACTCGTTGCTACCTTACGAAGTGAGCCACGTTTACCTCACTCTCCACTACTTCGGTCTTCCCCGCATCGACCTGCCCATTGCACAGCGAAGTCTGTTGCACGAATGGGCACTACCACAATACGGCAATAAAGTAAGGTACAACTTACCGCCACTGGCATTTTAAATGAACGCAATAAAGTAACAGCCTATAAATGTCCCACTGGGCAAAGGCCTATCTAAAGAGGGTATCAGGTCGTAGTCCACCACGCGATCCCACTGCGGATTGGCGGACTTCACATATTTTCGAAACATTTTTGTTATTATTATTTCGAAAATATGCAGGTCTCCTCACGATGTTTTCCTTCACCGCCGAGCACGTGATAACTCAGCACTTAAAATTGACAATTTCATTGGCGCCGGCACCGGGGATCGAACTCAGGTTGCTCGAGTAAATGTAACTAAAGGACACTGAGCTATCACGGCTCGAGCGAACGCAGTAAGTGCAATTAAAGCGCGCTGATGCTGTAATGGCCAAGCAAAGCTGCGACGCAAACAAGCCATTAGTAATGCTAATTCTGGCGGAGGAAACAGTGCCCGGGAAAACTTTAACTGGATACCGCGGCGGCGGTTCTTCGTGAATGTACTCGCATATGTTTTTAAATATAGTTCCCTAAAAAACCACCTTAACAAATGTATCAATACATTTGCACGAGCAAGCAGGTAGTAAATGTTATACCTTTTGTCAAATCGATGTATACTCGTACAATACACATTTTAGACATGTTCGTTTGCCAAAGCAATTAATTTAAAAAAGCTCCACGTGGCTGAATCTAAATTTTGATATGAAACTTAGTTTGGTTTTATGTGTTTTATGCGCTTTTTATACAATAGCATACAATGGCAGAGTTAACTCGGCTAGGTGTTCGTCTACTAATCGACCGACAAATAAATAGAGAAAGTGTTTTTAATTCCCCTTTGTTGTCGCTTAATCCTATCCTTCTACGGCCCCTAATCATGTGAATGTGTATTCGAGTAAATACAAGAAATTATAACGAGCGGGATGAGTTCGCACACGCACAGTTAGTCCTGTTGAACGCGAGTTAAGTCGTTAATTTAATTAGTAAATGTCTGACGAAAGTTTCAATAATTTAACTACAAACAAAGTCCTCCCGAATCACCTCACAATACCGATGTCTCCTACAATTTCGAGATGTTTTCGCTTCATTCCATTTCATGTTTTCCTCGTCAGGGCGGTGGACAGGTCTCATCAGAAATTAATGGCTTGCCGCCATTAGTAGTCGACACTTGATTGACGATTTACGGGATAGATAAAGTGCGTTTAATTTGTTTTTATTACACCGTTGAATGATTGACGTTTTATTTTCAAAACGCAAACATGATAGTGTTCGACTATCGAAATACCAAATACAAAAATCTATTTTATAAGATATATATATATTAGAGTCCAGTTCTACCACCCATTAAAACGAATTGAATGATTTATTCAATTAGTCACACGTACATATCTATATAGAAATTGAGATACAGGTAGAGCTATTGCAAACAAAGGTTAGTTAGACATTCTTTTTTTAGGTATCCGTACCCAAAGGATAAAACGTGCGTCCCGGTATTACTAACAAATAGTTATCTGTCTGTCTGTTTGTATGTCCGTCGTGTCTGTCTGATTGACAACCTTAAAAAAGTGAGCCCCGGTTACCTCACTCACCAGTATACTAACCCCTCACGCCTGCCCATCCGGGCAAAAGCATTATTTACAGGAGATACTGAAGTTGTTTGCTTGAAGATCGTGCGCTAAAATAACCCACCCTCTTGGGCTTAACAAAACTGCACACGCACTAGCTACACATAATTATATAAAAGAACTGAGATCTCCTAAAACTTTAAGCGGTGCATTGAGTTCAGGATCACAGCAACAGCAAATAAGCCAGATGTCCTTGCAAAGGTGCGAAGGAATTTCAAATCGTGACAGCAACATGCATTAAGTGACGCAAATCGCACATTCATGAAAACCGCTTTAAATCAACTTCAATGATTCAAATTTATAATAGGCAAAATGATGACAGAAAACCAGATACAGAAAAAAAATATTAATTTATTTTTCGAATGCAAACAAATCTGAGAACTCTTTTTATTTATCAACGGCAGCTATCGGCACTTTAAGGCGCAAACGTAAGTAAGATGCATTTTGCTAGAACATTATCAAAATTAATTGAGACGGGTTCATATGTAGGTTAGTTAATATGCATAAGTAAACGTCAGTGTACGCGGAATATTATCAAAGATAATTGAGATTTTGGTTGTGAATATGAATAAATAAGTACAACAAAATAAATTGTATCGCTAAGTTTGCATGTATCGTCGGGCCAGTATCATCCTGCTTCGCGGCACTCTGCATTCGGTTAGCGGGTGTATTCGGTCACTCCTGACGAAGGCCTGGTCCTCTGCCAGTTCCTTTATAGCGGAGACCACCCCCACTTCGTCCAAAGGCATTTCGGGAGCGTCCACCACGCGCGACATCCAACGCGCCTCCACGCATCTAGAAGCAGCAAAGTGACAGCCTGTACACGCCCCACTGTTGCCCAATTTTCAAAGGTTGTCATGTCAACACATCTGTAGCCCTCGGGTGTAGCCCATGGATGTCGGTTACTTACACTTAGCATCAGGTGAACCGTCTACTCGTTTGGCAACTTTTCTCATTAAAAAAAAAAAAAAAAAAAAAAGCCGGAGCCTGATTTTGGCGGTATTCACTTAACATCAGTTGAACCACCTGCTCGCTTGGCAACTTTTCACATAAAAAAAGATGGTATTATCAGGGCATAGTCCACCACGCGACTTTACATATCTTCGAAATATTATTTTTTCTTATTATTTCGAAAATATGCAGGTTCCCACACCTTTACGCATAATCCAATAATGGAATTTATATTCTTCTATGACAATCAATGTTACACATTAAACGTAACGCCTGAGACTTCAAATTGAAACCAAATGCAATGCAGACAGCTATAACACTTTATTCTGATTTAACCTTAATACAGCTAAAACTTGCAAGCGAGTAGGCTGCATAAATTATATTTTTTTAAAAGGCCATTCACCACAACAGAGATGTCTCTGGGATTACCTAAGTTAACTGGTGACGGAATACTAGAAACATATGCTCACTTCTATTTTGCGCAAGTGTTCTCTTCTCCGGTGGAGCAAATCTAATAATGCAGCAATGCAGCAGTAAAACCTGCTATTTGGTAAAACCACAATATGTTAGACTGCGATAGAATTTAAATATCCTCTATAGAGGCATCGAGCGTGGTACAGATCTGATAATACAGCTGTAAAATATGCTGTATGGTAAAGCCACAATACGTTGGACTCCGATAGAATTACATGACCTCCGCCGAGGCAAACCGTTGACTCTACGGTGTAGCAGATTTAATAATACAGCAGTTAAAGATGATGAGTAGCAAAACCACAATAAATTGAACCGCGATAGATTTATATAATCAATACCAAGAATACCTGTTGAGTCTACGTATATTACTCACGAGGGGCACGGGTCCGCTGGCACCAGGAGATTGATCGGCACCGCGGTCCAAAACTCCGGTGATTCCAGGTGGACAGTGTATTTCTTCAGGCGAGAGGTCCCACTACGCTTTTGGACATGGCGCTCCTGTTTACGAACCAGGATATAATACCAAACAAAAAAATCGCCAAACATGACTTGATGAGCTTATCTTATCAGCTATATATATATATATATATATAGCAGAGATTTCAGAACTCGGTAAGGATTCACTTAAATATTGTAGGAAAATCCAGACGGCGCCACGATCGATGGATATAATTATCAACATAACCGTTTTTAAATCCTATAACGTATAATTTAGTCGATGTTGGTTTCGTTATTTTTAAGTGAGAAAATGCAAACGAGCTGGCGGTTTACCTGATGTTAAGTGAGAACCGCCGCCCATGGACATTTGCAACACATGTAAAGTTGGTACCTTTTAATAAAGTGGGCCCCGGCTAGCTCACTTACGAGACCAAATGCAGAAGTGTATCACTCCAACTTAACACACGGACGGACGTGCCTATTCGTGCAGCAGTGAATGGCTCTACCAAAGTTAAAACTCATTTATATTATATTGTTATGCTCACATAAAAATACGCAGTCTGAATGAGTTCCTTGATTTTTTCAGAGATGAGACTGAAGGTCAAGTCGAGGCGGTAAATCGAGGGGCCCTTGTCCCCTAATAAGTCACGAAAAGGATCCAACGAGCAATCCAGCATCCTGAAATAACGCAAAAACATTAAAACACGTAGAAAAAGTACGAAAAGATTGTGGTTATCAGCCGTTTAGCTCAGTGGCTAGAGCGTCAGGCCGCGAATGCCGAAGACGTTGGTTCGATTCCCACAGCGGCGACAATCTTTTCGTACTTTTTCTACATGTTTTAATGTTCAATCTCAAGTGCAGAGATTAGCACTATAAAAAACTTTAAAATTTATAACGCAAAAACCTCAACATAACTTCGAAGGCACAATGATTTTTTTCATTGCTGCTAATCGCTACTAATATTTGTTATTGTTTCATTGCAATATCTAATTAAAATTCAATTAAAGACACTTGAGTATTTACAATCACTCATGATTTGTTAGACAAATTGGTTATGAGGGATTACGGATTTAAAATTTTCGCAATAATGAACACAAAATTAGAAGTTTTACTGATCTTAGGGAATTTTATTCATTCTAAACCGTAAGCAGTGCATCGTGAGCAGAAAGCCAGCAGCTATTAACATGGCCGCAGTTTCAATAACGCGAGGAAGGAGCTTTGAAAGAAAAGTGAAAACCTGAATTCCATGTACATAGCACAAACAACTAAGAATCTAAGACATTGCTGCCTTTAAATATAAAGTTTTTATAAGTGACCAATAAGTGGATCTTTACATTACATTAGTTTTCTCGTGTGACCGTGAACTTAGGCGGAACTAGTCGGCCCTTTCGGCAGTAGACTAGCAAAATCGTGGTTTTCATATTTGTTACTAAGTTTTTTTACAGTTTAAAACTATTCAAAGACATTGCAAATTCTGACAAAAAAAGGGGAGTATCATGTAATCATATTGTTTCGAACCACAACTGAAAATACAGGTAGTGTTCCTGATTTAATCCAGGCTCTTTCAAGTGGAGTTTAATAAGTTGTACACATGTTTGTTATCTCTTTGTCAAATTAAGCTAAAAAAAGGCCCACTGAGTTTCTTTCGGCGATTCTTCTCAGGTCAGTGACTTTCTTACCGAACCGGTAGTAGTGTTTTTTGACTATCAATAAGTGCAATACTTCTATATTGAATAAATTTGAGTTTGAGTTTGATATTGAAGCTAAGACATTTATTTTAATTATTACGAATTTTTAATAGAACTTACTGGAAAATTTCCGCAACCCTACCCATGGCCTCGTTAATCAGCTTACTCTGAGTTTCCACTATCCGTTGCATTTTCTCATTATTCATTTTCCGTTTCTCCAATTCTTCTTTCATTGAATTCAACTTGGCGTTCTGTCTCTCTTCTGTCATTTCGATCCAATCTGTTCGGTCCCCTGAAAATACGCCGACGAATTTGCCTCAAGGGTCGTTTCTTTATTTCGCATTATTTCATGAACAATACTTTAGGTGCACAATATTTACAAAAGTAAACAATACATAATATACGTTGTGTGTGAAGAACACACAAAATATGTTAAACGCAGTGAACGCAAATAAACATGGAAGCATTGTTTTCGCTCCAGAATGACAACAAAAAACTATACCGTGACGGCACGGGGCTTATAAACCGTACAGCGTTGCTGTTTTAGGGATGTAGATTTAGTTGAACTAACAATGTTCCTTTGCCATACCTTGAACGATGCATTTATTAACTCATTTCTTATAAATTCTTATAATGGGTATAATGAAGTAAAAGCGAGCGTCTGGGCGCATACATTCTAGAACGTTCTTGGTTCAATTCTCGAATGGGATAAATTGGAATCCATGGCTATTATAACGGATATGGAAAAAATGTACAGAAATGGAAGAAGATCTAAATTGTTTAATCTCTGTCGGGATAAACAGATATAGCTGAACACCTGAGCGGGCACTGGACACGAATGAGTTGTAATGATTACTGCACGCAATCAACCCCATCAACGAAGAACTCAAAAATACTCTGGAATATCCCGTCAGAGGATAGTCCAGTTCTTCGCTGACCTTGAACTGTTACATTTATGCCGAAGATGAACCTGAATACAGTTACCATATTACTTCATTTCGCGGCATCCCCATTTTCAATTTCGTCATCACTTTAAAGAAGTAAAGAATAAGTAATAAATATTTCGGGGATGGGTTTACGGTTGTAGGGCCACGCAGCAGCCTCGGCTGTTGCACGAATGGGCAGGCCCGTCCGGGAAGTACCACGACCTCACAGCAGACCAGCGTAAAGGTTGTCAACGCATGTGTAACCCTCGGGTGTAGCAGATGTCCATAGACGGCGATATTCACTTAACATCAGGTGACCCGTCTGCTCGTTTGGCAACTTTTTGAATAAAATTTAAAAAAAAAACATTGTTACATTGTTATCTAGTCCCAAAATTAAGCTTGTACTATGGATATTAGGTAACTGATAAACATGCTTAGACGTAATTTTCTTTTGCAAATAAATAATATTATAGATATACTAGCTAACGCGGCACACTTTGTCTTGTCGTATAAATTATTTCTAAGGAATTTGTTGGGTAGAAAAAAATATTTGGGGTGGACCACCCTTAACGTTTAGGGGGATGAAAAATAGATGTTGTCCGATTCTCCACCCTGGCCGATATGCACACAAAATTGCACGAAAATCGGTCGGGCCGTTTCGGAGGAGTTCAATTACAGACACCGTGTCCCGAAAGTTTTATATATTAGATAAACACGCAGAGTAGAAAAACACTATGTTCATCATACAATATTTTTCCAGTAGTGGGGATCGAATCTACACCCTTTGACGCAAGAGACAGGGTCACTATCCACTACACCAATCGGGTCATCAAAAGAAACTTAGAAACAAACAAAAAGAAACATATAGAGGCTGTTTATATTATTAAAAATGGAATATATAACGGTTGGAATAACAGGCTATTTTTTTTGTTTTCAAAAAATCATTATCCTTACTTTAGGATAACATTATCCTGTGTTGTAAGGACGTTTTACAAACATAAATTATCACGCGGACAAACACCAAGAAGCGAAACAACCGTCTGTGGGTCGCACAAATAGTTGTGCCGTGTGGCAATCGAACCCACGACCCCCGACACCGAAGCAGGCAACTGTGCCACGGAGTCATCAAATGTATGAACTCTTTGTATGTATGAAATTTTTAATATTACTACATTTATTTGTTACTATGTTTATTTTTATATTTATATATTTTATAGTATTATTTATTACATATTATTTTATAGTATTATTCATTTCATGATTATGTTTACTTCTATTTTGTTTCTCTTCTTTATATATTTTGAGTTTAGAGTATAAGTATATCTAGTTCTACACAACTTCCTATCATAATATAATGATTTGTTTCTCATCAATCTTATGTCAGGGTTTGCTGGAAGAAAACTCTTTTTAGGGTTAAGCTCGCGTTTGTACATTTTTTTTGTAACTTTGTTTTTCACTTATACTCTGTGTACAATAAAGAATAAAGAAAGAACTCTTACCCAAACTCCGCCGTATGCGTTGCAAGTCCCGCCGAAGAGCTTCGTTCTCCGCGCAATATTCGGTCAGCATTTTGTAAACTGAGAAATTGCTTTGCTCGACGCACTCGAAAGACTCGATAATCTTGTCTATATCCCACTCCTGGGCGTAATCCTGTTTTTAAAATTACATACAAATTACATTCAAAACCTTTTTATAATCCAACCTCAATGAATCCTAACCTAATCACTTTTTCTCACTAACTTTTTATTTTATACTTTGACTTTACTTTCTTTGTTTTCAAATAATATAATCTTAGAGTTAAAACTGTTAAAGTTACAGCCTGTACATGTCCCACTGCGGGGCAAAGGCCTCCTCTATACAGAGGGTATCAGGGCATAGTCCACCACGCGGGCCCACTGCGGATCGGCGAACTTCACATATCTTCGAAATATTTTTTTCGTTGTTATTATTTCGAAATTATGCAGGTCTCTTCACGATGTTTTTAGTCCGCACTAAAAATTAACAATTTCTTTGGTACCCGCAATTTTCAATATTCTCATGTGTAAAAAAGAAAAACGTTACGTTTATATCATGGAGTATTTTAATATGCGTGTCAAATTCTTCTTTTAATTCTTTCTCTCGCATTATCTTCTTCTCCTCAACTCTTTGTTCTTCTTTTCTGTTGATCCTGATGATGCCCTTTTTGGATAGAAAATTATGTAGTTTCATCTCGTGGTCAAACGATTTCTGCAAATCGCGCATCTCCTGAAAATTTCGAAAAAGAACTTTAAATGTGTCTTTCCAAGTGTAATTTGATATTTATGGAAAGTTTAATGGTTATATTGCTGGCACAAAAAATGACTGTTGAAATGAAATATTCTGTTACTTAGAAGAAATGAAATATTCTGTTACTCGGAAAAACTTTCCGAGTAACAGAATATTCCCTAAAAGAGTTTAAGTGAACGTTTTATGATGACATAATTTTTTTTGCTGTATAACCGTTTATCCTAAATGTACTAGTTAGACAGTAGTAACAGAATTCTTTCTCTTTAATTCGGATGATAAACTTTCACACAACTACCAATATATTCCAGACATAACGGAAACAATATAGTAGCAATAGATAGCAATTGTCAGCTTACCTGAACTTGCAGCAATTGGTCCATTTTCCCTTTCTCCTGCACTGATTTCAGCTTCGTGCACCACTCGTCCCTTTGATCATAGGCCAAGGTTGAAGATTCGAATAAATCTTCCAGAAATTTCTTCCCTTTGCTCAATGCATTTAGCATCTTCTCCCACGCTTGGTTGAAGATTGCCCTGTAAAAGCAATACGAGTTAATGTTTTCATCGTAAAGCAGCTTATGGTTAGGTTCCTTAACTCTTAGTGGTGAGCGGCACACAACTTCCAGTTTACGTCTCTCTGTGAAGTCGTAGTACGTTCCCGGCTTTGCCCATTCGTGCAACGATAATGTATGGTCCTATGACCTTGCACATTTAATAATAAGTACCTGGACGACGTTTTTTTTGTGGTAAATCATGTATTTTGGAAATGAAAAAAATAAAAAATAAAGATAATGATCTAGTATAGAAAAAAAAAGTAAAAAAAATAAGTGTGTAAATGATTGTGATACGAACCGCGGCCGTCTATTTTGGGGCCGCCCGATTACCGACCGAGCTATTATAATTTTTTTTTTTGCGGCGAATTTAACTGTCATATTCGAATCATATTTTTCATTCCCTGAAAACAGGCATAAAAGGACATTTTCTGAAAATGAAACCTAGCTAGATCGATTTTTCGCCCCAGAATCTACGCACATACTAAATTTCATGAAAATCGCTGTATCCGTTTCCGAGATTCCGATATATATATATATATATATTTATATACAAGAATTGCTCGTTTAAAGGATAAGATACTTACACTTTATTCAGAAGAAGCCCAATTACATTTTAATATTTTTCCGATCCCACACTAGGCAAGCCTGTCCTATGGGGGTTAGCTCTTGACGATTTCCATAGTATTTCTGCCTTGACTACAGTTTCATTAGAATTTGAGGCAGCCCGGGGGTCGGGGCCCACTTTATTTAAACATAGCATCTGCAACCCTACGGGTGTTGCAAATGACGGCGGTTATCATTAATCATCAGGTCGACCGCCAGCTGACTTGCCACTCTCTCACATAAAAAAACAAACAAATGTATACAATGACCTGTCTTTCAGCACATGTTCAATTTCCTCTCTTATTTTCTTGTTTTCGCATTGTACCGCGTTGAATCTCAAAATTGCCGCCTCCAATTTGTTCTCCGTTGCCGTCAGACGATTTTCGCTTGTACATCGCTTCTCTTCCAGCTGAAATGAACAGATCATGCGGCACCAAACTAAAAGACCTAGATCGTATTGAAGTTCAATAAAAAATAGTTTACACAGTTTTATTTTCTTTATTAAGTAAAAGTAGAGTAGTAAAGTAACATCCTATACACGTCCCACTGCTGGGCAAAGGCCTCCTCTATACAGAGGGTATCACGGCATAGTCCACCACGCGGCCCCACTGCGGATTGGCGGACTTCACATTTCTTCGAAGTGTATTTTTTTGTTATTATTTCGAAAATATGCAGGTTGCCTCACGAGGTTTTCCTTCACCGCGGAGCACGTGATAAGTCAGCACTTAAAGTTAAAAAAGTTTATTAAGTACTCAGTGACAAACGATACGAATGCACACATGTCCACACACAACATTCTTATAATTATAAGGTGTAAGTAAGTAAGGTAATAAATTCTGTGTAATTTTGACATTTCATACGTGTAAGATGTAGCGCATGGTTTGAATCTGAATTGATAACATTGTCTCGTATTGTAAGGGATACACATAAATCGCACGCGGGCACTCACCCGGATTATGAACAATTATTATTAAAAGACCATACAAATAAAAAGCTGTGCAGGTATTGATTCCGCAACTCGCGCGGTTACTTAAGCGTATTTACATAGTTTTTACCACGTCACAGTTTATTTTGAATTTGTACCTTGCCCATTGAAGAGTTCACTAGATATTTCAGGTGCAAAGTTTGCTTGTGGTTCCTTTGCACCAGTTCGTCTAGTTGATCCATCAGGATCTGTCCATCTGGAATTTATCATGCTGTTAATAACATTCCTATATATTTAAACAAGAGTTATCAATATCAAATAAGTGTACATTTAAAAAAAAAAGATGATCTTATTAAGATTGATTTTAAATATAATAATAAAAATAATATCTCTGCATAAATAATTATTATAAGTCAGATCGTCTTCTTCTACCTGGCATTAATACCGGCCTTTGCCAGGGACTGCCATTCTACTCAAACTCCTTATAAATAAGGGCTTTGAACCTAAAAGCTCACTGTAAAATACATACGTATACAAATATATTCTTTAACTGGGCAACTTTCTCATCCACTTCACCATCTTATTGAGAATTGCTGAACATTACATATAGTATAAACTACAGATTTTATGTGATCTTTTCGTTCATCGCGAGTATATGATAAATAAGCACTTAAAATTGCAAATAACATTTGAAATATCGTTAGTGCCATTATTCGGACTAGAAAAACATGCTCCAGTTAAAATGAATTTATAGCTGAGCCTCTGCAAATTTAACTACCATGGCTCAGGTAATTCTTAATTAAATCTTAAATAATTAAATATTTTAAGAAAGAAGAAGAGAAACATCATTCCCATATAAAACGAATTACGGAACTTTTCTTACGGCGAAATTCATTATATCACTTCCATTTAATGAATGAAAATATTAACAGATTAATATTGTTCTCTTTTACTGCTTCTGTTCTCAATATAATTTGTGAGTCCTGATCAAATTTAAGTCGATGTATGCTTTAAGCCATTCCTTACTTTCACACTCCGTACTAGTCTTCTCTCGTAACAAAATTGCTCGCAACACTTCCTTCTTCAACATATCCTCCCTCTTTCTATTTGCACCCGATCTGGCCACCTTTAAAGAAACACATGTCCACATTCTCTAAGCTAAGCAGTATTAAAATTTTTATCAACAAGTCCGTCGACGCTCTTCGTGTGTACTTTGTTTCGGCGTCGTGAGTTCTAAACTCACCATTTTAGGGTTCCATACCCAAAGGGTAAATCGGGACCCTATTACTATTAGTAAGACACCGCTGTCTGTATGTCTGTCTGTCACCCGACTATCTCATGAACTGCGATAGTTAGACAGTTGAAATTTTCACAGATGATGTATTTCTGTTGCCGCTATTAACAACAAATACTAAAAAAAAGAATAAACAATATTTAAGTAGGAATCTCATACCACAGACTTTATTTTTTTGCCGTGGTTATAGAAAATGTTACGGAACCCTTCGAGCGCGAGTCCGTATCGCACTTGTCCGGTTTTTTAACGATCACAGAGATTTTTTTATGTTAAAAATTGTTAAACAATTCTTAAATAATAACAACTTCTGAATTCTATAACACCGACGCGTTGCAGATACTTTGCCTATATTTGATAATAGTCCCACGTCAAGCTGATCTTCTGTTAGGCCCTTGTAAATAACCGGACGAGCCTGCACATTCGTGCAATAGAGAACGCTGCGAAGCGCTAAAGTGAAACACATTGAACCCTGAAGACATATTTACATTAGAAGTGACAATGGGTATCGTAAATGTTCCTTAACGGCGGTAAACAGTTAACAAAAGGTGAAACGCTTGCTAATACACTTACCTTGAGGTCTTTCAAGACGTTCACGTGTTCGCTCTTCAGTCTTTTAAGGAGGTGGTCTTGCCTTCTGAACATCGGATGGACCCCCATTACGCGATTTGTTCTGTCTGCTTGTATCATTCGGAACTGTATTTGAAAAGTTAAACGTATTTCAAATATTCATCATTGAATTTATAGAAATGTACATGATGATGGCAATTTTTTTTTTGTTATTTTGTTAAAAATACTGTTATTTTCCGTTTTTATTACATGTTTATTTCAGTCTAAAGTCAACTACTGTACTAATAATACTTTGTTAGCATTTAACATAATTCAATTTTATTTTTTTTTAGCAATTGTCAATATAATAACTTTTGAATGTCGTTTCACCTGTAATTGAGATACCATTTATTTAAGATAATATTTACTTATTTATGTTTTAAATTATATTGATGTTTATCTTGTCGGTATCATGGTGAAGTAAATAAATAAAATGAAATAAAATAAAATTCATTTTCTTCACGCTGAGCACGCGACATAGTAACGTTATACATTTCAACACCCAAAGGGTAATTAATGCATTGCCACCATTTAATAAAGTGGGCCCCGGCTACCTCTGTCACCAGACGAAACGCGGAAGTATAACACTTCCACTCCACGCCGGTCTTCTGTGAGATCGTGGCACTTAGCCGGACTGGCCTGCCCATTCGTGCAACAGCGAAGTCTTTTGCGTGGCCCTACCACAATTAATGTGCTGCTAACAGAACCTACCTGACGTTGAAGCCGCAAATGATCATCCTCCTTCTTTTTCACTACTTCCAGATCGTTCGTCAGCTCACTGGTCGCTTCCATTGCGTTCAATAAAAGTGTTTTATTCTAAAAAAAGTGCGTGTAAAATTCCATGTCAACAATTGCAGTTTTATCTGAGCCAACCGGTTTTTATACTTCCTTGTGCGACGACAAAGTTGACGTGATATTTACAGTGAGTAATATTGTTCCCGGCCCGTGTGAACTTTAAAATAGGTTTTATTTCGTTCCGGAGAGGAAAATCTTATGTTCTGTTACGAATAAACGATTGTTGCCTACTCCGCATGTTTTGTGATTCAGATCCAGTTCAACGTTCATAAATAATATCAAGCGCAGCACCGTACTGTGTGCTGTATTTTAAAGGAGAATATTTGAAATTTGGCACACAGAAATAAATCTTGGGCTGCTGTATTAAAATTACAAATTTATAGTTTCACGTTGGGAATGGAATATAGAAATACTTCTGAAACAAACAAAAATAATCTATAACCTTACAATTGAAATGCGCTAGTTTCTCAATAGTTTTCAAAAAAATTCTATAACCGAAGGATATTTAAACATATGTTGTTTGTACCTACAATTCTCGAACCAACGTTAACAATAACGAAAAATAATAAGAAATACGTTAGAGATCTAGAATAATGCTGGCAACACCCAGTCGCAGAGAATCGATAGATTTTTTTTTTTTTTTTAAAAAAAAAAAAAACGACTTATGGCATGTCTCAGGTATAGAGACGCACCGTCCCTCCTGAGTATTCAAATTCAAATATCTTTATTCAATATAGAAGCATTACACTTACTTATTGATTGTCAAAAAACACTACAACCGGTTCGGAAAAGCCACTGACCTGAGAAGAACCGGCGTAAGAAACTCAGCAGGACATTTTTTAACGTACTTAATTTGACATCAATATAACAAACATGCTCAATTTATTAAATTCCACTTGAAACAGCCTGGAGCCATCAATTCTTTTCCAGAGTGTGTTATCATTCAAATAATCACTTATACTATGATATTTTATTTGATTATTATATTTGAATTAAGCAACAGATTCATTTTGAATGTTTTCAGGGATTTTGTTGTAAAAGCGTATACATTGTCCCATAAAAGATTAACTTATTCTACGCAATCTAGATGAGGATAGAATAAATTTATGCTTGTTCCTAGTATTTATGTCATGCACATTACTAAATCTTGAAAATTCATTCCTATTTTTATGGACATACATAGCATTTGCAAGTATGTACTGAGAAGCCACAGTAAATATTTTCATTTCTTTAAACAAACTTCTAAGTGATTCTTTGGGGCCCAGGTATTGCAGCCTAATTACAGCCCAGATAATGTGGCCATGACTTTACGTCATCCTCGAAATATTCATCGCCGTCCCTAGACCACAAATCCAGTCGTTACAATCAAACGCACATTAGGAGACGTCAGTCACAAGCGGCGAGCGCCGTGACGTCACCGCCGCCGCAACTGACAGCGGCCTCCATTATTGCATAGCGCGGTAGTTCCTTTTTTATTTTGCAATAATTCCAACGAAAGCAATTTTATCTCTAGTTTCTTTCTATAAATACTTATACTTTACTTCCTCGGACGAGCCGAAGCATCCTGGAGCAGAAGAAATCTCCACAGTGGAATTTTTAAGTCATTTGGAAAGTATATATCACTAACAGACTCAACGATGATACTACATAATCTTATAGACACAGGTAAGCTGGATAGCAACTTTATGTTTATATTGTAGGCGTCAACAAGTACTAGAAGAGTCCAAAAAAGGCCATAGTCGCGCCATAGTCGGCGCGACTATGGCCTTTTGGATCTGTCGGATTCTGTCTTTGTGTTCCCGTGTCCCCGGCCGATGCGACAGAGACAGGTGCAACGTGGGTTTTTTTGGGTACCCGTTTCTCACCGGGACTCCCATATACCCCTGCCACTCCCCCGATCCAGTGGCAGGGGATAAAAAAATATATATAGGCGACAACAAGTACAAGCGGTAGACCTGTCATTATACATTGAGCATGTGCTAGACATAATTAACCGACGCCAAAAACAATGCTATTAATACATTACAGGAACTAAAAAGTTCTCGTAAAAATTAAATGCTTAACTTTTTTTTTTCATTTGAAAGTTGCCAAGCGAGCAGGTGGTTCACCTGCTACATCTGCTACACCCCAAGGTTACATATGCGTTGACAACCTTTTGAAAATTGGGCTCCGGCTACCTCACTCACCAGACGAAACGCGAAATTATTATACTTCCACTTTACGCCGGTCTTCTGTGAGGTCGTGGTACTTACCCGGACCCACAGATAAAAAACGGTATGCTAAAGTTAAGGTATCGTCTTTAGATTTATAGTTTACAAATAAAAACACATTGATCAATGGAATTCGAACCAGTTGAACCAGAGTTCGAACCCCGGCACCGGCTAATTTAAATTTAAAATTGTTAATTTTAAACGCTGACTTATCACGCGCTCAGCGGTGAAGAAAAACGTCATTAGGAAACCTGTATATTTTCTATATAACAAAAAAACTATTTAGAAGATATGTGCGTCCGCCAATCCGCAGTGGGGCCGAGTGAATGACTCTAATACCGTCTGTACAGAGGAGGCCTTTGCCCAGCAGTGGGACATGCAGAGGCTGTAAATTTATGGAATTCAAAAGAGAGACGTCACAGTCGACTAAACCACATATTATATACATGTATGTATACATTACAATACTAACAAGGGGAATGAAATAACCAATTTAACTATGTAGATAACTTTTATTCATCTAACAAAGAACAAATAAATAGAGCACATTCGAACATGAAACAACAATAAAACTCCACCTAGATTATAATAAAGCCATCAAAAATATACAAGCTCGATTCAAAAATCAAAGATTAAGTAAAACTTGAAGTAAATGCTTATAAAGGAATGCTTATAGCTAATTGTGCACAGATGTATATTATAGAAGGACACTTCGATATAATTGAAAAAACTTCTAAGGCAGTTGGCGGTCCTTATGATATCGCCAATGACACAATAATGGTAAAGAAACAAATGGTTTCAAATATCAAGAATATCTTCTAGTAGTTTATTTTTGCCTAGCTTTTATAATGAATTGATGAAGAGAATGATTTTATGAATATTTAATATGTATATTTTTATATATAGAATGTCTAAACAAATTGAAAAAACAACGCATGTTACTATTTATGTTTGACAATTGACATATTGACGCCAAATTTTTATTCAGTACAGATTATTAAAACGAAAAATATTTAAAGTAGATTACTATGCAATTCTATTAATATAAGTTTCAATACAATAAATATTTCTATAGGTCGAAATATTAAGGTACAAATAGTATTAAAGCTTACACGTTATTATTTTTTTTTTTGCTTTAAGACGTAGTACTGTAAAGATATATCAAAAACTTCTTTACCATGTGATAAGATAAATACTCTACGAATATATAATATATATAGAAAGTCAAGTCGCTGGCTTAATGTTATGTGCAGAAAATAGCATGCAGTATTTTTCATATACTAATTCTAAGATACAACATTTTGATCATTTGACATCGAAGGGCTTTCAGTGTAGACATCAGACATCTGGAAGAGACAACATTAACAAAACCATTTAAAATTCGTACGTAGTAGGTACTTATAACATCAATACAATTTATGATGATTAAATTTTAAACCGATTGGTTTCGTTTAAATTAATTAATAAATAATTATATTATTCACAATATTTTTTTCTTTTAAATGATGCAAGAGTGCGCAAAAACGCATTTTTAATGACAAAAAAAAGAAATAAATGATTTTATGCCATTTTATTTATATTGATAGTGTGGGAAGAGCTGTGAATACCTATTTTTTTATAGAGGGACTGTCTTGTGCTTTATTGCCTTTTCTTTTCGGAGCTGAAGAGAGCCCTGAAAAAACTCAGGGTTGCCATGTTGGTGACAGGTACAGGTATATACAAAATTTATTTTGAAATTTCAACTCAACTGCTAAATTTTCCAAGACATGAATATTTATTTTATGGTAGAAGATCGTCATGATATTTTTAATGTTACGAACACACCTTTAAATTTATATTTTAGTTTTAATAAAACAAAATACATCAAGATTATTTTTTGTTGTTACACCTGTATTCTTATAGCCGTGATAGCTCAGTGCAACCTGAGCTCGATCCCCGGTGGCAGCACAAGTGCTGACTTATCGTTCTCAGCGAAGAAGGCAAACATCGTGAGGAAACCTGCATGTTTTCGAAACGAATCGAATGAATTCCGCCAACCCACAGTGGGGTCGCGTGGTGGACTATGCCCTGATACCCTCCTTTCAGAGGCCTTTGCCCAGCTTTTACATTTTTTTTATATTCTCACTTAGCGAGATAATTATGTTTCCCTTAAGTATTGAGTGTTACAAATAATGTTGATAAACTTATTGCTAATGTAAAGACGGATGAGAGCCGATTTACAGTCGCTGCATACCCACCCCTAATCCGCCTTGTCGTCGGCCCGCGTCTCCGGCTTGGGGTTGTTGCGCCAAATGTAGTACGCTAGCGAGGAGGCATACGCCAGCCAGCCCAGGTATGGCAACATTAGCGCCATAGCGGTCCTGTCGTGTTGGGCGAAAGAGATGGTGGTGGCCACGGCGGCGCCGCTCAGCACCGAGATCTCGATGAAGGCCTGCAGTTGGATACGTTCACGACTCGACTTTTTTCATGCGAGAAAGTAGCAAATGAGGTGATTCACCTGATGTTAAGTCACGCTCACTCACCAGCCGAAACTCAGAAGGGTAACACTTCCACTTGCGAAAGTATTATACTTCCACTTCACGTCGGTCTTCTGTGAGGCCGTGCTACTTATCCGGACGGACCTGCCAATTCGAGCAACAACGAAGGCTGTTGGGTAGCCCTTTTTTTTTGTTGACGTGGGGCAAGAGTGGGTTATGTCGGACTCGCACCGACTAAAACCCCCACGATGTTACACCTAGGCGCATATCGGCAAGGCCACGGGAACGCTTTCGCACACTTCCGCGATCCTGCCAGCGCTGGCCGCCTTAGCAGCCCCCTCACGGGGAGTGATTCCCCTCTCCGCCAGGTAAGGCGCGCTGGAACATTCAGCGCGCCTTCCTACTCGGCCCCATTTTCACGGCCAACGAACTCCCCCGAGTTCGCTGACCGGGGGGGCCATGGGAGCCAGGAGAGCCAGTGCTAATAAGCAGCAAGCCTCCCAGCCCCCAGCGGCGGACCTGGTCTGTGGCTCCGCCGCTCACCACAGGCCGGCCCAGTGTGGGTTCCTCTTAGCTTCGCCGTGGGAGACCAAGCCACGGCTACTAAGCCCCTCCGCCACGTCAAGGCGGGAACCCGGTCGGAGGGGCTGTTGGGTAGCCCTCCCACTGACTGGTTCCGTTTATAACCCCAGACGTAAAAAGAGGGATGTTATGAATTGACGTATCTGTCTGTGTATCTTTGTGTCCGTCTGTGGCATCGTAGCTTCTGAACGCCTTTCGTTCCTTTTTTTTTTTGGAAGCTGACGCGATCGCTTTTTGTGTGACGGTGTTACTTAAATTACAAGAAGTTGGCGAGCGAACTGGCGGTTCAGATGTTGTTGATAACCACCTCCCATGAGCATTTGCAACCCCCGTTTGTTTATAAAAATTCGTTACAACCTTTTGATAAAGTACGACCCGGTTACCTAGCTCAGCAGACGAAACGCAAAATTATAACTCATCCGCTTCACGCCGGTCTTCTGTGAGGTTGTGGCACTTCCCGGGCGGACCTGCTTTCTCGTGCAACAGCGAAGCCCACTGCACACCAGCTCACTTGGCAACTTTCCAAAAAAATATTACTAGGAGATCCGCCACATGGCATCTTCACTCATCAGCCAAATCTCCAGAAAAATTGGGCAGAATTCTCTTATGTAAATCTATTACTTAGCAACCAGACCAACTGTGACCACGTGTTCAATTTTTCCTATACAGCATGGACAACTTTATATACAGGATGATTTTATAGACGACGGACATATTAACAGAGCATATGCAGAATATGATTCTAAATCTGAATCTGGTACCTACTTGTGACCTCATTTTTTTTTCAAAAAATATGGACGCCCTATTAAAATTTCTGCCTAACCGTCTCAACACAATAACCTATTCACGAGCGTAAAACTTTCCGCTAAACGCATAATTACTAAACCACTTATGAATAGGGTGACCACTCTTAACGGGGTAAACAATGTTTCAATTCATATTAATCTGGTTATTTCTTGTCAAAAAAATTGATATTTTTTTTATTATAAAATTATATCAAAGTATGTACTTCGACTAAAAATCACCCTGTATATGTAAATTAAAATAAACTGAAAAAATCATCCTGTATATGTAAAATTAAATAATTCTTCACATATATCGGTACATACCAGTTTGAAGTCCTTCAGACCGAAGAATATCGGCGTCCAGGCCCAGTTGAGGACGAGCTGTCCCCCGTACAAAGAAAGTGGGACCAAGGAGTTTTCTAGAACAATAAACCGTCGACGTAACTCCAGTTACTTAGAATCTAATAAAAAATTGTGTAGGTTGTCAATGATCACAGCCAGTGCAATAGTATTATTCCTTTTTTTTTTGTTGTTATGGGTTCATTTTTTTGTTGTTATGGGTTCATTTTTTTTTTTGTTTTTATGGTTTCATTTTTTGTTGTTATGTGCTCGGCTCCTTTTTTTGTTGTTATGGGCCCCTTTTTTTGTTACGGGCTTTTTGCTTCCGTGGCAGTCTATGGTGGAGGCCTATATTCAGCTCAGTAGTGAACTCAAACAGGCTTAGATGATTATGATGACGATGGGCTTTTTGTTGGAATTGTATTCAGTTTAATCATAGATTCGTATATTTCTTCCAAGGCTATGTGGGAAGGGAGGGAAATGTGTGATGTGTTTGAAAAAAGGGCTATCAAAAGTACACCGAGGCATACTACGTGCGAATTTTAACACAACAATTAATATTATACGTATGTGAAATGTAAATATAACTTAACTAACACTGGTCTTGAAAGACTTTCTTGTTCAAGTATACAGATTATAGCAGATCAATACTAAGGCATTTTAAAATATTATATGGTATTCATTGGCTTTTTTTCCGTGATAGCTCATTGTTCCGAGCGCTTTTAATTTATCTTATCCTTTAAATGAGCAATTCTTGATCATATATATAAATATATATATATATATATATATATATATATAATATATATATATATATATATATATATATATATATATATATATATATAATCGGAATCTCGGAAACGGCTCCGGCGAATTTCATGAAATTTACTATGTGCGAAAATTCGGGGGCGAAAAATCGATCTAGCTAGATTTCATTTTTAGAAAATATACTTTTATCCCTGTTTTCAGGGAATGAAAAATATCATTCGAATATGACGGTACATTTCCCGCCAAAAATAAATGTTATGTCGGTCCTCCAGGTTTAATTTTTAATTTTTCATACTCGATTCTTGTCCAATTTGAAAAAGATACAAAAATGCTACTGAATAAACAACCAAACTCTTCTTTCGGCACTAAGATGAAACAATAAAATTAACAATTTTTACATAACCTAGTTATCAAACCATCCCAACCTTAATACCATCGCGTAAAACATCGAACCCAGAAATCAAAGTGATTGATACTTTATCTTATCGACCGTCACGTGGCATTATGCAACGATGAACGATTATTCATGAACTAACGTTTTTTCGTTTTACTTCTTATTATTTTAAAGTCAAAAAATCACTTTTATTCTGTCATAACCAGTATGACACATGCAAGCTCTGCTCAAAGTTGATATTAATATCCGTGGCTAAGTTTCATTAACTTTTATATAATTATAAAACATATGAAACAAATGATATTGAGGCTTCAACGCAGAACCAAAAATAGCCTACCATTAAATCCGCCACATTCTTCCCACACCAGGTACGAGGCGTAACCCATGCTGCTGTATAGGACGGTCCATGCCGGACCAAACACCCATTTGGGTGGGTTCCAGCTAGGTTTCTTCAGGCTGTCGTACCAAGGTTTCTCGTCCTTCCGGATCTGCCCGGCGAAGTAGAGCCCGTTGACCCATCCCCCAAGGTTGGGCAAGATGATCGATCCAATCGCTGGCCAATTCGCCATTTCGATCACTTCACTGTGCAGTAGAATATTTTCAAAATGATTATTTTAGTCGAATTGGGATATGAATAAATAGATATACCTAATATTAATAAGGAACATTAATTTCAGGTAATTAAAGAGATTTTGTATTTAAATTTTATAGTTCTTTTGTACATAATCATATAGACTTCTTTATAGTGATGAAGATGACAAAAAATCATGCATATCCCATGGTTGTGGGCAATTACCTCTACCCAAAAACATTACAACAACAGAAAGGAGGTGTTGCTGACCTTTATGTGTCTAAGATTTTAATGAAAGTACAGTGTTCATTTTCCATTTATAACTTTTATATGATCAGTATTACAATGATCTTAGTTTTTATGTTTGTAGTTTATATTAGCAGTTCTGTATTATCTATGGGCCCATTTGATCTTAACAAAACTATGTTATAATGTAGTTTATGTACAGACAAGCTATTTTGAATAGTGGTTTCTTGATTTTACTTTTTTAATTGGTAGAGTAAAGAAATTATACAATTAGATGATTTTCATAATTTTATGTTTTAAAATTATTGCATGAAGTGTTCACCAGATTCAGGTGGCTAACTTAGGACATTTTTTTTTAAAAAGACAAGTTTTACAGTAAAATGATAAATGACTATAGCAATGAAGTGACAATAAAAGGATTATAGTTTTCTCAACTCGGCTTGTTCTTTGAACTGCACTTTAAATATTCCCTCCTGCCGGGTCCCAAAGTATCATACAAATTTATTAAAATAATATTTAATAATTTCTTGTTTTTATGCCAAAACTACACTATACATTATTAATGGTCCTGGGACACTATTCTACTTATTCTCATACACATCTTACCCTGCTGATTCAACAAAGTCCTGTATGGAATCCATAGTTAGAGCGCAATTAAAACTGGTAATGAGATGTGCCACAATATTTTCGTACGAACCTTTAACTTATACTAATGAGAATTCGCTTATCACTAAGGAAATGATTGCTAATAAGAATTAATTTTATCTAGCTGTAGATAAAAAAGAACGATAATGAGTTGTCTGGTAACAAGCATAACAATAACATAAAAAAATCCGTACATACCGAATTTAGAAATCAACGAATTTACAGCGGCAATGCAAGCGCGAATAAATGAGGAATGATATTAGTCACGTATTGTTAATAAAAGTTTAACGCATTACGCAATTTCAATGTTTACTTAAACGTTGCCGGTGTCAACCGGTTTTACATACAGTTCTAGATGAAATTGTAAAAAGACTTGTGAATACTTACATAAATTACAGACAATGGAGAAATCGCACCGTTCGCAAAAGCCAGCTGATAACAAAAAAGGAACCAAATAAGAATATCAAATATCTCAACTCGAGCGAATAGCGACCAACTTATCAAATATTACCCGACTAAGTCAGATATACAAAATTACAAAAGTACTCTTTGGACTAAGTGACAGCGACCAGCGTTAACTTAACATAGAAATACGTCGATTAACTACGGTTCGGAAGTCAACTCCTTCGTAATTCATTCATATAACATTGTAAGGAAATCGTCATTCATGTCTATAAATCTAGATAAATAATCTATATTAATTTTTCGTGCCTAATCTTCACTCTAGACGAAAAAATTCTGTTTAAAAATATGCCTTATGAATAAGTTGGCAACAGATGTATTACTTACTTACTAACTTCGTTGGCTCAGCGACCCAAATATCTTGGCCTCCGACGCTAAAAGGCGCCACTACTCTCTATTTTGGGCTGTTTCTTACCAGTTGGCTAACTGGAAAGTGCTCAGTTCTTTTTGGACTTCATCCTCCAGCGATATCTGGGGCGACCAACAGAGTGCTTCCCCTTTGATTGTCCCATATATCCTCTCTTGATTGCACGATCTTTCCCCATCCTCTCCAAGTGGCCAAGTCAATGAATTCTCGCGGCCTTCGTTTCGCCGATAATGTTGGGTACGGCCACAAGATGTTCAATTTCAATATTTTTCCTAATTCTCGAATTGCCCTCCTCGTCTTTCACCGGTCCCAAAATTTTCCGCAAGATCTTGCGCTCCGCCACTATGAGCTGATTCTCTTCCTTTAACGTCAGTGTCCAAGCTTCACAGCCATACATTAAGATAGGTTTGATCACCGTCTTATAGACACACCTTAATTTTCTTGCTAATGAGTTTGGGCACTAGGAGTCTATGTAGGGCTGCTGTGCATCTTAGTTCGTTTTGTGTGCGGTTATTTATTTCATCCCCTCTCTGGTTGGTTGCTGTAACGATAGTACCTAGGTATTTAAACTGGTTAACGCCTTTATAGGTGACCTTACCAACAATAAGGTTATCCCGTTTTCCTCTGTTTTGTAGGTATTCTGTTTTGTCGAGGTTAATTAAGAGTCCGATCTAATCTCCTTCTTCTTAGGGACGTCAAAGTCTTGTTTGGACATTTTTAGTAGTGCAAGGTCATCGGTATATCCTACCACCTTATGTTTGCCATTTAATTCAACTCCCACATCGTACTCCAGTACTTTGCGGATGGTGTATTCGAGCACTAAATTAAACAGCAGCGGTGATAAAGCATCACCTTGTTTAAGACCTGTCACTACCTCAAAAATACGTCCTACTGACTTTTGTGGCTACCATCACCATATTAACCTTTTTCTGGTATATTAAAATGCCTTAGAATTTTAAACAAGGCCTCTTAGTCACGAGATAGTTTGCGCGTATTCCCATTTCTTCTCCATCAACTGTTTTAGGAGAAATATTTGGTCTATAGTACTTCTATTTCGCCGGAAGCCAATCTGGTAGTCGCCCAAGATAGTCTCAGCATTCAGTCGTTTTAGTAAGATAGTATTTTCTATGCTGATGGGAGCAGTGCTATGCCCCTGTAGTTGGAACACTGTTTTGGAGCCTTTCTTGTGTATGGGGCAGATAACTCCCACATTACCCGGTACCATCAATTCCCGGGGATTTGTTGTTTTAAAGTCTCATAATATCTATGCATAATATATACTTCTTCAAAGTTCGGCTGCAAACTTCAAAAGGATGAATCCCGGGTACCCTTATCAGCAGAGGAAGTACAAAAGCACAAATACGATTCTATTCTAGTTCTACGTGCTTCTACCATATATATTACATTGGGCTTCTGCCAGGCCGCAATGCTTTCATGGACAAACAAAATTGTAATATGTGTAAATTGTGTTTCATGGACAAAATTGTAATTGACAACAGCAGCAGAAGCTGCCCTTAGGTTTAAAAAAACGTGTTTGTAATTAAAAAAAAATAACTATTGTGTTGTCTTTTTATACCGTCTAGTACTATATTCCCGCAGTACACCAAACTTTTTTTGTAGTGTAGTCTACTTTCAGCTCGGCAGCTTTGACAGCTTCATCGGAAGAAGTCCGCAAACAGACGACCAGCGGACGGGCGACTCATACATACGGCGGACGCAGAACATAGTGGATGCAAGACGACAAAACGATGACGGCGTACGTCTTGCTGTATTTCCACCACCTCTGGTAATGAAGTACAAAAGGGGCACGATCCAAGGGATGGAGGTTTAAACCTCGGCTTGGACCGCAATCTTTAGTGGAACTTATCCAGAGGACGCGACATAACTACTTCGAATGATCCCTTATGAAATTAAATTATGAAAACAATTAACGCAGGAAAACAATTAGTTTAACGACAGTTAAACTATTTACAAAACACAATATTTATAAAAATTATCAATTCACAAAAACCATTAATCCCGTAAAGTAAAAAGTTGGTGATTAATTACATAACGACCGAAGCTATGTAAGCTGCGAATCGAAGACCTTGCGTTCGACGGTTAGCCGGCAAACGCGCTGAGCCTTATATATGACTGTATGAGGGTGAATGCTGTGTTTGCGCAGTGGCACAGCGTCGGTCATTGACCCGTTCGGGCCTCTATCGCTATGTCTTTAAAAATACGCGTTATCAAACGACGGTATTTGCGGATTTCCTCCAATGAAGCGTTCAAATCTGCCGGTCTAACAGCATACTATACTCCAAAAAATAATTATACTTGATATTTGTAACCGTAGTAGAAAAGCTTTTTTATTTCAATTGGTACATCATCGAACATTTCTATAATGAACTAGAAATCTCAATTCTACTGCACAGCAAATATTTATAACAAATGAAACTAAAAGTTGACTTCTTACAAACATTAGGAACAAATGAAACTAAATATTGACTTCTTACAATCTCACATATAGATAGTACGATTGGACATAGTCTGTGACATAGATAAAATACTAAGATATTTGTCGTGATAAGCTGATAAACAAAAAACAATTCATAACAGCCAGTTCATTTTATTATTTTACAAGTAAGTAACTACCGTCTTTTATATATTTTTTTTTTACTATAAAGTAATCACTAACAAATACACTAAAGTTAGCGATTGTTTATTGTCGTTTTTTTTCACGTATCTTATTTGATACCAAAACCTTATTGGTTAAAATAATAATGGAGAATTCTATAAGTTAAAGTTAAACTGTACGAATTACGGAATAACTGCATTATTTTCAGTCTTTTACCTCTAGAAAAAATTCATACCAATCAAAATATCAATCAATGTGTTTGCTTGTTGTATCAGATTTCCTCTACAAAACTTTTTAACTTAAATTTAACTAAATGGGACTATTTGACTTATTTCCGTGAGGTTTTTTTCATGCATTATAATTTTTTTTATAGAAAATTAATTGAATATGTGAGTAAGAGATGAAATGGCAGTAATATTTTATTTATAGGCACAAGGAAAAATGCCAAACTGGAAACTCATAGGGTCTTTAATCCTGCCTAATGTGGGAGGATGGGTTGGTGCCCTTACTATGATGGGTCAGGTGAAGAACCCAACTAGCAATGCTTGGTACCAAACTATTAAAAAACCCAGTTGGAATCCGCCAAACTGGGTATTTGGCCCAGCATGGACAGCTCTGTATACTGGAATGGGATATGCATCATATATGGTCTATAGGGACTGTGGGGGATTGACAGGTATTTGATAATGAAGCTTATTTTATTTTTATATTATGCCTCTAAGTATCTCTTTGAAGGGGATCACATCTCCTGATGGGAAAACATAATGAGACATAGTGAAAAAAATTAATATAGATATACAATTTTTTTGAATTTAGCAATTAAAACATTCAAAGTTTTCTGGAATTTTTTTATAAAAATGTATACATTGTCCCATAAAAGAATTACTTATTCTATGCTGTTTAATTGTGGCTAGAATTAATTTGCATTTGTTCCTAGTACTTACATCATGCACATTAACATGTCTTGAAAAATCATTTTATTATTATAGACATACATAACATTTTTAAGTATGTACTCAGAAGCAACAATCAATCATCACGGGACAAGTGTTTCAAAGAAAGAAGATATTTATAAACCATTATAAACATAGGCAATATAAGAAGATAAAATAATTTAAAAAAAATATTTTTTTACATTTTAGGAAGAGCTGTTCTCCCATTGGCTTTATATGGAGGCCAGTTGATCTTGAATTGGACTTGGACACCGGTATTCTTTGGAATGCACAAAGTTGGCTGGGTAAACAATTTAACATTATACAACTTTGGTAAAGTAGAAGTGTTACACTTCTGTTTTTCGTCTGGTGAGTGAGGTAGCCGGGAGCCGGGGATTTATTTAAAGATGGCGACACTTATGCAACCCTACGGGGGTTGTAAATGTCCATGACGTATCTGAACCAGAGATCATTGACATGTGATAATGACCAAAGCCAAAAAGTGTATAATTCGGACGTTATAATTTCATTTTACATATAAAATCTGTCCAAGACATTCACAAAAGTGTATGGACTAAAACTTAAAAGACACTAAGGACTTAAAATCTACAGGTCGGGGAATATATGTAACAGCATAAGCATACTTAGTGTCACTTTTAAAATATGTTGCATACTTTTGGATAGATTATTGGTGGGATGCAAAACTCTCAAGAACCTGTTATTTTCCCTTCTGAATTATAATGTGATCATTCATATCAATTTCAGGCACTTGTTCACATATTAACGCTAGATGTGGCGGCTGCTGCCTGCGCTGTCAGTTTTTTCAAAATCAACCCCAACACTGCATACCTGATGGCACCATATCTATGCTGGTTGGCTTTTGCAACCTGCCTCAACCATTCCATATGGGAGCTAAACAAAGATGACCCAAAGACAGCGTAAAGCTTAAGTATAAAAATCATACTAAAGTTGTGATAATTCGTATAAAGAGACAAAAAAATTATACCACTCCTTTGACATGTTGATTTCTTGTTTTAAGCCAATGTTATACATATCAAATGAAACTATTTTACGAATTTTATCACGTTTTAATTTAGAATTAAAATGTGATAAAATCCATAAAATAATTTTATTTAATCTCTTTGTTTAATTTAAAACTGTTACTTGGATTATTACCATTTGTATTAATCTTACAATAATGATGTCTATAGTTGGAAACAGCGTTATTTCTAATATCCTTTCAACTCTCACAATGATTTTACACAATAATAGGAAGTAGTGACTGCAATAAATTGTCTTGTCATTGCTATTTGAAAAATAACTATAAATATAATCGTATTTAACAATACTATTTACAGTAAAAACCTGTCCTCAAATATTTGTGGTTAGTACTGAATTTATAATCAAAATTGGAGTAGCATGCATTATTCTTTTTTATTTTAATCATATTGCTACTGTTTATTGCTTATGTGACCAAATAAATTGTAAGAAGTTTAAAAAAATTTGTTAACACTAATATTTGTGTACACAACCTCATGGTTTAATATATTTATACAGTGTAATGAAATTAAGTACTACAGTTACAATCCAAATGCAATTGGAGTAGTAGTTGTTGCTACATTTTTACTTTTTTTTTGTCAATCATATTTATGTACCTATTGCTGAAGAACCTGAATTTTTTGTTAGAAATGTTAAAATATTTGTTAAATATTGTTATTGTTAAATCTTTTTACATTTTATAGAGTGCAATAAAGTCTATTAGCATCACATATTTGACTTTATGAACCTAGATTTTATAGCTGTTAGTTATACTGTAATGTTTAAGCATAACATTTATGATGAATTAATTGACTTTTGTAGATTGAAAAAACTACTAATTAATTTTAGAGATGCCAGTACTAAATATGATTATAAGATCATATAAATGTCAAAAATATTATTACTCATAATTTATAATGATATTTTCAACATTGGCCTAAGCAATGTGGCAACATTTGTTGCAAATATGTCAGTTATGGTGCTTATCGGGTAAAGAAAGGTACTTTTGGTGTTATAACATTATATTTACATAATGAATAAAGTTTCAATCAGTGTCATTTCATTCGTTTCAATTTGTTGAGCTCCCCCTGTTGTATGGATGCATCCTTGTATATCTGTTTCACCTTATCCTTACGAATGATGTCACTGAAAATTAAAAAATATGGAAATAATACAATATATATTCTTTATTATCTTCTCACATTAGTTAATCATCTCATTGATGGAGTTATATTCTTGATACTTAAAAATTTGTATCATTCTTTAAAATATTTATATGTGTTCATATGAAAAATGTGGGTATCAAGCAATATTTCTAAACAGTTCATAAATGATTTAAATCATACACATTTTAATTCACTAAACAATATGTTAAAGTATGTAATAAATTTTTGGACCTGATATCTGGTAGTCAGAATGGAAGTCGAATAATTTCAAGTGCAGACGCATCTGCAACTAAGGGTGTTGCAAATGTCCATGAACAGCGGTTATCACTTAACGTCGGTGAAGCGTCAGCTCGCTTGCAACTTTCTCACATTAAAAAAATCTGTAACCATATATAATATTTTCCTATTTTAATTTAGTCCTGGTATTGCAAGTACACCTTACCTTTGGATCTTCTGTCGTATCTTCACCGAGGCGATATAAGCCTTGTCTCTCCTTATCTCCCTCAAAGCTCCCTTCATCTCCTTTTTGTACTTGCTCTCAAGTCGGGCCTTCTCCGCCTTCTCTCGGGACAGTTTTGAACTCTTGCTTCCAGTAAACCTACAGATGGATGGATAGATCATTAAATTTTAATTAGAAATTATTAAGATCTTTTTCAGAGGAACTAGCATTTTACTAAAGGGTGTACAGGACTAAACTCTAGCGGCCATTACCATTATCATCAGGTAATTAATCACCACCACAGAGTTATTTCAATTACCAGACAAAATGCAAGGCATATTACGGCCCAGATCAAGTTATTACCACATTGTGTTGTAGTTAATTTTTAATGCATGGTATGAAGGAACAGAATAAAGAAGGTTGCTGAACATGGGTACTCACACTTCTTGTATATCCGGCTCGTACAGTCTTAGGGCTTTGGGCCGCTTCCTCTCCCTCGCCAATGGAGTGTAAGTCTTCACTTCCAGAGTGGCTTTCATATGTCGGGCTACTTCCTTGACCGCTTTTGCAACTTTCTTCGGGTACAGATCCAGGTCGATCCTGTCCATCAGCTTGATATGCGGCTCGAAGATTGCACCTTGGGCTTCCATGTCGCAGCAGTTGTCGAAGTACTCCCTCAGCATGAGGACGCTGTTGTAGAGGCAGTTGACCTTGAACCTTTCGCCCAAGCTGTCAGCGACCAGATCGGCGCTCGACATCCTGTCGCCGGCCGATAAGCTTGTGCACTCGCGCTCTAGCCTCAACACCTTCTCAGCGCCGTGCAGTTTGAAGGGTGGGACAACCTGTACTGGATTCAGGACGGAAGTGTCCGCCGAGAGGTACAGTAGACCGCGCAGGAAGTTCACCGCCGCCGGGGCGTACCTCTTCGACAGCGCGGTATACTCCAATATAAGGGATACGAGGAATAGACCCCTGGAGATGGAGTAGGCGTCCCTGAAGCGGCAGCTGGTGAGGATCTCGCACATAAACAGTACGGACGGCGTGGTGACCGGGTGGCGGAAGTCGGAAGTCGGGTAGATAGCCGATATCAGCTTGAAGAAGACCAGCGTGTCAAGATCGGGAACTTTCCGGGGGCTTTTGGTGTACTTGTCGTGTTTCTCCTTCAGTAGCTCGCAGATGAAGCGCTTCGCGGACACTTTGTTTGTGTGCGCCAGGTCGTAGAAATGGGGGAGCAGCTTGTCGTACATGAGGAACGACTTTAGGGCTCCGCCCTCGTCCTTCAGTCCGTGGAAGAGGTCGTTGACGTACTGAAGCAAATGCGCGAATAGACGGCTGAGTAACTCCTTGTTGTTGGCCGACTGGGAGGGGTCGTAGCTCTTTATCAGTTTCTGAAGAGCGGCGGATTGCTGAGACGGCGATTTACCGGTGAGTAACTCCTGGGAACAATCACATTTATAAATAAGCGCAAGTTGGTGGGTATATTAGTGATCTTGTAGCTTTAGTCAATAACAAAAACCCATTTATTCTTATCTATACAGGGCATAGTGGCACAAACAATGCTTGTGAACAAAAATCTCACTCTCTCAACAACTAATCTCACGCGACATCGAGTAGAAACAGATAATCCCAAACAATGAACACTAATTTGGCGTTGGCAACTAGGATTTGCGGAGATGCTAATAAAGTGAAAAAAACTAATGCGATGAAGACGATAGAGCACACAAAGTTGTAATTTCAGAATAAATGTAATTAATATGATTGGGAACTATGTTTATTAATATCCAATTTTAGAGGTCAGTAGGAGAGGCAGAGAAATACCGAGCATAGCCCGCTCCATAGCTCGCTGAGCGACTTTGAGCTTCCTCATACGGCCAGCAGTGAAGAACCACGTCTCGGTTCCGTAGGTCATCACTGCGTGTATTTCTCTGCGTGATAGAGTTCGTAACGAAGACATCCCCAGTAGAACCAAGGTAACCGACATAGCTCAGAGAATTAGCAAGCTGAAGTGGCGATGGGCCGGCCATATAGCTCGTAGAACCGATAACCCTTGGGGAAGAAAGGTTCTCGAGTGGCAGCCTCGTACTGGCCATCGCAGTGTGGGACGACCCCCCACTAGATGGAGTGACGACCTGTGCAAATGTGCGGGAAGTCAATGGATGCAGGTGGCTCAGGATGGTACTTCATGGCAGTCTATGGGGGAGGCCTATGTTCAGCAGTGGACTCAAACAGGCTGAAATGATGATGATGAGGACAGGCAAAAATGGAACAGCCAATGGCGGCAAATTTGTAAATCCGCCACTGGGGGCGTCTATTTGCCTACGCGCAATACATGCGTCACAATTTGCTTCCGCGCCATACTACATACGCCATCAACGTCATGGTAAAATTCCTATCGAACTGCATAACAGCTCATCTCAGATACATTGCGATGTGAAAATCCCGTACTTCTAAGACTTGTTCACTTTTCGAATTTAAAAGATCTAACGTAGTCCTGTCAGCTGCAAGCCTCGTCAGTTAAATGTTGGGCTTATAAGCGGAAGGTTGTCACATAGGCATCTCGGGGCGGAAAATAAATGGTGTTGGATGCAAAAATCAAATATCATGTCGTAAAAATCTTCACCGAACTCGTGATAAAATAGCATTTAAATTGCAACTAATAATTTCATTAGTGGCCATATCCGGATCTGAAACCAGTTTTGCCTGGGCATACCGAAAAAGCGATTGTACGCGCTCTGAGACACGACGACAGCACATAGACAATGTTTTTTCCTATCGTGAAGATGTATTTTCATGAAAATTTATATTCGCTAGTCAATTGACTTACCTTCAACTTAACACCTTCCTCAGCTTTCAAATCAAAGAAGGATTCAATCGTTTCCTTGCTTTCTTCTTCGTGTTCATCTTCTACCTCTGACTCTTCCTTAGATTCTTTTAAGTCTTCTAAATTGTCGAACTCATTGCCTTTGACCGATTGTTCATCGTCAGAACCTGCTTCATCATCAGAACCTTCTTCCTCATCTTCCTTTGTTTCTTCACTTCTGACATCTTTATTGCTAATTCCATTTACCTCACTAAGAATCTGTGCCTGACTTTGTTTATATTCTTCAGTATTTTCTTCTTCAGAGCTTTGATTTTCATCATCGTCATTATCACTCGAACTAATATCCTGTTGTTGGTCCCGTATTTCAATATCTTGTTCTTTCTTCTTTTCTATGCTTTTATTTTCTGCGTCTGCTGCCTCGTCGTCTGATGCCTCTTCGTCAGATTCATCTTCTCCATCATCTTCCGAAGACGTGTCTGATATGCCATCATCGAATTTGGGTTTTGCGTTTGGTACTGTAACACATGTTAATACTGTAAACAAGGTCCTATAACACCTAACACTTGTCTATGGATTAGACTTAGCTATACTTTACTGGAGCAAGATAAATCTAGCTGTGTTTACTTTTTGACAAGGGGCAAACTTGTTATTTAAATATTTATTTTTCAGAAACTTGTGCCGGGCATGTATAATGCAAATAATGCAAAATATGTAAATCTAAATAAATTCTCAAAATTATAGTATTTTTATAATATTATATATTGGGATAGTGGATATTTCCCAGTACTATATAAACTCAATTTAATAACAAAACGAACAGCGATTAAATTCCTAAAATACTTAAAATTAACAGTCATTTGAATGACTTAATAATAAATGCAACAAATACACACACTGTTTAAAACACTTTTATATCTGACTTTAGTCCTAAACTGAAAAGGAAATCACTTACCCGAAAAATCTTTCAGCACCTGCTCAGGAACAAGAGGTTTTCCATCCTTATCATAAGCCAACATGAAGTCCCTTTCATCGTCCAGCTCGAAATTGTCATCCAAATCGTCGGCAGACCTTAAAATACATAAAAAATAAGACCTTTACACACTCTTAAATTCTCAATACATATTTGCACATAATTGCTTTTGTATTATTTTTTTACTGTTAGTAATAAGTACTTATTATAGACTAGAATATTCGATTACTATTCGGTATTCGGTTAGTTACAAACATTCAAAAAATATATTCATTTGAAATATACATTTTAGATACAGAGAATCTGTGATTAAATAACATTTAAGGAATCTTTTATCTCTACTAAGTTACGTCTCACTCACCTGTGTTTTGCGGTTGGCTGTGATCTGTTTGGTACCGCTGCTTCTTCCTCTGACAACATTCTCAGTTGCCTTTGTTTCTCCAACTCCTCCAACTTTTTCCTCTCCTCCGCTTCCTGTTTCTCCGTGCTTTTCAACCCGTCAGACGGCTGTACAAAGAATTCGACTGTTACTAGTCTGTCGTTAAAAATTAAATTGCAGTAGTATTGGCATTTATTTCAATCATGTGTATTTACCATAACTGGATGGAGACTGGGAAGTGAGTTACGCCTTAGTTGTTATGATAGCAATCAAGTACAATATTGTATTTTGATTAACAAAGTACTATAATTTCATACAAATAACATTTTAAAAATGATAATCGATTTTGTCTTATTTTGGGAGTTAAGAAATAAAAGCAAACTTTAGATACATTTTTATATAGTGTGAATATAGTATGTAATCAATTAAACGCTTACTGTCCCTCTCTTCTCAAACCGAAGCTCTCTCATCATCTTATCATAGTCTTGACCCTTTTCCGCTTTGCTCAATACTTTATCAATTACTGATTCTTCCTCAACTCTAGCTTTCTTAAATACTACAGGCTGTAAGTCCTTCCATTCACTGTCCAACTTCTCTGTTAGATCCAAAGTCTGCTCTTTTTCTTTTTGCTTTTCCGCTTTCCTCTTCTTTGATTCTGCTATAAGTTGCTCGATTAGATCTTTATGTGATTTTGCGCCATCTTGTGCGTCAGTTTTAGAAAGGATACCACCGCCGAAATGTCCTTCTGATACAAAGTCATCTGAAATAACACAATTTTGTGAAATATCTTAAAAAGAAAAATGAATAAAAAAAAATACAAGATAATATAAAATGAACTGAAAATACATACTATCTAAGCCTCCAAATTTTTTCTCAAAATCGTCATCCTCTTCATCTGATCGTGGATCATCAAACTTCTCAATCTGCTCTAAAGTTTGGCCTCTATGGTATGGTTATAACAATATTAAAATTGTTTGTTTAATAGTTAAAATCAATTGTACATAGTAAACTCCAGTAAAGTAACAGCCTATACATGTCCCACTGCTGGTACTGAGGATGTCAGGGTATAGTTCACCATGTGGCACTACTGCGTATTGGCAGACTTAAAATATCTTTGAAACATTTTTTTTTGAAAGTATTTGTCATACTTCCACTTTATGTCATGATATCACGACCGTAAGGAAGAACATTATATGGCCAATTCTAAGAAATTCAAATTGTTGTTAAACATGAAAATTCTGTAAATGATATGCAAGAAGGCTTCTAGTCATAGACCTCAAGCCCTTGCTAAGCGGTAGGATATTTTTAAGATTCTTAAATAAATAATGCTTTATTATTATTCTGAGATCCCTCATGCTCGGTGGTAGGGCCACACAACACTGTTGCACGAATGGGCAGGTCTATCCAGGTAAGTACTACAACCTCACAAAAGACCGGCGTAAAGTAGAAGTTAGCCTTTTGTGTTTCGTCTGGTGAGTGAGGTAGTGTCAGGGCCCACTTTATGTAAAGGTGGCAACGCATTTGCAACCCTATGGGTGTTGCAAATGTCCAAAATGAAGTATGTATATAACAATTGTAATATTTCTAGCTTCTACATTAATCCTATAACAACGTAATTTTTTTTAATTTAAAAAATGTAAGTTTGTAACTTTATACTATATACTTGACTTGTATTAAAAATTGTATTAAAAATAATACCTGTGTGTCAAAATTTCATCATCAGCCAAATTGTAAATGTTTTTCTTGCTGTGCTGTTTTGCCCTCTCAGCTGCAAATCGAGCAATCATTCTGTCTTCAGCTGATAACTGGTTGTTCTTCTCACCAATTCGACGATCGATGAATGCATTTGTTTTGTTCATTACTTTCATTTCCACGCCTAGAGTTTCTTTCCTCTAAATTATGGCATATCATATTTAGCTATATATATATATATATTAACAAATAGGGCATAATAATTAATTTCATGACGTACGTTGTATGTGCAAAAATACGCCTATAATAAAAATAAAAAATATACCTTCTTTATAGCCTTGGCTCTTGAAACTCCTGGCAATCCACGGTCGTGTTTACTTTTTTTACCTAAAACTTTTAATTTCTCTCTGTTAATGTGAACCTCAAACGGATTTAATTTCTTCTTATTTGCTTCAGATTTCTTTTTCATATGCACTTTGTCGGCTAGCCCTGAGTTTTTCTTATTCTTTACTTTTGCCATTATACAATATGTTAATTAAAAAATAAATAACATTTACAACTAGAAAGCATTAAAGATTTATTAATGAAGTAAGGTTATGACTTGATTTGTCAACCGATCAAAATACACATGGTTTTGACAAGTTGACGTATTGACTATTCAATTTAGTATAAGAAAAATAATTTGTTTGAAACATACGCGGTCAACAAATTTAGTAGTTTTAAAAATTAAATGATGATATTGTTAATTTTCCATCACTGTCGTTTTTCTTAATATAATTATTTTATGATAAACTTGTGCCATTAAAGCGAATGACGTGTTTAAGTTAATATTTATTTTCCTTAGGCTAATTTTGAACGCTTTCTTGTGCTGACAGAATTTACACACTAGAAATTCCAAGGTTATTTAATCATTGTTTGGGCCCGAATACTCCCGAAAGAGCGTTCGGTTGTTTTCGGCAGGACGCCGTGTAGCATCTAGCGCGTAGGTATATTATTGTGTGGCTGACTTTCTTGTTTCGCTGGAGGAATCAACTTACTTGAAGAAAAATGGCAGACATTAGTGAGGAAGAACTTGAAAAAGAAATTGCAAGTATGTAAATTTTCTTTTTGGAACTGTATTGTATATATTTCTTACAAAATTAAGTAAATTTTAACCATTTTTCACAAAAATGTTCGTGTGCGATATCGCCCTGGGAATCATGTAATGGCTTCCTTCTGATTTCCAAGCGAACTAAATATTTGTAACTTGTAATTGAAATATCTCTGATAGTACGACTTTAATACGAGAATGTTTCAAATGAAAGTTGATTCATAATGTTTTCCGGATCTATTCAGATATTCACCACCGTTTTTGGTTTCCTAATTATGTCTGCCCACTGATGGTTTATTTTTATGCGACGCGAAGTTATACAATACTCCACGTATAAAGCGAGCTAATGGGGGCATTTCTTGAGATTATACGTATGTAAAAATGTGCGCATTACGTTTTGAAAAAGTTTTTATTTGATAGATTTTTCTATTAAATAATTAAATTATGTTATATTTGATAATATTGCTCCAAATATACGTTTTGTCGTTTTACCGCGGCCGCCATATTGCGTTCAGAAACTTTGTTTTATTATACGCCTGGCGCGACTTCGCTAGTCTGCTTTGTTGTTTATTCAGGTTTTTAAAATTCCTTGCAAAGTGTAATCGCGTTTAACAAATGGATATTAAAAAATAAAAATAATTTAATTTAGAAAAGAAAGCAAAATTAATGAATGTGATATAATTTTAAAGATTAATATGAAGTAAATAAAATTAATATGAAATATATAAAATTAATCATTATACCTGTTAATAAAGAAAAATAAACTTGTATAGTATATAAGTTTTTCAAACTTAATAGGTATTTTAAATAAATTGTGAGCTTTGTAAACTTTAAAATATATAGCCATCTATTAACACTCAGTTTTATGTAGAGAAATTGATGATTTAATTGCCACTACATACGGTCCAAAAAGCGATATACTTAATATATAAGGGTTAAAAGGCTTAAATAACATATCTGATCAAGTCAGTAGATTACATAGTATATAGATTTTTTTATAACATTTTACCTGCATGTATCTAAAAGCAAAGTGATAATTTTCACTACTATTGAAAATAACATAGCCACTATATATAAATGGTTGCATTTTTTTTTTCACATTGTATAAGGTAATAAGTATTCACATCAATATATTTTACATACATCAACAAGTTAAGTTTCAAATTGATTTATATACTTATATTAGTACCACTGTGTATAGAGGATGCCTTTTCTCAGCAGTGGGACATGTATCGGCTGTTACTTTACTTTTATAAGTACCACTGTTTAGTGGTACTATATTTACTAACCATTTACAATACAGTTCATCAATATTTTATACAGTTATTAAACAACATCTACATTTATTAATTGAAATAAATGGATAAAAGAAAGAATATATTCAAAATTGAATACATGAAGAGTTCCAAGATATATTAACCTTCCATTCTTTTTACAGAAATATTGAAAAATGCAAACTTGGCAACAACCTCCACCAAGAAGGTCATTCAGAAACTGGAGAAGAGCTTTGGGACAGATCTATCTGATAAGAAGAAAGTCATTGACCAGCTTGTAATGGAATATGTGAACAGCAAGGGTTCTGACTCCGAAAATGATGATGACGAAGAGGAAGTACGTAATGAAGACTTATTTTGTTTTATTCTAATATTAACTTTTTCCTTTCTGATTTGTCAGGTAAATCAGGCTATGATTGTGCAGACAATTAACCATTGTCAAGGCTGCCTTAAACTTATAATAAACTTATAATTTAAATGAGTGTTTAAGTAAATTTACGTAGCTGCTCACCATCATTATTTTACAATGAAGTAAATAAACATGCAATAAGTTTGTAGTAGTACTGGACCAGTTGTATAGCCATAGGAAAAAGATGGCAATCTCTATGCAATAGTGTTTGCCATCTTTTTCCGTTTTCAAATATACTAACATTTGTAGTTAATTCATCAACTACAATTACAGGAAGAAGAAGAGAAGAAGCCGGTGAAGAGAGCTGCACCTGCCTCAAAGACCTCTGCTAAGAAATCTCGCAAGGATAGCAGCGAGGAAGAGGAAGATGATGACAAAGGCTCGGATGAGAGTGAATCTGAGGTACATTGGTGTTCTAGGACACCAAGCTTGTTGTCTGCCTACCATTTATGATGGTAACACTAAAGATAGTAATAATATGAAAATGTTAATTAAACCATGTTAATTGGACATACTCAATTATAACTACAAGAAATATTTAATCTAACATAATTATCAGGAAAAAAAAAATGTGTTTAAAAAAAAACTAAAATTAAATTAAGTGCTTGTTTACCAAGTTGTTATTGGAATATTAATAATTAAATTTCACAGGAGGAACAGAAGAAAAAGCCGGCTGCCAAGAAGGGTAAAAAGAAGAAGGGCTCCGATGGAGATTCGGACAGTGATTGGGGAAAGAAGAAAGAAAAAGCACCTAAAGCTAGAAAGGTATAGGAGTAATAGAAATATGTTGTCAAATTAGAAAATGTTTTTTGTTTATTTACTTTTGCACCGAACTTTACAAACAAACATTTGTTTAATGATTGTTTTGGTTAGACGCACAAAACTAACGCGCCATTATGTAGTAGGATCACGCAATGGCTGCGGCTGTTGCATGAACGCGGAGGTCCGTTCGGCTACCACGTCACACCGTTGGCGGCGGATATCACTTAACATCGGGTGAAGCGGCAGCTCACTTGCCACCTACTTAAAAAAGTTACCTTACATCATAAACATCAAGTAAAGTCAACATATTATTAAAAGGTTGCAACGCATCTGAAACCCAACGGGTGTTGTGAACATCCGTAGGCGGCGGTCATCATTTACCATCAGGTGAACCGCCAGCTCACATTAAGAAACAAAATTAATAGTGCGTGGAGTGGAAGAAGTGAAACTTCGAGCGCATTCACTCTCGCTCTGTCTCCTTCTGTCCCAGCCAGGAGCGTTAAACGTTTAACGCGACCATGTCAGAAGTCGCATTAGGAGTTTCACATCAAAGAAAGACATTACTAAAGAGAGCATTTACCCAGGGTGGCGGAGGCGGTCGGGGCAAGGGCGGCTACACGCGCGCCTACAAGCTGTCTCCAGCTCTGGCCGAGCTGATGGGCCAGGAGGAGATGCCCCGCCACGAGGTGGTGAAGCGCGTGTGGGCGCTGGTCAAGGAGAGGAAACTGTACGACCCCAACAACAAGCAGTTCGCCATCTGCGACGACGCCATGTACAAGGTGTTCGGCACGAAACGCTTCCGCATATTCGGTATGATGAAGCACCTAAAGTCCCACTTCTGCGACTAAACTATGTAGAGATGCCGGAAAAATATCGATATTTTTCGTATTAAATATATCGATACATCGATATAAAATATTCAATATCGAAAACGATATTTTTTTTTTTTCAAATTCGTATATGGGACTAAGTCCGTACATTCAAACATTTAATACTTGGCATACGTTTTTTTCCCCGACAACAAGGACTAAAATGTGTCGATATATCGATATTTTCTCTTCGATATATCGAGGCTGATATTGATATTTTTATGAGTATCAATAATTTTTCACTTTCCGCATCCCACCCCATGTGGGTGATTTTAAAGTTGTAAACAGACTCTTCATGATGGTTAGTTTCGATGATTCTAAAAAAAAAACTTGGTAACTATTCACTTGTACAACTTTCTTTACGGCGGTCTCTGGATCTGTGACATTCAATACTTAAGTTTACATTCAATCCCTTTGGTAATTTTACATTATGTACAATTGTTCATATAACTCTTCTTGAAGCTTAGTTGTGTTGATTCTACGAAAACTTAGTAACTACTCACTTGTACAACTTTACGACTTTTCTCTGTCTATGTGACAATTAAGACTCAATCGCGTTGGTAATTTTACATTGTGTATAAGTTTGTAATGAGAGGGTACACTATGTTTAAACATAGATGATAATTAAAATACATTAGTAATCTTTTTTTTTTTACTTGAAGAAGATGAAAGTGACCAGTTCACTTCCATCTTCTTCACCTTCACCTGATCGTAAGTGATAACCGCCGCCCATTGACAGTGGCAACACTCGTAGGGTTGCAGATGCATTGCCGCCTTTTAATAAAGAGGGCCCTGGCTACCTCACCGGACGAAACGCGGAAGCAAATATTATAACAGTTTCACTACACGCTGGTCATCTGTGAGGTCGAAAATGCATCTTTTTAATTCTTCTCTTTATAATTTTATAATAAATTAATTCGAGGTTGAGGATAAAAATGCTTCATGTAATGTGATTTTCAATTTGCTAAGCTAAAGTTAGTGTTAATTAAAAAAATTTTTTGCATTTATTAAAATGGTTTAATGTTCTTAACAGACACCATATAACATTACCAACAAATTGAAAAAGAAATAATTAACAGTGCTCGCCTGTTTACATATCCGATGACATTGTAACAACATTTTCAGACAAATGTAGCGTTAAGTTGATGTAAGAAAAACCATTATAAATATTAAGTACACAGTCTCAGTAATTGAAACTGTCTTCATTCACGTTTCCACAATAATTATTGCGGTGACAACCCATCACATGGATCAAGTGGTTGTGCTAAAAGATGTTTAGTAAACACTCTGATAAGTTTAAGGTGTAAATTTATTTCTTTCTTCAGTACCATCGGCGCTAGATTCGATTCCCATATGGGTAAATTGATCCCTTATGACAATTAAATTTCTCCGTATAAAGGTGCTTGTCAAACTTGTGCCCCTATTATAAAGTATAATTTTAGGTGTGACAAAAGTATCATTATTAATACTTTATTTGATGAGGACGCTTGAATTATATTTTTATTGTCACATGTAACCGGTTGTAATTACTTTGGAATATGAGTCGAAAGAATAAATTAAACGGCATATTCAAAATGTAATAAGAAAAATATTACGAATTAATTATGTAGATATTTAAGCTCTTAAATTTGATTAAGAACATCTCTTCTAAACTACCTGTAAACTTGATTCTGTAATTTCTCCTTTTCACTACATGTACAATATTAAAATGTCAGCACACAGCAAATTATCGTATAGATTATTTAAATATTTTAAGTGATTACTAACATTGAATAATCATGTCATAAAAAAAATAGTTTTATAGTCTCGGTAAATTTTACGATGATACAAAATTTAGAAGTTTAGATTAAGATGGATATAAAAATCTTAAAGTGACCATTCATGAAGTGTTTCGAGAGTTGTTAAATATTAATGAAATGAGGCAATTATAAATTTTTATACGTCCATATTGCCGAATTTTAAGTGTGTAACAACTCTGTTTAGATTAAATCTAAATATAAGAATACATCTATTCTCTAATCTATAACAATTATGTAATGCATTTCTTCGCTGATAATTTGAATATGAGTCTAATTTTGTTTAAGATGAATTTGTACTATTAATGTAAGGTCCATTTGATTCAAATGCCTAATTCTGGGGACAGCTTTATCGTTAAGATGTATCTAGATAACACTGTACCATTTATACACTATATGTACACAAATAGTGGAAACACAAAATCAATTAATTTATGTGGATGGCCCATAGGTGACAAATATCCAGTTTAAGACAACACTGAAGACCCAACAAGTTCTGCGCTCGATGAAGCTTTAATACAGCTTGAACGCAATTATTACAAAAACATTAGTTAAAGTAAAAGGATGTTTACAATATTGTCAAACTAGTCCAGGCACCTCTATAACATCCAAAATTTAACCAAAATCTATCTAAATCCTATAAAAGAAATAAATCCTTACTAATATTATAAACGCGAAAGTTTGTATGTATGGATGGATGTTCGTTACTCTTTCACGCGAAATACTACTGAATGGATTTTAATGAAACTTTGTAATATATAACTTATACATCAGAATAAGACATAGGTTATAATTTATATACATATTTTATGTATATCTGTCTTTCTGTCGTAATTTTACACCTTCAGCCTATTCTAAGCAGACGTCGCTTTAAAAGATCATTGTAATAATAGTAGTGCTCTCCATCAAAACTAAACAGGATAGCTAGTCTCAGAATTGTCCAGTTCGGCTTCTGCCAACAATAGTGGAAACTGAAGTTTTATTTCGTTGTAACATGGTGCATGTATTCCCCTGAAGGTATGTTGAACCGCTTATGATAAGCAATAATTTGTGACAATTCGACATCAATACATCTAACGTTCTTGACTTTGCAGTCTTCGGAATTAGGCAAACTGACCTTTATTAACTTGCTGTAATAATTAAGAGAAACGTATGATAGTCGAGTACTAACAATGTATATTGACTGTCTCCATATAATTGTGTATGCATCGATAAATTCAAAGTATCGTTTGACGTATCATGAAAGTTCGTTCCTTTCTCAAAATTAACAGGGTGATGTATCCTTTTTGATATTTTTGACGTAGAAGAAATTATATCGTCACTGCACTAGTTGTGACGCGCGGTTGTAACCGTGTTAAATTTCCCTGCTCCGCCCCTTTACCTTGCTGTGAGTTTTAGACAACCTCAACGGCTATGAATTGTTCTTCCGGAAGGTATTTTGTTGGTATTTATTATTAAACCGTTTAAACAAATTTAACTTACTAGCCTTCGCATTAATGTTGATTGTTGGTTAATGTTATCAAATGTGTGACAAGTTCTTCATTACATATTATCTTCTAATATATAAAATTCTCGTGTCACGGTGTTTGTAATTGAACTCCACCGAAACGGCTCGACCGATTTTCGTGAAATTTCTGTGTGCATATCGGCCAGGGTGGAGAATCGGACATCTATTTTTCATCCATCTAATTGTTAGGGTGGTCCACCCCTAATTTTTTATTTATTTTTTATGTAAAAAAATTTGTTTTTATTTTTTTATGATACAGCGTAGAAAAATACATACAACCCTAAAGTTTCACCCCTCTACGCAGACGTAGTCGCGGGCAGCAGCTAGTTATTTATAAATCCCTCTCAATTTCTGCTGAAGCAGGGTTTAAGCGAATATAATTACAAAATTACTATTAGCATTAATGGGGCGGAGTTAGTGGTATCTTCATTTCAACACATTCTTGTGTGATTATAATTCAAAGTTATGTAATACACCCATATCTATGATTAAGTTGTGTACTGAGTAGTTTTGGTGCAGCTGTGTGTATGTGGTCTAGTTCGCTAGCGTGTGAGTTTGTATGCATCAATAGGGTCCTAATGTATGAAAATAAACAAACATTTTGGAAACGTACCGACTTTCATTATTCGAGTTGCGCGCACGGTTTTCAGAATAAAATGACTCGTCAAATGCCTTGGTAACGGCAACCGAAAAAAAAATTGTCTCCAATGGAAAACGGAGATATTATGCTGAGAAAAATGTATATGTAACGTAAGTACATTAAATCGAATTTATAACGGTTTTTCACATTTAAAAAAACTGGACACGGTGGTAGAGCCACGCAGAAGCCTCGGCCGTTGCACGAATGGGCAGGCTCGTCCGGGTAAGTATCACGACCTCGCAGAAGAGTGGCGTCAAGTGGAAGTATAACACTTTCGCGTTTCGTCTGGTGAGTGAGGTGGCCGGAGCCCAATTTTCAAAAGGTTGTCAACGCATCTGCATCCCTCGGGTGTAGCCGGTGTCCATGGGCGGTGATATTCACTTAACATCAGGTACATCACCTGTTCGCTAGGCAACTTTTCACTTTGAATTATTGGTAAATCTGAAAAAGTCGTTATTGGTTGGCCAAACTAAATTGGTTACCAACATGCCTTATGCGCGTCGGTGTGCGCGCGCATCGCAAAAATTTTACCCTCATAATTTTTGCAATTGCGTCAAAAGTAGTATAAATTCAAAAACAGCAATGCAGTAGCCCTTTTTATGTGATAAAACTGCAAGCACGCTGGCGGTGCCTGATGGTAAGTGATTACCGCCCATGGAAATTTGGAACACCCATAGGGTCGCAGACAATAAAAACATTTTAATGAAGTGGGCCCCGGTTACCTTACTCACCAGAGGAAATGCACAATAAATAAATATTTTCGGACACATTTTTTACACAACGTTCTCTAGTCCCAAACTAAGCAACGAAGTTGGTACTAGAAAACCAATAAACTTACTTAAACATACTTTTCTTTTGTAAATAAATACATATATAATCACCCAGACACTGGAAAAACACGATGTTCATCACACAATATTTTTCCAGTAGTGCGGATCGAACCCAAAACCTCTGGCGCAAGAGGCACTACTCCCCACGCCAATCGGGTACTAATAATAATTCTACTTCACGCCGGTCTTCTGTGTGGTACTTCCCCGGGCGGACCTGCCCATTCGTGCATCAGTGAAATATGCTACCCGGCAGGGGTACATATTATATAGACCTTTACTTCATGGATATCCACTATTTTCTGGAACTGATTCCATGGGCGGCTGTTGTAATAAGAAAAAAGCATTTAAGAGAGTAGACCCCTTCAATCAGACTGAGTTCGGAAGATAGATGTGGCATCAAAATGCTCTTCTAATGTCTTTGCAAAATTTGCTATTCCCGACCCTCGTGGATTCTCCCGAACTCTTTGAATAAAAAAAAGCAATTGAAATTGTTTTGCTCTATATAATAATCGAGAGTGTCTAATGCCCGGTGACCACTGAAGCTATCGCATGCACTCCTTAGACCTCGCAATGTTTTTTTTACCTAAAGTCCCGCTTAACTAGATGAAGTTCGACCCATTATTGAACTGTGTACAGTTAGTCTATATTATAAACAGGCGGGACTCAAGTTTTTGACGCCACCCTATTCAGTTACATATGATTTACAAAATTTCAAGAAGGAAGGGCTAGAGTGGCAGCCTCGCAGTGTAGGTCTCTCACTAGATGGACTGACAAATTGTGCGAGTATGCGGTAAGTCGATGGATGCAGGTGGCTCAGGGTGGTACTTCGTGGCAGGCTATGGGGGAGGCCTATGTTTAGCAGCGGACTATCAGGCGCGAATGATGACGATGAGACATAATTCTGGAGGTGTTAAATCCTTACTTAATATTATAAAGGCGAAAGTTTGTATGTATGGATGGATGTTTGTTACTCTTTCACGCAAATACTACTGAATGGATTTTAATGAAACTTACAATAATATAGCTTATATATCAGAATAATACATAGGCTAAAATATATATACATATTTTTATGTATATCAGTCTTTACTGTCTGAATTTTACGCCTTCAGCCTATTCTATGCAGACGTAGTCGCGGGCAGCAGCTAGTCAGCAATAAGTAAACAAAGTTTACGGGCTGAAGATACAACAATAAACACACTCGGGTTGTCACAATAAATAAAATAATTATATGTCAATTTGAATCCGTAACCATGACGTCGATCGATTGATTTTCTAACACACTCGTAGATGGTTTTTACCGTATTTTCGTATTAGTTTTATTTTTTATATAAGTTGGAATAATTTTACATAAAAAAATGGCTTGCAACGAGAACATAATAAAGAATATGGCGAGCGAGGTGACCAGGAACTGTCAAAGTCATAATGTGATCGTAGAGGAAGACTTCGTCACGTTCTTGATAGAGCTGCTGCTATTGAATCCGAAGTACGGGAAACTATTCTCGAAGACGATTAACAGGAACAATTTGGAGTACTTCGTGAACGAGTGCGTGGCGATGTTGACAAGTAAGTGTTATTATTTTGTAGTGGAAGTTTGTCTGAGAAAATATACGAGAGTGTATAAAGGCCAATATAAAGAGTTACTTACATACAATGGTGATCGTTTATACTTTTTTAGTTGATAACACAATCGCGGACGGAGTAAAAACCGTTAAATGTATTAAATATGACTCATCAGTCTTTAATAAAGTTAAAATTGTTAATAATTATATGTTATCTCGGTAACAAGAGCCGGGTCCGTTCAAGAGGACGCATTTGTTTATTTTAATGTGTATAGTTATCAACAGACCAGGCTCACCTGGGGTTAAGTGATAACCGTCACCAATGGCGATTTAAAAAATCAGACGGTGTGTACCCAAAAGTTTAGCCCTGGTTACCTCACACACCAGCCTGTCCATTCTGCAACATTAATAGCTGCTGCGTGGCTGGGCCTACCACTGATAGACCGCGGATTCGCTGCAGGAACGTGTGGCGTAAAGACATATAGATTTCTTATGTAAGAATGTGGCAAGCGAGCTGTAGCTCAGACGAAACGCAGAACCTTAATACTTCCACCTCACGCCGGTCTTCTATGGGGTCATGGTACGGAGCGCCTTACACTTCTGCCTCGTGAGTAAAGTAACCAAGGCAGACTATATAAATAGCGTAAAGTGGAAGTATGACAAATAAAAATTGCGTTTCGTATGGTGAGTGAGGTAGCCGGAGCCCAATTTTCAAAAGGTTGTCAACGCATCTGTAACTCTCGGGTGTACCAGCAGATGTCCATGGGCGGCGGTATTCACTAAACATCAGGTGAACCGCCAGCAGGCTTGCCACCGTCTCACATAAAAAAAAAACTTGTAGAAGGCGAAACGTCCATACACACGCTGAAGATGCAATTCGTGATGCGTACGAGCTACGGCAGACTGGAGGATCTTGTTGACCAGCATCTAGACTCTATAGAGAGCTGCCTCCGACCTTTGGTGACGGAGATCGTAGAAGAGGAACCAGCTGCGGATGAAGAGGCGGCCTTCAAGAAGCTCTTCAGAAAGATATCGATATACATTATACTGGCGAGTGGCTTGGGGAACCCCGGTCAAATTACGGTCAGTAATAGTAGATGCAACATAAGATTTCTATTTAGGTTAAAAAAATTGCACATTCTAAAAATAAGTATGTTAGGTTAGTGTCGTGTCAAAGTTAGACGGAATTTTTTTATTCAGTTTATGTCAGATCTTAATCGTGAAGTTCTCTCGTTAAGGTGAACATTTAGATCTTTAGGAAGAACACGAAATGAACTGAACGAATGGGCGGCCATGCAAAAAACCAGCTTGAAGTAGAAGCATCGTACTTTTTTTTACCTTCCGTCTGCTAAGTGAGGTATACTCAACCTTCGAAAACTTACAACGCAACCATTCCAAGGTTGTTGTGGATGTCACTCAACATCCAACTGTCAGAACCTTAGCAAATTTATCTAATTAAAAGAAATGGACAATAGCATAGGCGACATCTTTCGTTTTCAAAGTAAATAATTATTGTCAAAATGTAATTTGTGATCTTATCAAATTGTGATCCAAAGGGATAACATTAAATTACGCCAAACATTAGTACGAATGCAATAAAAACAAAGACCTTGCGATTTTTAGGAGGTATGTCAACTACTAAGCTTGGGAGCAACAGCGTAATCCGGAAGGTTCGAAGTAAAAAAAGTAAGGTACGGCCTATAAATGTCCCACTGCTGGGCAAAGGCCTCTTCTGTACAGACGGTTCGGGGCATATTCCACCACTGTGTTTGGCAGACTTCGTATATTATATTTTTTTTCTGTCGTCATTTCGAAAAAATACAGGTTTTCTCACGATGTTTTCCTTCACCGTTGAGCACATGATGCACATGAGCTCCTGCCCCTCGTGCAACGCCGTGACTGTTGCGTGGCCTTACCACCGTTAATCACGGCTCTCGTGGCAGCGGCAACACATTTTTGCGACATTCTTCGAAGTCAAAGTATATTTATTCAATATAGGCTTAACGTAAGCTCTTATTGAACGTCAACAAAAAATCTACCATTGTATGTATTGAATTGATTGTTCTATCTATTGAATTGACAGACCCTTAAAGAGGGCGTTGCGGCGCTCGAGAGCGTGTTTACGTTGGAGGATTTGAAAGTGTTCATCACGCTGCCCACCAAAGACAAGTGGAAGCGGCTCTACGAGCTGATGGAGATCGTTTCAGGGGTCAGACTCTTCAACAGGGACTGCAAAAAAGGCGGCGAGGGCATAACAGACTGTGAGTGACATATTTATTTAACTATTTACTTTATTTGGAATACCTACATGTACACAAAATTAAGTGAACAGAAATTTCAGGGCATGACTTACACATAATTTCAACTAAAGGTAGTCACAACGATCACAATGGTATTTACGTACTCATAACTTAAATTTGTTTATTTAATGAAAACAAAAACATATAATATGTAAAAATAATCGAGTGTGGTGTGGTGGAAGGGAAAAAATTATTTAAACATATATTTATATCGAGTATATCACCTACAACCGTGGTAGGGCCACGTAAAACTTCGTCGTTGCACGAATGGGTAGGTCCGTCCGGGTAAGTACCGCGACCTCACAGAAGACCAGTGTGAAGTGAAAGTGTTATGCATCCGCGTTTCATCTGGTGAGTGTGGTAGCCCGGGCCCACATTGTAAAAAGGTGACAAGGCATCTACAACCCTATGGGAGCAGCAAATGTTACTGGTGGCGGTTATAACATCAGGTGAACCATCTGCTCTCTTCCCAACTTTTCATATAAAAAAAGCGCTGTACAATGTGTGGTGTGTTATACTCGGGAGCGCCAGTTGTACTTTTGTTACTAGCTTCGAGACAGACTCCCAACTAAATCGAGAGCACCATTCCAACAATCGAAAACACTTACCTGTGGTAGGGCCCCGTAAGTGTTAAGTGTTGCACGAATGGGCAGGTCCGTCCGGGTAAGTACCGCGACCTCACAGAAGAGCGGCGTAAAGTAGTAGTGTTACACCTCTGCGTTTCGTCTCGTGTGTGACGTAGCCGGGGCCCACTTTATTTAAACGTGGCAACGCATTTGCAACCTGACCAACCCGGAGCCCAATTTTCTAAAGGTTGTCAACGCATCTGTAACTCTCGGGTGCACCAGCAGATGCCCATGGGCGGCGGTATTCACTTCCCATCAGGTGAACCGCCAGCTCGTTAGCCACTTTCTTCACCACTGATCATATACTTTACAGAAACTGGTTGTGCTTTTGCTGGCATTAGCTTTGAATTTTTCTTCAGTGCCCTTCAACCTGGTGGACGCCGGCAAGGCCTGCATGTCCACACTGTCCAACACGCTGATGGCGGTCATGCAGAAGGTCAACTCTCTGACCACCGCCATCGACGGTAGCGTCGTCATCCAAGAGGAGACTGGCAATGTATGCGTTAACGTGGACCCCCAATTCCAAATGTTAGTGCCTTCTATACACATCATTGCTGGGTCTTCATCTATATGGTCTTTGCCAAATAAATAAAAAGACGACATGATTTAACACGTGAAACAAATCTGCTGCAAGATGATAAATTTAAAAAAATGACATTTTCTCTTATTCTACGCAGTATAGTTGTAGTAAGTATTCAAAGTCAAGAAGGATAATTTAAGTTATGAGTAAGTATTGTATTTCAGGGACGATTATAACCAGATATTTGAGGTGCTAGCCTTCTATCGGCAGTACGAGATTTATACGCGGAAGCTGTTGGGTGACGTCGAAATGCTCGTACACAGCGCCACGCAGAGCGTGCGCAAATTGCGCGAGGTCTTGATGGAGCTTCATGCGTCCGTGAAGTACAAAGCTGCGGTGCCGGTCCTTACGGTGTTCGTGAGTGTCGAAATTTGAAATTGTTAATCGTTATCTGGATCGATAGCTCTCTGGTGTAAATAATTCACATGGCGCCGAAGCCATTGCCTTCGGCGCCATGTGAATTATTTTATAAATGGTTTTTGCTATGTTTTTTACTACTGGCCACTGACATCAACCCACTAGGAACAATCGCCTAAATCGGAAACGATTATCTGTCGTCGCCGAATCAACGCCTCGGCAACAGCGCAGCAGAGCTATCATCACCCCAGCGCCCTCTTCACGGCCCCCCCACGAGCCAAACGTTTGCCCCTCACGAGCCAATCTTTCAGCCGCTGTTCGCCGACCTGTGGTAGGGTGTGGCGCGACATGCAGAACATGACGTTCGCGGTGTCCACCATGAGCCGGCTGGCTGCGACCCTCGCCGCCGTGCAGGAGCTCGTCAAGACTCCCGGCAGAGTCCTGGACGAGATGCTGGCCGGCAGGCGCGTGCTCACCGACCACGAGAGGCTGAGGAGCAACAGGCACGAGGAGAGACCGGCCGTCGGCGCCTTCAGGGGCCACGTCGGCTGCAGCAGCTACAACCTGGCGAAGGATAGAGGCGCGCAGGTCGGCGAAGGAACAGTTTCCATAGACGATTAGATGTGGAAGGGCGGGGTAATAAACTGGGGCCCGGCTACCTCACTGAAGGAACACAGAAGTATACACTTCCACTTGGCGCTGGCTTCCTGTGAGGTCGTGGTATTACCCGGGCCTGTCCATTCGAACATCACCGAAGACTTGCGTGGCCCTACCTATGACTTATAGGATGAGAGAGCAACAAAAGGCTCGTATTAATGATGTTTCAAATTTCTAAATGCAGTTCAGACCCTGTGTTTGTGCACTTATTTATAAGGCTTATTTTAATGAATTTACCGGCACGATGCGAAAGGTCATGGTCAAATCATTGAAGAACAAGGAGAGTGTTAGGACATTCGAGTTGCGTAATAAAATCAGTATTACAATAATTGACTGTTACGCACCGATGTTTCGAAAATCTATGGCTGGATCGAACGGCACAGGTCACTAAATGCATCTCTTATTTAACTTCTTATTTACCACTCGCCTTTCGAATAAAGGAAAATTTGCTTTCTGCTTCAAGTCTTTTATATTGGTTAGGTTTTTTTATTGTTATTTTAATTAATTTTAATTGTGTTTTTTAGTACAATTGCTTAATCGATTCTTAAATATCAATGTTACCAGTTTGGTAATACGATGAAGTTTGTGTCGCTTATGTCGCGCATCTTAAGAACCGACTCATCATTTTCCCCAAACGGACCGAAAGAAGTATAACATAAAAGAAAGTCCTGTAATCCCTGCCGATGCTTATCGAAGATTCCCATTCCCAGTTCCTGGGGTTCTGCGCGGTGTGCCTGAGCGTGGGCGCTCTGATTCCCGGGAGCGCGAAGCTCGGCCAGGGCAAGCGCCGATACGCATTCTGCGGCGGCGAGATGGCGCGCCGGTTCAACGCGGACCCCCAGAGGTATTCTTCAATTCAGCACCGGGAGTGGGACTGGGGTGGTGGATCTCTCCCTTCCCAATGTAACACTGGGTAGACTGGGATAGCTGATGGTCCCTTCCTTCCTCCTCAGAGGCGTGTATTCTTTAATGTAGCACTGGGTAGACTGAGATAGCTGATGGTCCCTTCCTTCCTCCTCAGAGGCGTGTGTTCTTTAATGTAGCACTGGGTAGACTGAGATAGCTGATGGTCCCTTCCTTCCTCCTCAGAGGCGTGTGTTCTTTAATGTAGCACTGGGTAGACTGAGATAGCTGATGGTCCCTTCCTTCCTCCTCAGAGGCGTGTGTTCTTTAATGTAGCACTGGGTAGACTGAGATAGCTGATGGTCCCTTCCTTCCTCCTCAGAGGCGTGTATTCTTTAATGTAGCACTGGGTAGACTGAGATAGCTGATGGTCCCTTCCTTCCTCCTCAGAGGCGTGTGTTCTTTAATGTAGCACTGGGTAGACTGAGATAGCTGATGGTCCCTTCCTTCCTCCTCAGAGGCGTGTGTTCTTTAATGTAGCACTGGGTAGACTGAGATAGCTGATGGTCCCTTCCTTCCTCCTCAGAGGCGTGTGTTCTTTAATGTAGCACTGGGTAGACTGAGATAGCTGATGGTCCCTTCCTTCCTCCTCAGAGGCGTGTATTCTTTAATGTAACACTGGGTCGACTGAGACAGCTGATGGTACCATCCTTCCCCCTCAGGGGTTTGTATCCTTCAATGTAGCACCTCCACTTGGTAGACTGGGCAGGCTGAAGATTTCTACCTTTCCTTTTTTTACTCTGTGGCGCAGTTGCCAGGGTGCTGGCTTAAGTCGTGGGTTCGATTCCCACACGGGACAAGTATTTGTATGACCCACAGATAATTGTTTCGGGTCTGGGTATTTGTCGTGAGCAAAGTCCTTAAGACGATCGTAACCTTTTAGGCATCGGTGTGGCCCAAGGCTTTTTAGGGGTTCGATCAAATACCTTGAGATGATTTTATTCCGGATGTAGTGTTCCACTACAATAGTGTGCAAACATAGATTTTGCTGGACCCATAGACATTTCCTTTGGCGTCTGGACGTAGATTCAAAATGTAACGTAAGAATTCAAATGTCCATAATAATTAATTATTATAGATATTTTTTATTGTAATATAATTATTCAATACAGAAGCATTACACTCACTTATCGATTGTCAAAAAATAATACAACCATTTACAATATTCGCGTAAAAACAAGAAATCAATATGATGTAACATAAAATAATCCATTTCAGATATATAAACGAGGCACTGGAGTACGCGAGGAGCAACCCTCATATGATCTACCTCCTCGGCATCAGCGAGGATGTGGAGAGTGTGAAGGAAGTGGACGAGCTCGTCACCAAACACCTGCCGAGGAGTGAGTGCCGTTCAAACTTGTTCGTATCGCTGAACACCCTTGCTTATGCATTTTGAGGAAGCTCCTGTGATAAAAACTGATGGATTGTCGAGAATCGTAAACTAGTAAATTAAGCCAACAAGTTTATATATCATTGCTTCAAATGCTTAAAAAAAAACAATGTAGATGCTTAAAAAAAAACAAATGACGTTGAGAATTTCGTCGGTTTGGCGCGAATCCCGAACACGTGGGTTCGATTCCCACAGCGGTGAAAAACTTTTCATTCCTTTTTCTACAAATTTTAATATCAGATACTGTTCGCGTATTGCCTATCGAGATCATCGCCGCAACTAGCGCGACTTAATTTGCATGCTATTATTTTATGTACAACTTACATACGTTATAAGGTATTTTTTAAGATTCTTTGTGTTACCGTTCTGTGAATTAGCACATTACAAGTCTTGTAAAGATTCTGATTATATTTTTTTAAATACCTAAACTATCTCCCAATCAGACGTGGCTAATACCGAGAGTGATTTAGATAGTATTGCAACGTTCTTTAGCCTTATTATTTTGTTGTAACGGATTTTCTAGCATTTAAATTTTTGACGCTCATATACATTATAAAAAGTTAAAAATTTTCCACAAATCTCCTTTCTAGCGAAGGTGTGCAACAAGGACATACAAACTGACACGCATCCACTTGAGAGCTACATTGAGAAGAATTACAGTTCGGACCTTTGGGAGTGGAAAAGGCGGGCCTGCCAGTGGGTGAGTGTTGTTTACCTTTATCTGTAGTTGAGAAAAATTAGTAATTACCCGTAACAGTCTACATAAATTATTTGGTTCCTTAATTTAACTCGTATATTTTTTTTTTATTTCCTTTTACTTATTTATAGCAATTTCGATGACGGGAACTTCTTGGCTTTAATTATTGATTCAGTAATTATAAAATGGTAATTGGTCCGTCAGTTGACTACTTTTACGTCTTTCCGTGACGTCATTTCCGCCATGTTTAATGTTTTTCGCCATGTTTGTTTTTAACCCGTTTATAGCAATTAATTTAATTTCCGTACGAAATTAAATTAATTGCTATAAACGCAAAATGTATTAATTAGGTAAACATTGAATTATTTTGCAGTACAACTTGAAGTGCTATAATGTTTTTAGACTATTTTAGTTTAAAAACATTTACTTATTATAAATTGAGTCTAGTTAATTTGTTTACAAGTCATTGCGCCTTTCCAAAGATCTCACCACACCATAGGTCGACTGGTAGAGAATGCCTAAGTCCTAAAAAGATTGAATAAATAAATAAAAATCTATTTTGTTTACACTGTGCTTTTTCAGTCTATTTTCAGTCATGTATTATATTGCACTTTCTAACTCGCCGATTCGTGTTGGTGTTAGCTGAATTATTTATATGCGACTCGCCATGGCATTCCCTTCCCAGGCGAGCATAGTCAACTGTCGGACTCATTCCACGCAAACCGAGCACAGCCACATGCGCTCCGAAGTCCAATGCCAGACGGTCCACCACCGGGACAAGGGGTTGCAGACCAATAAGGAGTGCGGGGTGAACACCATCCCCAGGAACACCTACCTGTGGGCCCTGAGGGGGCAGCTGGGTGACGGTCAACACGTTGTCAGTTTAGACGAGGCGCCCCATTCGGAATTGAGAAAAGGTGCGTTCATTATAAGCGAATTATATTAATTACCAAAACGGTGGTACTTACGAACCTATATATAATTTTTTGATGTAAAATTTGACGATTCACAAGAGAGCGCAAGCGTCTAATTGAATAAGTATATTTTTCATTTTGATTTGATTTGAATTCAACGTTATGGTTGCGGTTGTCTGCACTTGCGAGGGGCGTTCAATGTTATCTCGATACAGGCATGAGATAAACAAATTATGAATAAAATTTATTTTTCAATGTAGTCCCATCGTCTCAATGCACTAATTTCAAATGTCACTCATGAAAAATTTCCATCAATTTCCGTCTTCAAATATTCACATGTCTCGTCTTCAACTGATGAGATAATTAGATAACAGGGTAATTAAATAATTACTTACCCTAATCTAATATACCACCCCTATACCGAGAATACATTGAACGAATTTGATGCAAATTAAAAATACCTAAACGCCCGACACTTTACCGTTAGCTAAACGTTATGGTTGCGTTCAAATTATTCAGTTCCCTTTTAATAAACATTGAAATGAGATTTCATTCAATCCAAAAAAACAAAATGACAATTAACAATTTCAGCTGTACCCTTGATCGCCTGCACTAAACATTGCTGTAAGAACATAGAAGCCATTAGGGAGAAAATCAGAGAGCTAGAGGAGTGAGGACGAACATGAAATTGGAGTGCAATACAATTTAGAATTTAACGCTTCAATCCGGCACTTAAAAGTAAATTATCGCAAAGTACAAACTTTATTTATTATTGTCTTCTTTTCTTCATATTCATGACTTAAATTTTTATTACAATTTGTATGTTTATTCTTATTATCTCAAATATTTTATTATTTTTATCTAAACATTTAAGTTTGTTAACAATCTAAACGATACCAATTTTGTATATTTTTATTATGTATACTTAAATAATAGTCACATTTAAAGTTATTCGTAAATACCTACAATTTAAATGATTTGCTTTTTTATTTGTGTCAGTGTTAGATTGCTTTTAGTAATTATATTTCATAGATAATTTTACAATTAACAAAATAGTTATGATTCATATGCACACATTTATTGATAGAAGTTTCATTTTTGGATTGTGTATTTTATTGTACAAAAAAACATGAACAATTTCTTACTTACTTGATTTAACATTATGTAGGTACTTATAATACTTATTGATGTTAACGAAATCCCGAAATAGAGCAATAACAGTCATTAAATGAGTAAACCAGTTTATAAAAAATAATGTTGTTGTAATTAGCAATTGATACTATATTTTCGGATTTACCGCGTTTATATTTTTTTTAATCGAAAATTAACGCTTCAAACTTTAAACACACCATTCACGATCTGTTCCATGATTGTGAACACTGTAAATATATAAAATAATAAGTAAATAAATATATAACATTTTGATAAATCCTTAAATATAGTTTCATTTAGCAATAAATTGTTTGTCTCCTGTATTTTTTCATAACCAAAGCTACATCACAAACACATTCACTTCTTGGGGATTTGTTTTGGGTACGCCAAGATTGACCCAAAAAAATTATTGTTTTATTTCTTTTTTTTTTAAAATATTGTAATCATTTCATTACATTACAGTTCAATGCTTCTCGTATCTTGTATTAACTGATGTTTTTGCTTTCAGTCCCGAGACTATTAAAGCTTCATCTGACGCAGAACCGGTGGGCTAGCCAGATTCCACGGATTTGGGCCCTCCGCTGTGGGTAGGGCCAGAGTTCGATGCGTTTCACATCATGCTACTTTTGGTCTAAGATCCTAATCTAAATCGACCTTAACCGAGCTGATAATAGAATAAAATTTATTTTATAAAATTCTGGGTTGCCTAAAAAATACTGGACAGAATATTATTAATAATTTTTTAAAAAATTATGTTTCATGAAATGTTGCAACATCAAGATATTAATAAGAAAATATTATCCTGGATTGCAATATAAAACATATAAAATGTGCAGCCGTTAGAACATATAGAATGTGGGTTGTCTATTATTTACCTGGACAAACTACTGGGTCGTCAGGTGTAAACAGGTATGTCGGTATCATTTACTTTCTCTGATTGGATAATAGAAAAAAATTATATTTCTGTTTTATATTGTAAGTCAGGATGATATTTTCTTATTATCTTAATGTTGCAACACATGTAAAATCATTTTTGAAAACATTATTAAAAATATTATGTCCCGGACTTTTTTAGGCAACCCAGTTTTAATATATTTTCTAATATACTAAATTTATTATAAAATCAATTTTATTCTATTATCAGCTCGGAGAAGGTCGATTTAGATTCATATCTTCTACTATTTATAATATGTACATTTTAGAAAATATATATTGTGAGGATTGTACCTGTTAATTGGAATCAGTTACAAGCTTGACAGCTAATATTGTTCATCGTAAAAATGTTGTTTATATTTATTCACAAGGAACTACTGGGTCAATAGAAATATTTATTAATAACTAATTAACTGCAGCCATTATGTATAAGGATTTAGGAATTTTACTTATCGCAAATCACAGTCACACTAGTCACTTGACGCTGTTGACCTCTAGTTGGGACAAAGAAGTCACATCCCCTTCCCAAATACCAAAGACCGGAATGAACTTTCTTCTATCTTCGGAGCCTGCTGAAGGTGTCCCTGGCCCGGCTGGCGAAGAGTGCATCGTCCGCTCTGAGGCGCCACTGGGCCTCGTCAGCCTTCAGGGTCTCCAGTGCCACCAGCTGAGCCCGAAGCTTCTCGGGCATTTCACATTCAGGTACCGCCAGCTTGGAGAATTTAGCCTGCGAAACATTTTGCATTTGTTTCAAATATGAGAAAGTGTCGTAATTCTAATATGAATCGAAATAAGTGAATACAGCTTCTGATTTACTGAACAACACTTATCAAATTTTGTCACATTGTCAACTTGTAACTCTTGTTCTCTGTGAGACCAATTCATCCATAAGCAAAAGCAGCTGTGTGGCTCAACTTTAACGGTTAATTTTTATTTTATGCATGTTTCCTTACCATAGCCTTTTTATAGCTCTCTTCGTAGGAAGCCACCTTTTGCTTCATTTGCTTTATGTGCTCTTGTATACTGTCGGGATTGGGGTTGCGACCTGCCAAGGAGTCTCTCGAGCTTTGCAATTCTGACCTCAAGCCATCCAAAAACCTGGCATTACGGTTCATTTCCGCTTGCAGCTCCACGTTCTTCTGGCGGAGCTTCAGTATTTCATACTCGTCGGTCATCTTCTGAGATAGCTGATGCGACAGTTGTAGGGAAATCGCGATCGGATCCAGTTGGTCTATGTCCACTACGCCTTGGGCAGTGGCCGCCTTATGAAGCAGTTCCTGACATTTCTGTGGTAGCCCGTCGATTGATACGTTGAGCCTCGATAGGATCTCCGCGTTGATCGTCGCTGTGAAATAGAGGGCATGGAAAAGTGCTTCGAGATTTACAACTTTGAATCTTTTTATTTTATCACTAATTGAACAGTATACTTGAGACTGACTTGAAAGTTTACTGTTGTCAATTGGATGGAGTTTTGTGTTTTTTTTTTTTTTTTTTTTTATGTGAAATGTTGCCAAACGAGCAGACGGTATGTGACTGATGGTATGTGAATACCGCCGCCCATGGACATCTGCTACACCCGAGGGTTACAGATGCGTTTGACAACCTTTTGAAAATTGGGCTCCGGCTACCTCACTCACCAGACGAAACGCGAAAGTATTTGTCATACTTCCACTTTACGCTGGTCTTCTGCGAGGTCGTGGTACTTACCCGGACGGGCCTGCCCATTCGTGCCACAGCCGAGGCTGTTGCGAGGCTCTACCACCGTCAATATAACCATTTTTTTTATTACCTAAACAAATAATATTCAATTTTAAAATTATGAAGACATATATTGTATATACAGGTGGCAGAACCCTGCTTTATGGCCTAATTCACTTAAAAAACTGAAATGCTGATGAATATACAGCAATTATAAATCACATCCATTGAATGAACTATGATATAATTTAGTTAACACAATTGAAACAAGTACGACAACATACCTATAACTGTGGTAGGGCCACGCAATAGTGTTCACTGTTGCACGAATGGACAGGTCCATCCGTGTAAGTACCACAACCTCACAGAAGACCGGGGTGAAGCAGAAGTGTATGTGTTCTGCTTCACGTTGGTCTCACTCACCAGACGAAACGCAGTTTATAAATATAAAGCCCGTGTATATTTATATTATTAGTGGGCCCACTTTATTTAAAGGTGGCAACGCTTCATTCATTCATCGTCATTTTAAAACATTGCGGCCCTTATAAAGTAATTTATTTTAATTTTTAAAACACTACAAAATTGCCATATTAGTGATACGGTAAGTCCTTTTTATAATTATAAGGCAAGCAAGCTTGGGAGACATATTAAAAAAAATTATGGGACTAGTAACAATTTATTAACAAATAACAATTCAACTACAGCCTTTTAATGATTCTAAATTGGGAAATTTTACCATACTTTCTATTTTTCTAGCAACATTTAGCAACAGCTCTTCAGACATATTTGGTCCCATCAATTGCAATGATAGTGGTAAGTTACTCTTGGATAAACAAATTGGGATGGATACTGCCGGAATACCAGCCATGTTGGCTGGCTGGGTACAATAATCTTGAAACGCACATTGATCCCTATTATTTCTTGACACAAAATCTCCATACAATGGAGCATCGGAGAGTGTTGTTGGTGTGAGAAGCATATCAACTCCATCTTCTCCATTGAATATTTTATGAAAATCATTTGCTATTAGCCTGCGTAACTTTAATGCCTTAAGGAAATATTTTTCATAGTTTCTTGTGAGTAAGAAATAATTCCCAGCAAATATTCGTGACCTGACAACATTGTTGAATCCCTGAGATCTTGACGATGCATAAAGCTCTTCAGTGGAGTACTCTTCATTAGTTCTTAATCCAAACTCCAAGCCATCATACCTGGCCATGTTACTTGCAACCTCACACTGATTCAGTATTGAATATACTGCGATTGATACTGATGTATATGGTAAAGATACGGTTCGCAGTGATGCCTTTTGATTCTCAAGCAAATCTGCAACCATTCTCCAACAGTCAATTACTTCCGTACTCATACCTTCACAATGATATTCCTGTGGTATACCTATCTTCACATTAGACAAGTCAAAGTCATCTTCCAATTTTACCGGTTTGTGTTCTCTCTTAATTGTTGTAGAATCCAATTCATCAGGTCCAGCAATACAATTTAGAATTCTCGTGGCATCCTCCACATTTCTTGCGAGGATGCCAGGCACGTCCATAGAGTTCACTAAGGGGATAAGACCATATCGGGAGACCAAACCGTAAGTGGGCTTGAGGCCAACGACCCCACACAATGCAGCGGGATTCCTTGTGGAACCTCCAGTATCAGAGCCGATAGCGGCGACACAGGCGCCACTGCTTACAGCGACGGCACTCCCCCCTGAGCTGCCACCAGCTATCCTCCAATCAGTCTCGCCATTGTTACCCCAAGAGTTGCGCGTAGGCCCGAAAATCGAATCCACAGTGCCTGAGCCCATTGCAAACTCGTCAAGATTACTTTTGCCTACGAGACATGCACCATTGTTTATTAATCTCGCGTAAACCGTAGCGTCGTACGTTGGCACGAAACTCCTCAACATTTCAGAGGCGCAGGTCGTCGCTATATTTTTTGTGCAGAAATTATCTTTGATCGCGACCGTTATACCGTCTAAAGGCTTTATATTCTTGTCGATGTAGAACCTCTTCTCACTTTCGATGCCATGGTTTTCGGCGACGTCTTCAGTTATATTCACGAATGCATTTAAATCGCTCGTCTGTCGCGCCTTTTGTAAACACAAATCTACGAAACTTGTAGGTGTCAGCAGTTTATCGTGATATGCTTTATGAATTTCTTTTATCGTGTATGACGTTAGCTTATTCATATTTTAACAATTTTAGGAGGATTCGAATGTTTTGTATAGTACAACATAAAATTCTTTTAGGTTATAAACATTGAGGTGCGATCAGATAGAATTGAAAATGACGTTTATCACCCATACGACTGAAACTTCAAATAATATTTTAATTTGTAAGTTTGTAACGTATTTTAAGTCTTTTAACTTACCAATAGCCTGTTGCTCCTGCCTATCCTTTTGGAAAACATTTTCAAGTAACTTTGTAAGCTCTAACTTCTTTTCTTGGCCTAATTCCATACTTTAAAAGTTAACTAAATTAAACAACATTCAACAATAACGAAATAAAGAAGCGGCACAATTTAAATTTAAATGTCGACCTAGTACCGACTAAATGCGTAGGGTAGGGATGCAAATAATACATCGATGTTTTTAAACATCGATATATCGTTCATTAACATCGATGTTACATGAGCGCTGTATTATTATTAGAGATGAGGTGTATATACTGGAACAGGTATAAATACCCATGAACGTACCAGTACGCAGACCAGGTATGTACGGCAGAGAACCCTTCCGGACCCGATAGGTATTGTCGATATCGCTCGCGAGTACGCGGACCTAGCGCCGCCTCGTCAGATGGTGGCGGTATTTCATAACGTTCGCGCTCGACCGCCTATGGCATTTTATACCAAATAATTTCTTGACTTAAATTTATTCTTTATTTCTATGACAATTAGGTAGATAAATTATTGCGTAATAAGGTAAAACAGTAATAATTATTTTTAATTACTTTTTTTTGGTAATAGGGTTCTTTACGTTAGTAAAGATGGAGCTTATTTTAGACTGATTGAATCTCAATTTCAAAAAACTGATTGCAAAAAAACATCTAAATGTTCCAATTCCAACCAAAGGTTCAATTCGTTTGATTCGATCGAGTCCTCCAAAAGGAGGCCTGAACATAACTTATACCTATAGATATTTTGATACTGGGTTTTAGCACCGGGTATACGGCGATACCCGTACCTTTGAGGCCGGGTACTGAATGTTGCAGGTATATCTCATGCCTAATTATTATGAACGATGTTTTTTCAGAGCGCCATTTTCCATTCCTTAAATACAACTGTTAGTTATTTACAAAAGCGCACTAAAAACGAAGGAATTGCTTCGCTCGCCTGCTTCGCCTACTTAATGCATTGAAAGCCATTCTTTTGTGTATTTGATGTTCATCTCATCATAATAGTTTAAACGAATAAAAAGCAAATGAGTCTACTGACGAATCGGAAAAAAAGCGATAACACAGGTCATACATATTATAATTACAGAGCTACTATAAAATATTGAAATACTAGCTAAAATATAGAACAAAATATAAAACTAAATTTTAAACAAAATTTCAAATATTCATCACCTGTCTCTCTAATAGAGGTTAATTCCTAGGCTTCATAGCTTAGCTATGATATTTTTGCCTATCGTGGCAACTTCGGTACCCTCTGGAGCTACAATCACCCTGGAGACTCTGGTACCAGTGAGTGGTTTAAAAATTTTATATATTATTATATCACGGTAAACTCGTTAACTCCCAACTAATCATATTAGATTATAAACTAACGGAGTATAAATTTTACGGTATATTATTATTTATGGTGATAAAAACATCGATATATCGTTCATAAAGTTTAATATTTTCAACATCGATGTTTTACTTAAAAATTTCGATGTTTTTTATGAGTATGTCTTATAATTAAAAAAAATACGATAACAATATTTTTATACAACTATATTATTAATCTTGAATAATTTTATTTTTATGAATAAAAATAATTATTTTAGTCTATTATTCCATGGCTTATTAAGTAGTAGTGTCAGCCAATACCTTGTGTCTACTTTGATACTTTGTATATGTGAATCTGAATTGTGAGTTAAAAACATTGCCTTTGAAGTTGTCAATATTATTTCTAATTTTATTAATTGAAGTGTATTTTAATTGCAGAAAAAGTTTTATTTTAATTTTAAAATATTTATATATAGTGTAATTTAATTTCATGTATAATTATTAGCTTAATAATGGCACATTTGCAATATTTACCGGGAGATCCACGTTTAGTTGATCAATTGGTATATGAACTGAAATCCAAGGGGATTTTTGATCAGGTAATAAATAAATTCAATGAAAAATGGTAATTTTTTTAAATTGTAATAAAAAAAATCAACTTTTATTATAAGTTTAAGAAATTCCAAGCCAAATATTAAAATAAACCCATTAGAGTTATAAAAATTGTATAAAGTATTAATATTTCTAACTAAAATAATTCATGTAAGCCAACTTTGGTTCAAATTAGCATCTATTTCATACTTAAATTACTTACAAATGCAGTAGATTATATGATGCTGCTCAATATAAAACCAACATGAATTATATTATAACTTTAAAATTCTTTGCAGTAAAAAATTTGCTCATACAATGTAATTTTACATGCTTTATTATGAATACATAGGAAATTCTCTTTGAATGTTTTGAAAATAATACTTAAATTTAAAAACAACTTGGACCAAAACTATGTCCCTGTATACTCAAATGTGATTTTATTATATAAATTAACTTTATCTTATATTCACAATCAGATTTTACCATTGAAGATTGCATTTATAATTCCTCATTATTGAATATCATCTCACCAATAACAAATTACTATGCTATTTTAATGCTTGACTTTTATTTCATTTGCGATTGTCATTAACTATACATATTAAATATTACATATTTATTAAAATTAAATATATAAGAATTAATTTAATTAATTGACTTAAACATCTGTAGTTATCTAAACACAAAATGATATCCCCCATGTTGTGGTGTTCACAGATAATGACAATTATATATATATAATAACTTTGGACTTTGAAATCTTTTTAACTATATTTTTAATCAAAATATTAATTAAACTGTGTTATATTTACAATCATCAAGCTGATAAAAAAATTAAAAGCATTACTTACTCAGTTGTACCAATCTAGCCTTATTAACATATTTACTTATGGCCGTTTTGTTACTCAAAACGGCCATAAGTATCCCTATATAGTAGGCCTATCTGGAAAATTATAGATCTAATGTGATATACTTTTTGCTTGTAGAAAGTAATATAAGTGTCGTTGTTAACTGTTTAGTTTGATTGCATAAAGTTGAGTACAAACCGCCTCTAATGGTGAAAGATTAAAAAATATAATACGCCAATACTTAGGCTTCATAACAGAAATTCTATCCCAGATGACAATTTTTCCGAAACAAGCAATGTCCATGCTTAATGGAAAAGAAGAAGTCTAAATTTTAATAATTCCAACAATGAATGTACTGGTTTTTTTTTTCACTCAGTATAGCACTTACCTAAATTCCTCAGAGATTTTACGATTTGCAAAATTAATTTAATTTTTTGTATTTTGTCTGCAAATTTACTTTAATTTTGTTAATCATAATGAAGCAGTATACTATGTATAGGTTCTAAACAATTGCAAATGTTGTCATGCAATCAATTATTTTGATAACAGTTGCAATTTCAACATTCCTCTTTCTTATAAGCCTATTTCTAAAGAAATTGAACTGTCAATTTTTTAACCATACATTTTTAACCATTATCTGGTTATATAATATAAAAATATATACAAATTTATCCCTTACCTACATAAAACTTCATACAGCTAATCAGCAATGGTTAAATTGACTGTTATATTTAATTGGGAATTTTATTTACTTAATAGGTGATGTAAATTTTCCATAGTGGTATGCATTATTTGGTATAATTTAATTGCGCCTAACTATTATAGTGTATTCTCTAACAATCTTCAATCAGTCAAGTTTGGCCTCTGATATTAAATACCTCTTCAAACACTCCAGGGACTCTTTCTACCAGCCATTAAACTCATGGTAGACTTTTATCCATTTCATACTGCAATTTTTCAATTATTTATTTATCTTCTATTTAATCTTCAGATTTATAAATGTTTTAAAACATGAATCATACATGCATGATTTAATGTATGTTTCTATTTCACTTCTCTATATGTTATATAACTTTAATTCAGATTTATATTTGGAGAAAGTTATTTCGGTATCTGCTATTGGTGAATTTTATTGAGAAACATTTAAAGAAGTAACCATAAATGTCTTTTTGATAGTATCTTCTACAAGTCCATTGGTCTAAGATAAAAATATGTACATTCCTAAAAAGAAATCTCCATACAGTATTTTTAAAAGTTTGCAAACAATGCAATGTAACAATAAAATATATCATACAGTTCTTAATACCTACTATATTACTCACATATCTAATATACTATTATAATTATAATATAGTCATTCTAATTAAAAACGAATAAACATATATTTATTTATACAACATCATAAAAACGTTGAGTGTAGTTGAGCAATATCCTTATGGAAATAAAACAAAATCCTTTCTGGTGGAGTAAAAGTATCCTATTTTATAGAGGGTGTGAAAACTATTTGTAAGTCATACATATGCCTTCATTTGAGTTAATTGTTTTGTTCATATTTCGCAGTTTCGTAAAGATTGCATAGCTGATGTGGACACCCGGCCCGCTTACCAAAACTTGCGACAGCGAGTCGAGAGCTCCGTGTCAACTTTTCTTTCCCGACAGTGCTGGCAACCAGATCTTAATAAGAATCAGCTGAGAGAGAAGCTCAGGAAGCATATATTAGAGTGAGTGTATTCAATTATGTATCTACTTCTGGGTGCATTTGCTAGTGCTTATGGACCATCAGACTAGCTACCGATTGTAGTCATAACAGGCAGTTTATTTGTATTGACAAGGAAGTTACTAGAACATAGAAAACATTGAAATAATACAGATTATACACAATCAATTTGTGACAAAGACTGACTGGCTGTGGTAGGGCCAAGCAGCAACTTCTGTTGTATGAATGGGCAGGCTCTTCCATGGAAATCCCACAGTCACACGCAAGACTGACTTGAAGTGGAAGTATATACCTACTTTCTATCTCTTGCCTCCGCAACCTGTCAGAATAATAATCAAGAACCTATTGTACAACATACATTCTACATAATTATGAAGGGTCTGATGGTTTGTCTACTTGTTAGTTTTTGAGGTTTGGCAATTAAGTTGCATCATCATCATATCTGAAAATACGATTATTTTTATGGAAAAGATCGTCGTTAGATTCGAAATAAAAGCAATGCTAGCCGAGTTGCATGGAGATGTCACTCACTTTTACTTGTTTTTACGGATTGCGCCAGGTAAAAAAGGCTTAAAAAAAGTGGAAGTTTTGAGGTTTTTACGCAAAATAAGAAGATACCAGGCGCTTCACTCAGTTGGTTAGAGCGTCCAGACTCTCGCGTTACCCAGAACGCAGTTTCGAATCCTGACAACTCCTAAATTTTTGAAAAAATTTGTTAAATATCAAACTCACATTTTAACATTTTTTTTTTGTTTACTTCCCCCTTATGTCCTTCTGTAGTGGCAATTACTTGGAGCAAGGTGTCGAGAGGATCGTGGATCAAGTGGTGAATCCGAAAGTGGCATCCGTCTTCGTGCCACAAGTTGAAGACCTAGTGTACAACTATTTGGGGATCACAAGGAAAAAGACAGTAACGAGCACCACCGCTGAGGCATCGAACGAGAAAACAGAGGACCTCCTACCCACCGACTTGGAGGCTGTCAGTCCGGGATCAGTCAAAAGTAACGATGGCAAAAATGAGCCCATGGATACAGATGTCGACAATGTCCCGGAGGCGAGCAGCGGAAAGATGGAGGTGGATGAAGAGAAACCGAAGGAGGAAAAGGTTGACGTCACAGCCTCCCCCGCCCCTGAAATCAACCACGTTGATAAGGAAAAGCCCGAGGGTCAGGAGATCACTGTACCAGGAGTAAGCGAGCTGACCCCCAAGGATTCCGTTAGTGTGGACAACAGCCTGATACCGCTGCCCGCCGATGACATCAAACCAGAGCGCATCCCTACACCGGAGAGCAGTCCGCCGAAGGTGGAACTGGAGAAGATCGAGCTGCCAATGGAGAATAACAGCACCAAAGCCGGTGAAGTTGAGCGGATTGACACACCCCAGGATAGTAACCTCGCTAAGGTCGAGGAAGTGGAGAAGATCGAGGAGCCTAAAGAGATGAACTGCTCGATGGACATTCCCCTGCCGGCCGATGTACCGAAGGACGAAAAGGACAACTACTTCAAGCCGATTAACAGCGACGACGACGAGTCGAGCTCAGATTCCTCCTTGAGGCGTAACATGTCCCCGCTGACGCCGATAAGGAACTTCAACAACGAGAACTCGTGCGATGCGCAGCAGGCCTTCGACAATGACTCCCTAGAGGGGAAGAGCGATGCGAGAAAAGAGCCGAGCTCGTTCCGTTTCGCCATCGAAGCCAAGTCCACGGAGGTTGCCGCGGAAGCAGCGAAGGCGCCGAAGAAACCCGCGGACCAGCTCAACCTGGCGTACCAGTTCAACAGTCAAGTGAAAATCAACGCGTTCAACACGCCCACATACGAGGAGAGCTCTAACAGCAACAACTTGCATATCGACTACGAGAGTGACGCTAACAGCAAAGTGAACTCGGAACAGAAGGCCGAAGCAGAAAACTCTGAGGACTCAAAGAAGACAAGGAAACCAGAAGAGAAGAAGAGCGCCCACAAGAGCTCGCACCGCTCCAGGGACGCGCATAAGCACTCGTCCAGCAAAGACAGGAGATCCGAGTCGAAACATTCCACATCACGCGACAGCGGTCGGCACGACAGAAAGTCTACAAAAGACGATCAAGCCAAATCAAAATCCAGCTACAAGGAGAGCTCTAGAGATAGAAGCGACAAGAAAGACAGCAAAGAATCATCGAGACACAGCAGTTCCCACAAAAGCTCCAGTCACAAAGACTCAAAATCGCACAAGAGCTCCAGTTCAAGCAACCGGCACTCGAGCAAATCCGATGATAAGAGATCTTCATCCTCGAGCCATCACAAGTCGGATAAGAGCTCAGACAGGAGCACTAAAGATAAGCCGCGAGAGTCCAAATCCAGTTCGCAGAGGTCGGATAGAGATAAAAAGAGTAGCAAAAGTAAACACGACGATAAGGGCAAGGAGAAGAAGGAGAAAAAAGAGTCTGATGACCATTACAGCCTCTCCGGTAGGGGAAATCCGAATCGCAGATCCACAGACAGGGATTCTAACGACGGTAGCTCCTCGTCCAAAGGCTTCCACAACCAGCCCAGTTCCAAATCCGTCGACGGCAAGAAGGACGCAAAGACCGGTAGCACCAAGTCCGATAATATGTCCACGGGCAGCGAGACAACCAGCCCCAGCGATAGGGAGTTGACTTTGCAAGAAAAGGAAAAGGAAGTGATTGATATGCTACAGCCGAAGCCAGTCATAAGGCTCGAGACACACCTGGAGACCCCAATAACGTCACCGCCTCGAGTGCCCTTTGTGCCCGAAGTGACAATAAAGAAGCCCAAATTCGCCGCCAATCTGGAGGAAGCGAGGAAACTTATGAAGATGCGAAAGTTTCTCGACGATGAACAGAAGCGAATGAACCAAGAAGCCGCCCTGCTTCTAGAATTCCAAGCGAACGTCAGACCAAGCCTCAGTCAAGTCTACTCCAGTATTCCCGGTCCCGAATTAGAGTTCGCGTGCGTAACGAATAACAACGTGCATTCCCAAGTTGCGCTAAAAGGCAACGACGCGCTGCAGTGCTATGCAGAGGACGAGGGATTCTCAGATAACATAGAAGACGACGTACCCTCGACGCTTACAGTGAGAGAAGTGGAAGAGTCTATCGAGAGTATAAACGAAGAGTTGAACAACAAAGCGAAGGCTCACGCCACCGAAGACCTGATCAGCAAGGATACTTACGAGTCAACAGACAAAGGCAACTCACTGCTAGAGCCCGAACATTCTACTGTCAATGATAACAAAGTAGAAGGGCAAGCGATGGAATCCCAGAAAGTCGAAACACCAGAACTAAAAACGGGCGATAACAATAAGAGAACTGAGTTCTTCGAAGTGACAATCATAACGGAGGAGCTCTCGGAGAGCGAGGAGTCGTTGAGCAAGAGAAATCAGAAGAGAGGTATCAAAATGACAACTAAGAAGGAGAATGTGACATCACGTGACGTGCATCCGGAACAGAGCGATTTCCGCTATTTCGGGGAACACGAGAAATACATTGCCGAACTGGAGAGCGATCGTTTCAGCAGATTTTTCAAAGCGTACGTCGATCCAGCGCACAAAAGCAAAGTCCATCTGATCAACTGTGATCCGTACCAGGTGAAAATCGTGCGCGAGGCGTTAGAAGACCTGGGGCACTTCGAGGTCGTGAACTACCAACGTAACGGTCACGTGAAATTGCCCAAAATGTCTCGTAACATCGTCAAGAACGTCAATCTGTCCAGTGAAGTATCCTTGCCTTGCGATAGCGACCAAACCCAAGAGTTCGAAGTTAAGAAGCCCGTTACAGAAGCGGTCTTCAGTCCGGTTAAGTCCGATTGCTCCTTCGAACTATCCAGCGACTACGACGCCCGGTTAGAGGAGATGGTCAATAAAACTTCGCGCCAGGAGATCATGGAGATCATATTGGGAAATGTTACTGCAGACTCGCCCACCAAGATGCCGAGGATAGACTATTTCACAGATTCGAACATAGAAAGCGAAGTGGACAGCGGCTTGAAGAGGAAGCTGAATGAAGTAGAAACAGTAAATAACAATAGACATGTGCTTACTCCGAACAAGATGAGAAGACTGAGCGCTTCAGACCAGATTTCGTCGACGACAGAAGGTGAGGCAAACTATTACACATCTTATATATTATATATTAATATACAACTAAAATTGCAGTGCCTCAAGAATTGATTATGAAATAGGGGAAGGAAACATATAAATGGTTTATAATCTAATTGCTCAACAATTGATCATTTTGAATGCTTAATATACTACATGTAACAGCTGTATGTAACTAATAACTCGCAGATAAAGTAATATACATAAACACATATTTGTCTTATAATAAAATCATCATATACTTCCAATTACATTGCATGCATATGTTAGTTTGCTTATATAACCATAATATACTTTCACAATTTGAACCATAACATTGTTGGTATAAAGTAGTTAACGCTGTAAATACCGTCTTTTATACAGAGTGGCTACACTGTATAATATAAAGAGGTGTAGCCATAAAGAATTTTATAAATACAATATTAAAGTCACACACTAGAAATAGACAAACTACTAAATGTAACTTTCATCTTTAAATATTTCGACATTCGTGTTTGTAGATCTGGATACTGGGTCTAACAACAACTTGGTGTCCAACACAGCTCGTTCAAAGTACTTGGGCAGAGCGAAAAGGGTTGGTCTTCCAAGGCCCAGAAAGGCCGGTGAGTGAATACAATTGGTTATTCAAAATGGACGTCCTTGTTTCATAGTTGTGAAGTCCTTAGTCTAAATAATTTAGCTAGCTAGTTATATCCTTACACTTTCTGGTATAAATGGTTCTGTATTATTTATTACTAGCTGCTGCCCGCCACTACGTCTGCGTAGAATAGGCTGAATGCGTAACATTCAGACAGAAAAACAGATACATAAAATATGTATATAAATTATAGTCTATGTCTTATTCTGATGTATTAGCTATATTACTGTAAAGTTTCATTAAAATCCATTCAGTAGTGTTTGCGTGAAAGAGTAACAAACATCCATCCATACATACAAACTTTCGCCTTTATAATATTAGTAGGAAGTAGGATAGGATTACTGTATTTAATTATATTGACGACTCATGCCATAGTGGGTTGTTAATGTGCCTGTTAATCGATCGATCGGGTTCGATCCGCACTACTGGAAAAATATTGTTTGATGAACATAGTGTTTTTCCAGTGTCTGGGTGTTTAAATATTTTTTAATTTATTATATTATTATTATATCTTATACCGCATAATATTACTCGCTCCGTTTCGAACGTATTGATAAATTTTGTTACGGTAAAATTTTGTTTTTTAATTATGGCTTTTTACCAATGTTAGGGAGCCCACTGTCGGCCTTATGACGTAGATAATGTTACGGAACCCTTCCTTTTTTGAACGATATGACAAATAACAGGATCACTTTCTTATTTCAGACCTCCCCAACAGTCCGTCAAGCGATAAATCAGTAGAGAACTACGAGCAAAACACACCGGCCGCCCCGCAACCACCGAATGGAAAAATCAAGACTACACCGAGGAACAAGGTACAAAGATATGACACCTCGGACCTATACAAGCCGAAGTTGCATTACTTGTCCAGAAGGAACAACATTAGTTAAGGATATTTATGAAATTTTAATTGTTATTCGTTAGATTTTTTATCCCATATATCTTTTAAACTGAAGCGATGTATGAAATTCACTGTTTCCTTGATTTGTACAAAAATAGGTTATGTAATTGGTGTTATTAAGTAATCAAATTGGCAATATGTGTACTGGATTACATGCTTTGGTAAATGATACACCAAAAAGACGGTAATATGCAATCAATTAGTTAATGGACAAGACAACTCAGGTCAATTAAAATGTTTTTAATATTCATTACACATTTTAAATGCAATAGTTTTTTTAATGTTGGTCAAAACATGCCTTTCATTAAAATTTCCTCTATCTCTGGACATTTAAAATGTTTGAAGATGTTTTAATTTTGTGAATTGTAATTGTATTTGTACCCTAAGATATTAGCTGGTCCCCGTTTCGAGTAGTTTGTTTTTGTGTTAGGTACGAGTGAACTGCACCATAGTCTAAATAATGACATTAGAAATAAGAGTGTTGCCAGAAATAAAAATTTTTTGGTTACAAAAAAAGACGCACAGGTTGCATCTCAAAATAGGCCATTTAATTTCATAACAAATTGGAAGCTTAATAAATTGTTGTCACATTTTGATTAACACTATACATGTTCAATCAGAGTAGAGCTGCTGAATTTGTGGATAAAGTTAGTCTGTGACACAACTTATACAACAAAAGGTATATAAAAAACATAGGTATTTAATCATATTAAAAATTACTGTGTGGTTGTACATATAATATTATCATCTATTTACCTCAATAGATAATCAATGAACAAAGTTGTGGCTTTCAGACAATAGGATATGTGTCTCCGTAAAAGCTCTGTTGAAAAATATTTTGAAAAATTAACAACTGTGACATAGAAATCTCTCCTAGGAATTGAATAGTATTAAGATTCCCATCATAAACAATAATTGCTTATTACAATCTATATGTTTACCCCATTAGGTCACTTAATTCTCCATCTCGGTCTTTCACTTAATTTTGTAGGTCTTGTCAACAATCTTGAATGAAATTATGGTTGAATAAGTGACAAACAGTTGATAGATTTTAACGCCTTCCAATTTGGCTCTTATGACCATGGATAGTTCCATGATCATGAATGCTGTGATAAGATCAGGTAAAATACATTTATTTAAGCATGTGTAGTTTTCGCGTACAAATTGTAAAGAATACTATATGAGCATAACTGTATGCCTGGCAACACTTATAGCCTAGTTAAATCATATTTACGTAGTTAACTAATGACAACTTATATACTGCCATTATGAGTGAAAAGATGTAATGATGTGATTATTTATGTAATGATAGTAAGTACTATAATGATAATTTAACGCGGGATTTGATGTTTGATGAAATTATTAAAGTATTTATGGATAAAATCTTAAGATAGATCTTACAATGTATTTCGTATGTTTTTTTTAAAATTGCGTGTTAGAAATGTAAGGTGAATACTTAGAGATAATAGTTAATGAATGAATCAACATATAAAACAAAAATTATTTAGGTTTATTATGCACGTTTTGGTATTATTGAAGAAAATTTTAACCAGACCTCGCTTTGATTAGATGATATTTGCAAATAATTGTATATTTGGTACGGAATAGACTGTCGTACGGAATATAAGTACAAAGTTCGTACGTTCGTCATGTTTCGTAGACAAAACGTAGTAGGATAATCGAAAAATTATCGATATATCAATATTTTCTCTTTAGAGAAAAAATGGTATGTCAAGTATTATTCTATATATCGAGGCCGATATTGATATTTTTATAAATATCGATATATCAATATATTTATTCACTTTCGACATCCTTATATAAACGTCAATGGCCCATCACTGACAAAAAGGCCCTACCGCGGCTGTCATTTCAAAGAGACTCATATCAAAAAGGCACTTTTAGCAACGCTGTGATTTATAGTCCAATACTCACAACATGTTGACGGGAATACTAATAAATAAATCAAATGCCAAGATTTCTCAACAAAAATATTTATATATACTTGCCGTTTAAAAAGATAAGTCAGTGTTATCTCCTTTGGAATTAAAAAAATGTGCTTCTGAAGTACGTCATTGCGCGGCTACTTGAGCGATATTCGCTCTCTATTTCGAACCGCAGACCAAATAGCTTTCTGTCTTGCTCCCACTACAAGCAATTAACAAAATATGTTGTATAGTTACGTGCAATCTTGTTATTCGGTTTTGTGAAAGTAAATATTTAAGATGGGTACGTGGCGTTGATAATTATAACAATCGACGGTGCGTAGATTCTCTAAGCCTACTTCAGTTGGGCACATTTAAGTTCAATTGTCAACTAAACACGTCTTATTTTTTACGGTTAGTGGATAATACAGCTTTCTTATATTCGTGAAGAGTTCCGTAGATTCGTTGAGATTTATTTTTACCCTGTATTCTTAACTTTTAGAAGCATCGAGTTAATGTAGATTAAAAAAAAATATTATAATGAGGTCCGACATTTTTGTAGCAAAAGGATGCAGCGCAGTAAAAACACTTGTTGTATATTTGTTTCGTTCCGAAATAAACACTGATCTCACAAAAAAAAAGATTTTTTTTGTGATCAGTTTACAGAGTTCAATTATAATTTAGGAACTCAATGCGTATTAAGATTTTTCATGACCGAAGGAACGCCTTCGCGGGTTAGTGATGTCTACATATTTGTAAAATGTGCGTTTAAACCGTTTTTTCACTGGGATTTTACGAATTTTCTTCGTTTTAAGTGTATTAATTCCGATAATATTTAATTAACACATTAATAAGTATTCCGTATCCAGAAAGACTAGTCGCAAATAGTTAGGTTTTTACAATGTACATCACATTTCGCTACAAAAATATTGTACCTCGCGAGAGTTATTTACGAACCCTGCTTTGTATATCTTGAATATGCATATATTAATTATTATATTATAATGTTATAAGCCTTTAAATTATTATTGAAATAAATAACATAACGTCTAACTGGTGTTTTAATCAAATTGTTTTTTTTTTTCTAGATGTTATAGATTAGCTAGATAAAATATGACATAATTATCTATAGTGTGGCAAGTGGCAGTCTACGCTACGTGGAGTATTGCCATGTTGCCATAGACTCGCACTTTCTGATGCCAGTTTTGATACAGGCTGGGGTGAAAATAAAATTTAAATCCAAATATCTTTATTCCACATAGGAGAATAACACTCACTTATTGATAGTCAAAACACTACTACCGGTTCGGAAAAGAAAAACCCAGACACTCAGTGGGTTTTTTTAACCAAATTTTGGCAGTGTGAAAATGTTTTACGTTGTGTGCCATGAATATATTAAATACAATATAGAAAGTCCTATTGAAAGAAGAAAAGATCTGCCAAAAAGCTGGTGAGCCAGTTGCATAATTTCGCGACAAGCCCATAGGTAGGAAGCTTCGAAAGAAGCGCTTTATGCCACACCCGATCGAAGGCCCTTGCTATGTCCATACTGGTTGCAAGCGCCTCACGCAACACGACTGAGGGATGCCATCGGGGTCACTCGACTTATGAATGTCGCAAGGAAAGAAGTGCTTTGCTGATTGCACTTTGCCTAAATTTAATCTCCGGTATCGTAGCATCGCACCGCGGGTTTGTTGGTGGTAATTTTCCTCCGCCCAGTCGAGTTGGACGCGAAGAAAGAGCACAGAAAATCGGCTTTTTCCTTCGCGGCATACGCCAGCGAGTCATCCTCCGTGTGCAGAGATGGAAAAGAAGCCTTTCAGAAATTCCCTATGAAAACTTCCCAATCAATCAACCACAGAACCAAAAACCAATCTCTTGCAGAATTGCCAATGTGCTCCGACTTCGCCTTAGCAATGACACTTTTGGAGGACCTAGTAGTAGAGTTATACTCCTTTTTTAAAGCGCTGGTTATTTCGGCGTAATGCCATCTTGCAGACGCGACCAAACTAATGCTGCGACTTGCTACCAATCGGCACCACATCAGCCACTGAGTCAACGTCTGGATCATCCGGCGAGAAGCAAATCTGCCCCCATAGGTAGTCCGCAAAGAATGACCGCATAGTGCCATACGGCGGAAGACCAAAAACTGAGGCCGTTAAGCGCGTTATTGGCACTGTACTCCGGACAAGACAGGGGTCCGAAGAGCCGGGCGGAGGATCGACGGAAACCAAGTATCCGTCTGGATGAGAGTTAAACAGAAGGTCCAACAGGGAAGGTATATGATCCTCCACATTTGGGTTTCGCGGAGGATTCGGGAACTCAATAACAACAGCAAAAACACGTTGAAGCACCCTTTAATTTTTGAACAGGTAAAGTAGTCTTAATCGGATTGTCACTTGAGATAATAGTGATAATCCGACTGCGAGTAGAGCCATGTAGCAGTCTTGAACTGTTGCACGAGTGGGTAGGTCCGTCCGGGTAAGCACCACGATCACAGAAGACCGGCGTGAAGTGGAAGTGTCGTACTTTTGCGTTTCATCTAGTGGGTGAGGCAGCTGGGGCCCACTTTATTATGTGGCAGTGCGTCTGCAACCCTACAGGTGTTGCGAATGTCCATGGACGGCGGTTATCACTTAACATTAGGTGAACCGCTTTTACTAATAAAAATCTAAATAATTTGATTTTAAGGAGTTCCCTGATAAATCTTCGTAGTTCAAGGTCTATGAAATGTATATGAGATTGGGACTACATGAGAACTTAGCCGAATCCAAAGCAAAAAGAATATTTAAAATCAAATCATAAATGACGGAGTTTATGTGTACTTATTATGTAGGCTAAGAAGTTTTTTTTTTTTAATGGAGAAAAGGGGCAAACGAGCAGGAGGCTCACCTGATGGTAAGTGATCACCGCCGCCCATGAACACCTGCAACACCCGAGGGCTCACAAAGAGTATGCTCTCTTCTTGAAGGTTCCAAGTCGTAACGGTTCGGAAAGACCGCCGGCGGCAGTTGGTTCCACAGAGTGGTTGTGCGAGGCAAGAAATGCCTTAAAAATCGCGCTGTTGTGGAACGTTGGACATCGAGGTGGTGTGGATGAAATTTTTGGTTCTGGCGCGATGTCCGATGGTGGAATTCAGCCGCCGGGATCAATCCAAACAATTCCTCAGAACACTCCCCGTGATAAATGCGGTAGAAGATGCAGAGTGATCCAACATCTCTACGCAGAGCCAGAGGATCAAGCCGATCGGAAAGACTTTGATCGTCGATAACCCTAGCCGCCCTACGTTGAATGCGGTCAAATGGAAGAAGCTGGTAATAGGGGGCTCCCGCCCAGAGGTGAGAACAGTACTCCATGTGGGGCCGAATTTGCGCCTTATAGAGGTTTAGGCGTTGGACGTTGGCGTTGAAAAGGCGTAAACGGTTTTATTTTATGTGCACTGAAAACTACAATATTGTATTGTCATCTAAATTAAATGTGTGTACCAAATTTCAGATCAATCTGACAACGGGAAGGTGCTTAAATTTCAATTTCTAATTTTGACCCAAATAAATAAACAAATAAATTCCGTACGGGTCGAGCTAAATAAAACCGTTTAATAAAGAGAGGCTTTACTCCATAAAAAAAAAATACTTCTACAGCGTAAAGATGTTAAATGCATTTGATAACTTTGTTAAATACAAAGTTATCAATTGCAGTAACAACTTGGAATTATTGGTAAATGGGGCATTCCACGCGAAGCGGACAGGTAAAAAACTTTGATGTTTCCGTTTTAGTAATATTTGATTGTTATACCTATATGTCCTCAATCCAGATACAAAATATTTTTACAGTATAAAATGTAGTTTACGATTTAGAAAGCTTTAAAAATGTGACTAACCGGCAGGTATGCGCCACTTCGAATCCCATTATCCGGTATTGAAAAGATAAATGGAAATAAATGAAGTAGTCAAGTGTATGCTTAATTTAATGAACTTTTTAATTGCATTTTTGGATATTAAAAAAATTTTTCTTTTTTGGAAAAAAATCATATTCAAACTTTTTAAACTTGACATTCACAAAGTTGGACCACTTTAATTTTTTTATTTTTTTTCTAAAACTAGTTAATAGTGTATATAGTGTAGAAGTCCTTTAGGAGCCAGGCCATCTACAGTGTCGAAGCGTAGCGCCGGTGCCCGGATCGCGCCTTCTGCTAGTTAACGCGAGATTACAAAAACATCCAACTATTTTGTTTACCTAATTGAGTTTAATAAATCAAGTTAGAGTTTAATAAATTATTTTTAAGAATGTTCCGTTGAACAACTTTATATAAACGTGTATATATGAACCTGTGACCCATTTTTTTTCTGTCAGTTTTTGCCATTTTCCGTAGGCAAACGTCGCTATTACACGAGAAGCATCAACTCCAGAGATATACTCTGGAGGATCGGTGGACCAGCTTAATGCCACACCGAGACTCGTCGATTGTTTAAACCACTTCTTGTTCATGACAATGCTCGTCCAAATATAATCATAGACTACATAACTGCTGTTTTTTTTCTTTGTAAGGTTTTTTTTACAAGGGAGAACATCATTTCACAATTCCTGTTCGGAATTTTTATAGCAGATGCATCATGAATCTTAAAGGTGCAACGAAAATGAAAGCGTTTTTTTCGTTTCATTACCTAAGTGTATAAATTAATTAAAAAGTATATTGGTTTTTATATCAAACGGGTTTTTAAAATTTCGTTTAAGCAAAATCACTGTCCGAATATGCTCCGTCAGTATAAAGCTAAAGGTCACAGCCTGTCATGCCACATTTGGAACTTGATAAGCTCGATTAAATACAATTTTAATAGTCATTTGCTATACCTATGCATACTTTCCATTGTGGTAGGACCACACTGCGGCTTGTGCTGTTGCACAAATGAGCAGGCTTGTAGCGGGGAAGTAGCAAAGCCTTACAGAAGACCAGCGTGATGAAGAAGACATAAATATAATTTTGAGTTTCGTCTGGTGAGTGAGGTAACCAGGATTGATTTTTTAAAAAGGCTGGCAAATATTCTCTTCTTGTAGATGTCTATGGACGTGGTAATCATTAAAATCAGGTTTAAACCCTCCTTAAGTTTAAAAACTACTGAATGAGCTTGTATTTCTTTCTTTAACGAATTTTTATAAAAAAAAATTAGCGATGTTACTTCGACTCATTGTTAGTTCATTCTTACTGTATATTAAGACCGATATTTGTGACTACACTACAAGATTAGACATCGTAATCTTGAACATTTAATTACTGATCGTAAATAGTTAAGTATCATCATTTGTTGGGACAGTTAGCGTAATGATCGCCACAATTAAGTAACGCACATGTTCTTCGTTATATTTTTACACCTCCTTTTCTTTGGGCTATTCCGTGGTATATGGATAGTATTTTGAAAACATTAATTAAACCAGACTTTCGATAAGTATAACATTATCTGTCTCAGGTGGCAACGAGGTGAAGGTCGAATGAATCAAAAAACGTATAATAGAAATTTATCAGTATATTTTGAGAGCGTATCACAGTGCCATGATATTTCACACTACTTTTTTTTTCTTACGTTTTTGTTTCTTACTCCTATTTTGTATCTTTTTAATAGACCTCTTATCTTTTTTTGTTATTATAATCCATTTCTTCACAAATGGATATATTTTCCGAAGTTTTCTGGACAATATTCATAGCTTTTGAACTGAATATCGAATACCTACCAAATACGCATTCATTACTCGTATAGGATATTTTGCGAATATACGATCATGTTAGTTACGTAAGAAAACAAGGCAAGACGTGTATAATGTCCATAAATGGTGCTTGTTTAACTAATATGCCAAACCCGCAATCGCGAATAATAAATACGAAAAATGCCATTTTCAGACGTATAACAAGCGACATTAATTGAAATATCACATGCTTCCCTGTGTATTTACTATGGAGTTTTTCGTAAATATAATCAATTACTATGTAATTATGTCTCATTGTGTTAGAGCAGACTCCACACTCCATAAAATATATCTATTTTATTAAGACTAGTTTCAAAAAATTGTGTTTATTAATGATTTTTGGCCATGTAAGCTTCACAAACCTGCGTAAACTTCTGGTAATAGAACATCCGCCTCGCTAGGTGCTAGGTGGTATCAACGTACGGCAACCAAACTACTGGAAAATAAAAACGGCGCGAAACTATTCTTGTTTCTGTTGCGGAATATTGCGTAATAAAACAAAGAAATGCGTTGCTTGGCACTTAGGAACTAATGGAAAATTACGGACAAAACAAAGAAATATTTTTTTATAAGTCAGTTAAAGCCTTATCGAAATATAATTTAGGATTTTTAGGAAAAATGTAAAACATTTTATCAGTAACAATCTTTATTTAAAAAAAAACTGTTATAATCCAGCATATAATTAGTTACAATTATTGTACAATTTCAATAAATACATCCATACATGGCATAATGACATTAAATAAGGCGATTCTCAGACAATGAATAATACTTTTGTTAATTTCAATAACATCATGATTATCAACTATTACTAAAGATTCTATTTAAAATTATCATTAAAAGGATTCCATTAAATAAAGTCAAATCTATTAGAGATTTCAACAAATAGTCAATTACCATTCTATTTCATTCTATATGATACATGATTTTTAAAATTTTTGCTTTTAGTTGTACAAAATTACATAAAATTGAATATGGATTATTGAGGATAAAAACAGTTGTACATCTGTCATTTGTATCCTTAAGACTATTACTGCTGTGTACCTTAAGTACATGTCACTTGTTTAAAAATCAATTCAGGACTCGATAACTCTGTACAGTGAAAATACTTGCTGTGGTCTACATTTGTCAAGTTATAAGTTCAATTGTCAGTTAGCATACTTAGTTTTGTGCTGCTTGCTTCTCTAAGCCTGCAGGGTCCAAAATCGGTGGCTGCTTCTTAACAATGCCGGATAATAACGTTTTAATTTGTGCAATAGCACGTCCAGGGTTAAGACCCTTCGGGCAAGTGCGCGTGCAGTTCATAATTGTATGGCAACGGTACACAGAGTATGTGTCCTTCAGTTTTGACAACCTTTTCTCTGTGGCGTCATCACGGGAGTCAATTATCCATCTGTACGCTTGCATTAGAACTGCAGGACCTAGGTACTTGTCGCCGTTCCACCAGTACGAAGGGCAGCTGGTAGAACAGCACGCACACAGCACACACTCATACAAGCCGTCCAGTTTGGCGCGATCCTCCACATCCTGCAACAACTGTGTCTCCTTACCTTTGGTGGCCTCCTTATCCCGCTGCAGCCACGGCTCTATGGACTGATACTGACGGTAGAAGTTGCTCAAGTCAGGCACTAGGTCCTTAACGACGTACATGTGGGGGAGGGGGTAGATTTTGGTGGGTTTCGAGAGGTTCTTGTCTATATGACTGATGCAGGCGAGGGTGTTCACCCCGTCGATGTTCATGGCGCAGGAACCGCATACGCCCTCGCGACACGATCGGCGGAAGGTAAGCGTGGGGTCCATTTCATTTTTGATCTTGAGCAATGCATCGAGTACCATAGGTGCACAGTCATCGAGATCTACCTCATAGTTCTGCGTGTAGGGCTTCTTGTCGGGCTCGTCAGGGTTCCAGCGGTATACCGCGAACGTCTTTATTCTCTTCCCAAGGGTCGCTGACGTAGCGAAGGTACGCAGTTGTCCAAAAGTGCCCGAAGTCAAGCGCAGCAACGGCATTATGTAATGTTTTTATTTATTCTCACTGAATAAGTTTTACTTTACACACAACGGCATATGCAGCGTTCACCACTAAGGATAGTTACTAAATTATGTTTTCGTAATTCGATAATTCGATCGGTATGTTTCAGGTGTTCAGTGAAGGTGCGACTTCGAAATATTGTTTTTCAGGTTTTTGATGGTAGCATAGACAATTTATACTTTTTACAGCTGACGCGATTTATGAACATGGTCAAAAATCCGCTTCCGATTTTCGTATTTCTTAACTATTATTTAATCATGATTAAAATACTAAAGCGGTTGATTTAATTGCAAAGAATTTATAGAAATAAAGAGTAGTGTTATTTTTATAATCATTATTATCCCCACAATTTTTCTCCGTAGACAGTGAAAATAACTATGAAGGAAAATTTAAATTCATAAATTAAAGATATAAAACTTATAATTTTGAATATTTTTATAGTATTCACTAATGAAGTTAATAATAAGTAATAATGATAATTACTGTCATAATCTATTTCTGAAATAATAAATATGAATTTTTGGCAAGCAAGTACATTAAATAAAATTTTTGTAACTAAAACATCAATTAATGAAAGATCTTAAAAAAATTAAAAAAATTCTAGATGTAGTGAATTAGTAAATTTGGCGGGAACTCAAAAGCAGAATTGAAACGTTGATTGACGGATTGACCGAGACGAAATATGTTTACTAAATGTTAAATGTATAAATAAACAATAATAGATATAATCAATAGATTTACTAAAAAGTATGAAAAACGTTGATGAAAAGTCAAAAGAGAGAGACTCTCCAAAAACTCCGGGAGGAATAAGTAAATCGCTCTTAACTCCTATTAGAAGACTCGGGCTTTCGCGCAAATGGAAGAGATCTGGAACTTCGCCGTTCGTGTCACCTCTTGCTAGTAATGTCGTTAAATCTAACGAAAATGAACCAGAGAACACAAGATCAAGAAAAAGAAAACTATGTACAGCTGAGGAAAACGAAAATGTACCTTTATCGCCGGTCAGTGACAATAAAAACCTGGACAATATACAAATTACTTCCACACCTCCTGCTGTTCCAGTGAACACGGAAAATACACCTATCAGACGAGTTGCCATTACACGTAAAAAGTGTGAATCGTTCATATCATCCTTGGTTGATACCAAAACCACAGATGGCAGTGCTTCAACGAAGAAACAAAATAATAGTGAACTGTTGGAGAAACAGAGCTTAAATAATTTTTCAACAAAAGCACAAATCGAGAACACAGCCTCAAAGGGAAAAACTAATAATGTTATAGTAAGTAGAAATAAATCATTAAAAAAAGGAGTGTTAGAAGTGAGCAGAGATATGAAACAAACTGAAGCAAGATCTATTACAAACGAAGAAAGTGATGGTTATTTACGAGACGATGAATTGGGTATCACTAAAAGTGAGCCAAAAGTGCCCAATCTCAGTAAAGAATGTATTGTGGTCATACAGAAGAGAATATTAAAGCCAGTGAGAGAAGAAAATTATACTGCAAATAATTCTGCTACAAACAAAGATAACTCCATATCACAGGTTTTATTTGATTCTGATTCAGATGATACACCTTTAAGCCATTTGAATAAAACAGACACAAAGCAAAAATGTGAAATTATAGACAAAGAAACTTTAGATGGTGATTTCATTGATACCAAAATTGACAACACAGCTAAAGAGGAGTTAACAACAAAAGAGGCATCAAGCAGCAATCATAAAAGACATGCTTCTAAAACAGTAATTGAAACTAAAAAACATAATAAAAAACCAAACCATAAACAAAGATCGGAACAAATTCTTGTTGGTAAATCATCCCAAAAGTTAAACGACTTTGACGATGATGATGACGATTTTGAATTCAACAGAAAAACAATATTAGTGAGGAAGTCTTATGATAAAGTTGTTAAACCATCAAAGTCGAAATCAACTGGTTCGATTACGCAAAAGGATATAGATGAGCTAAAAGCCAGAATAGAGATGAAGAAAAAACTCCTTATTGCTAAAGCGATGAGCAATGATACAGAAGAATTAAGAAGCTTGATAAAAAAATGGCAGAAAGGGTGCCAGGAAGCTTTAATGGAGTTGTTGGATTTAATGAAAGAGAAATTACCGGATCATTCAAATATGAATTATTCTTATATATTAGAAATGTTAAAGATTCCACCATCACTTGTGGGGTATGATGAGGAGAATGAATGTTTTAACACCCCAGATGACAACAGCATTCTTGGGGTGGCATTTAATGAAATATAGGATTTAAGTTTGTTTTATGGATAATCAAACAATTCTTTAATAGGTTTAATTTTATATAGAAAGTGATTATTTATTGTATCATAAGTGTCTAAATTAAATAAATTTCCAAAACTAATTTGCTTATTTTATAATAGATACATACTTAGGTATTTAGTACTTAGGGGAATTTACTGTATTTATTATGGGACATATTTTTACACAACACTATCTAGTCTCAAACTAAGCAAAGCTTATATATATATATATATGTATACTTGTGACTTGACTTTTGTGTATTATATTATATAAACTTTAGGTCTTTAAGGAAATGTTTGTGTTTATAGTAAAAGGTCACAGTTTTGGGCTTTCGTTATTTGAGCTTCAACCAGTTTAAATAAATATATCATATGATATTCTGAATATTTACTTTTTATTAATATATATCATGAGGGTTAAGAAGTCGAAAAATTCAATATAGCTAAATAATTACAGGATTCCTCCGTGGCGAAAAACTTTTTGTCCATTTTTGTTACAATTTTGAATGTTCATGATTTTAAAATAATTTTAATTTTAACGAAATACATGAGATGAATTTGTCAAATTATTATATTATAGAAATATTTGGAATTTATGAGATGCAATGTCAGTGAAAATTATGTTGTAGTTAAAATTAATAGTCCAATAAAAATGTGATAAAATTATTTTTCTGTGGCATTGTTGTCCGATTGTTATGTTTATTGTTGATTGTCCATGATTTATTAAATATAAATAAATTTACTTACAAAACAGTTACATTTTTCAACATAGTGGTTTTCCGTTCAGTTTACACTTAACAATACAACATAGATGTTACTGATATGTAAATAAAACAATCATTTATTTATAATTATATTTTAACACTACATAATCTATGTCCAACATCTTAGGTATTAAAAACGATGGGATCGAATTGGATTTTCGGGGTCGAACAACTTTGGGTCTCTAAGGAAATGTTTGTCTTTATAGTAATAGGGCATATAGGCACAGTTCTGGGCTTTCGTTATTTCTGCTTCAACCAGTTCTTGTTTGGTTTTGCAAAGGCCCGTTATATGCCTGCCATATATTCTTCCGGTATATGGACTCTGGAATTGGGACAGCAACCTAGAATTTTTGTAATCTGGGGTTATTTTAAGTTTGCAGAGGATGCATTGTCGCCTCTCCTTTTTATATGGATTCGCCATTTCTAGAGGTGCGTCATCATCGGTCGATTTCGTAGAAGAGGGTCTTATTGTTGATGCCAAAATTCGCTGTGCTCTGGGATCTGTAATTTTGAACGTAAACTAAAATATAAGATATCTAATAGGGTTTCTTACAGTGCAAAACTTACACATGTTTCTCGTAAATAATGTTGTAAGGAACGACATTGTGTAATATTATTAAATATTTAGTTTTGTGCCTACTACTGATCGTTATTTTAGTGATTTAATTCAATTTAATACTATATTAAATAACCTTAAAATATAATATTAGTTTTTTTGATTGGGTCACTAGCATCTGACCTGACATATGCTAATAAAATGTTGCAATAAAAATAAACATATTACACCGGATATATAACATTTATAATTTTTTTTTTTCCTTTAATATAATGTAGTTTGCTGTTATATCCCGGCAGCTTTAACAGCTTCTTCGGAAGAGGTCCGAGGTCGCTAACCAGTGGATTCAAGAAAACAAGGTTGAACGTAGCTGATGTATGACCCCACAGCACTTCCGCGACCCCTGTTAACGAAAGATGGACAATTCGAATACGGCACGACATGACCCAAGCCCCTAAGTGGAGGCTTTGACCGTGATCAACAATCGGTAGTGAAACCAATTCAGAGGATGTCGGTTAATATTTTCTCTGTATTGGTTTACTCTAATTTGGTCGATAGTTGATCTTCGAAAGATAAAAGATTCGTAATTACTTTACGAGCAAACGATCATATGAGGACTTCCTAATAAATAACATGCGCGTCATGTGTGATTTAAAAGTGACATGGTACACGGGGCATATCGGTTGTAGGCTGTGAATGTGTTTGCCCGGTGTATGTTTGAGAGTAATGCTGCATGTACCGCGCTAAGCATGGTGCCTCAGAGTCACCGTCATCGTCCTGCTTGAGTTTAGGACCCGCTTCTATAGCACACTTCAGTGATTGTGAAGTTACATCCTGATAAAGAAATACATTTTATATTTATTAATAGTTATTAGGTTTTATTAAGCACAAAACTACATACAAGTTTATGATGGATTTTGTTATTATTATTCATGTATTTATTATTATCATTATATCAGTATTTTATCATTCAATCTCCTTAGAAAAAGTAATGTTATCCTTTAAATATTCTGGCCGTTTTTTAGTTCTAATCGGTCGCTCTGTTGTCGTTACTTCTTTACAATGCTCATTTGCTTCTTCTTGTATATTTTCACTTGGATGGTCTGAGTAATTATTATTTTCTTCAAAAAGCTAGATGCCTATGAGATATAGTCTCTTCCCTTCCATCTGGTAAAAGAACATCAAAAGGAAAGTGATTGTAATTACTCTACTTCCTGAACTAAAGACGAATATTTTGAAGCTCGATTATGCTTTTTCATTAACACCGGCCCCGTCACCATCAACCACGCTTGTCGCGTTTTGCCTTAACATTCTTTCCTAATGTGTAATAATATTTTATATTTAATATTATAGCTGTATAAAGTAATGTATATCTGAACGAATGCAATGAATGATCCAGTACCTTCTCCCATTAGGCTAAATCTTTTTTTTTGTTTTTAAAGCCAATCGAATTGTCTTTCACAACGAGCCATTTTATCGTTCCACCTGTCCATTTCTTAGCGGATTATACGAAGTTGTTCGGCTGTTGGCAGTACCTTTATTTTGTTAAAAATCTTTGATTCATGGGACATAAATGATCACTACGTACAGGACATCCATTATCATTGTTTGGTGTCCATTGCATTCAACTCAATGTCTCTTTTAATCACATATTTAGCAAATCGTATTCTTTGCAGGGCAATTTGAACGCACACACCACCACAGAAAAAATATTTCTTTCGGTTGCCACTATTTAAACTTTTTCATTCATGTCAAATGAGGTTGCGATTGTGAAGCGCTTACTGGATGAACTGATATTATTGAGTAGTGGACTTCGCTAGTTCCAATGAAACCGCTTTGTTATACGTTTCATCTGACGAAAACGATAAATTTCTCATCTCATTACAGGAGATTTCAGAAATGGAGGCATCTCCTACATACTCTTATATTTTTCAGCCGACACTGATGTTAATTCACAGTCCAGACTTGGTAGTTTTAACTTAAAAAACTGTTAAACCGGTTTTCTGGCGATAAGGCGATAAGTCTTGCAAAATTAATATTTTTCGGTTTGACGTATGCAAGCTCTAAATTATTAACCGCATCTTTGAAACCAAAGCATATATTCAAATAAAATATTAGACACACAAGACAAATCATACACAAGTCTTACATATACATATACTTTCGAGTAATGGTTTGTGAGAAGTGGAAATTTTGCTGTTTACTTTACTTTTTTCGATTTCCCATTCTTCCTTGTTTGCAAAGAAGTTCCTCAGAGGAATTCGAAGAGAAATTCCTCCACTGAACTGGTCGTACAGCGTCCCCTTTTATAGGCCGCATTTCAATCGTCTTTTTGTTCAAAATGTTCTAGAAGTAAGGCTGATGTAAGATTTTCGAGTTTTGTTAAATAGAAACAGTATAAAAACCTTATTTTACTTTAAACAACCAATTTAAAATTAGATTACAGCCTAGATAGAGCCTAGTCGGCATGATTTTTCGACCGAGTACTATACGAGCTGTGATTCTACTGTTTTTATTCTGGTGGAATTTATTAATATTTAATAGTTTTATTCGACAAAGTCTCTTTAAAATACTTTTAAGTGATATAGAAGGGTTTTGGAACCAATGTATAGTCATGACATAAAGAAATCTTTAAAAAAAATACAGTGAAGCTATTAATGGGTTATTATTTTATTCACTGATAATAGGTTTGCACTCATTTTTTGTAGATAAATGGGCGAAATTTTTTTGACACAGAATAATTATAGACTAAAAATATTGTGATTAGATGTATATTGTATAGTAAAGATATGTCAAGACATATGTATTTTGTTCTTTCCGTTTCTGTTTTTCCCAAGGAGGGGTAGATGTCAGTAAGGCGGCTGGTTGTAAAAATATATAACCATTAACATCATACTCGTATGTTGTGTCGTAGAAAGAAGAATAATATAAATAAGTTCAAAATAAAAACCGCATATTATTTGGTATAATATTATTTATAATTGTCATTACAAAAATGTCAATGTTAGCAAAAATAATCACAGTCTGACACTTCTAATCTACATAACTAGTTTAGAATCTAGATTCATACAGAATTTAGACGTTAACTCAATTGCTTTTATATAAATCTATTTTTATACATGCAACACCACGTTTAACTTTACAACGTTAATCGATTACAATGTCTACTTCAAGATTCCATACACGATCTAACTTACTGTACATTTTTATACCTACAATTGTGTCAATAACTCGGAAAAAAATTGACGTACGTTATTTTTAATACTTATAATTAATAAACGGAACTATTCAGATTACTCGATTTTATAGTAAAGTAAACAAGATGGCGCTAAATGTTTTATGTTTGCTATGGTTCATCACTGGCAGCATTTGTCTGTTGGGTAAAATAGTTCTGATTCAAATATAACATTTCAAATTTAAAACAGATTTTAATTGAATTTTTGGCATACATCGTGTTTGGTGTTCACTTTAGCGTCTAATTTTGCTGTTATTTGCTATCTGTAACACTTTTGCGTGGCTAATTTAAAAAAACCGCTGAACCTTGTTATGATCTATGGCACCATCTTATTCTATGGTAACTTATTATTCAGGTATCTCAAAATCAATGTTTAAAGTTCACACCCTAAAACATAGTCCTCTACCAAGAAAATACAAAATATATCTATATAATTATTAATATACCCTTGAAAGCGTTGGACCAATCATAATTGCTAACATTCTTTACTAGCCACCTTACTGGACGCTCGAACGAGAGCCCCTTATTATAAATACAATACTAATATTTACACATGGACTAACAGTCATTTAGCTAAAAGTACTTAAGGGCTTAATTCTTTACGAAAAGAAGTACTAATACTTCTCCGTATTGCTTTTAAATATTAATTTAAAGTTTTCAACTGTTTCTGTCCTCTATATAAAATTAAAAAGGTTTCATTTCCTAAACGAAAAATATCATTATTCTTAATCGATCAAAACTTTTTTTATTAAAAAAAAGCTATAGTGAGCATTGATTTTTACACGAACTAAGCCCCTTTTCTAACGGTTTGAGCAATAAAAGATTCGATATGCACAGACAAAGTTCGATTTGTCGAGAAAATATCGGGTCGCTGTGTGCCCAGTCAATTACGTTGCACATTTTACATCGGCACAGATTAAACTTGATTAACTTTGATTAATACGAGAAAAAAAAAAAAACAAATAAATTAAATGTAGTCGGTAGAAGAGAGCATCACGATCAAACGTACGACACGTTTAAGATAGAACGCAGCGACCCATCAGACCTTACTTCGTCCGCAACTCCAGCGCGTTATCTCCGTTACGCTAATCGAAACGGGAGGGGGAGCTTTGTTTCCGTTTTCACGTGGCTCTCCTGGCAAATGCAAATGTCGAAGGTTTATCGCGCGCTCTATTGCCACAACCGGTTCGTGCGCTCTAGCCGCGCTTGAAGCGCAGTATCGTGAGCGTGACGACGAGGAAGAGGGCGATCCAGGCCAGGGTGGCCACGAAGCCCATGTAGACGTCGGGGTCCTGCAGCGGCCAGCCGCGCGTCAGCACCGACCGCAGCGAGGTGGTGGCCAGGGTGAGGGGCAGGCACAGCGCTATGTAGCGCAGCGCCCACGGCATGCCCTCGATGGGCCAGATCACGCCGCTCAGCAGCAGCGTGGGGTAGAACGAGCCCAGCGCCAGCTGGATCGCGTTCCGCTCCAGCTCGCAGGCGGCCGATATCACGAAGCCGAAGCACATGCCGCACAGGCCTGGATTCAACGGTAACGTACACGTATAGAGCGATGGCGGCGAAAGTTTCATTCATTGTATGACCTCTAAAGCAAAAATATCAACGAACAGATGAATTTCAACTAACACTTTCATTGGTCAGAATATCGAATTAAAAGCAAGCGTCTGGACAATAAGCTATCACTAGGTTAATACCTATACTATACAATTTTATATTATTAGCTTATACGACAGTTATGTATTTAATATATTATTTAATCAAATAAACATATTTCAAGTTTTTTTCGAATTATATCGCGTCCAATATTACTAATCCAATACCTTTAATGTTATTCAAAATCTGACAGTGCCAGCAGCGTCTCAGCAGTTAAAGGAATCTAATAGTGAAATGACCTCGGAGTGAAGCGTATAATTCTAAAAAACTACCGATGATAATACAAAAAGGCCCCGTAGCTACCTTGAAGCAACGTCAGCATGATGACGTAGGCGATGTTCCCGTTGCTCTTGACGCCGAAGACGAGGATCATGAAGATGAGCACCAGCGCCGTCTGGCCGCACATCACCACGAACTGCGTGACCACGTGCGAGAACAGGATCTCCCCGGGGGACACCCCCGCCACCCAGGACCTGTCCAGGAGGCCCTCCATCCGCTCCACGATCAGGGCCGACGAGGTCAACGCCACGGCCAAGAAGAACACGATACTGGAAAAGCAACATTGGATATGGATGGATGTTTGTTACTCTTTCACGCAAATACTACTGGATCACAGAATAACTCATAGGCTAAAATTTATATACATATTTTTATGTATATCTGTCTTTCTGTCCGAATGTTACGCCATCAGTCGCATTCTACGCAGACGTAGTCGCGGACAGGAGCTAGTATTCAATAGTGTTACCCTCCATGTTTGAAAAACTTTTCCACGGATGACACTAAAACGTGAATTTAGATTTTCCGATCACGCTATTTGATGCAAGCATTGATTTTACGATAAGGTTATTATTGTATACTAGAAACAGAAATTGTAAAAATCCAAACATGGGATACGGAATAATTTCAACAGAATCTTTTTTCCTTTTTGTACTACTGCAGGTAGTACAAAAAATATAATTATATAATGTACGAACATGGCAAGAGACTATCACGTCAGACTATCGTAATTACTATTAAACCAACGAACATAATAAATCACATTTTTTGTGTTTAAGATTTGACGTCAATGCAGATATTTAATGTACTATATCTATATAAATTTATTCATACTCGAATATATGTGATACAGACTTATAAAATCGAATCGCATACAATGAATAGATTTGCGAAACTGTTTCGAAATACTTTATCACATTCACGCTAAAAATAAATCCACGATAATTCGAATATATTCGATGTGCCAATTCCGTCTAATACAAGAGGTCTTGGTGGGAATAGAAGTAGTAGTTGAATGGCTCACGTTAAAATAACTCCGGGAGCGACGAAATCCGTGAACGAGGGGTTGTTGTCGCCGTAAATCGGGTCCTTGAAGTCGATCGGAATGTCACCCACTTTCGGATTGTAGTTGCACGTTTGGAGCAGATCCTGGAATTGAATGATGACAGTCATCTTCATGATGCATAGATTTCAGATCTTGATTGGGAAAAGTCAAAGTTTTTACTCCCCGGTATGATTACAATTTTGGAAATTTCAGTAAGTTGCATGGTGCGTGTGGTAGACCAAATGTCCATTTGAGATAATGACAATGAAATATTTTAAATTTGTTAAATGTGCTATTTGAAAGCCGTTACAAAAGTATTTCAAAAAATCAGGCTATATAAGAAATATGTGATAGAAAGATTTTAAGATCAGCATTTTGTTGTTTCATATTTTATGGACACATGACATATTACAATAAGCAAATATTTACCTTGGCAAAGTCCCGGTAAGAGAACTGTATGTCCCTGTTGAGCATAAGCCCTATCTGCTGGTTGGACATGTCCAGCCAAACCTGGACCTCGGATGACATGATGGTGTCGTTATCTGCCGTGTCAGCTGTAAATAGACGCGTATATTCGTTTTAAAGAAACCACAATAAATCGTAGATGTCAATATGACGTAATTTAACTTTGCCATCTGGTATTGTTCCTAAGTTGTCTCTATTCATTCTGTCTCATAGAAACGTTATTTTAATTTTGTTTATATTTTGTATTAAATTATGCTATAGAGCTTTACTAATTATTTCTTAATATGTATTTGGATTGTAGTATAGCTTCTTCATATGCCTAAATGCAGACAAGTGATCAAAAACTTAGGCCGGTAAAAAAATGTGTAATCGCGTAAATACAAGAAAATTATCATACAAATTGTGAACTTTTATTAAAAGTTCACAATTTGCTACGAACAAATGAGTTTTAATAATAAATAAAAAATACGAATCTATCGTACCTATATTTGGATTGTTCACAACTGTTTCATTAATGAGCATTGATTTTGTAAAGTAATGAGGCGTATGTTACAAAGCGATGAGAAACTAAGGATCGCTTCGTACCTAGAGCCAGTCTAGCGACTAGAGCGTCCGTGTAGTTCTCGTTGAAGTAGATGGCGCCCCAGGCGTCGCCGTCGCGCACCGCCTGTATGGCCGACTCCACGTCGAAGTAGTACTGCTTGATGATGGACTGGTTCTTCAGGTGGTCGAGGTAGCGGCACGACAGGTTCTTCATGGAGCACGACGAGTTGTACGGACAGTAGCCGTCCATCACGTTCACGTCGTCGTTAACTATCGCCTGCGTTTTCGGGGATGGTTTTGTTTAGAGAAAATTTACGTAATCGATAATGGAAGAAATACTTTTATCTTTTACTTTAAAATAGTTTGTTCGTTTAATGATATTTTCCTTAACTTCCAATTGTTGAGATAACGCTTTTGACTTATATATGACAAAGTAAGGAGGACAAGGACATGTAAGACAAAGTAAGACAAGGACATGTAAGACATAGTACGTAAGGAAGGACGAGAGGAAAAAACCTAGAAAAGGAGGATATGTCTGGGTCCTATCTGGCAACTAATCTTAGAAGATATTCGAGATGAGAATTTTAATTTGACTCACCAGTCTTAGACCGCTGGGGTCACGTCCGATGGCCAGACAGAAGAGTATCACTTGCATCACGGGCAGCGCGAATATGAACAGCATGACGCCGATGTTCCGCCACATCCTCAGGAAATTCTTCTGGATCAGGGCCTTGATTTTCCCCCTCGACGTGAACTGGGGAAATGAGAGTCTTCATTTAAATTTCGAAACACAATTGAATTCATTGTATAGGATTCTGGTTTAATTGACGGATGGTATGTTGATAGCATTTTGGATAAGCAATAAGTTTTAATTTACGATTAGCGCCAGTAAGTCAAAATTTCTTTATTCAATATAGGCCAATTTTAAGCTCTTATTGAAAGTCAAAATACACCAAACTATGCCATGTCCGGAGAAGAACCGGCAACAAACTCTGCGGTCTTGTTATCATATTATTATTTTTAATTATATAAGTTTACAAAATTATGGTAAAGTCTAAGTTAATGAACTGAAAATACAGTGAATTTAATTATTCTACGTTCATTAGAGTCCAGAAATATACAGAAGAAAGTTTATTAATCTAATTCCCCTGTTTCTATTTAGACAATCAACTGAGACTACACCGTTGTGTTTTGCATTTCATGAATGGACGAACAATTGATTCTCAACGTTGCATTTACTAAACTTTCAACAACAGTACCGTGAGAATTTCCCAAGTACACTGTGATTATCACAACTGTTTAATGATCTTTATTAATCAGTTCAATAATATTTCGCGTGTAATCTTACTTACGTTTAAACAGTCTCCACACTCTTCGCATTCTGTAGTCACGACTTCTGTCATTTTTCCTGGAAGCTGAAATTCAGGGCATAAAATGACTATAGGTTATCGATAATCAATTTCAATATCAGCCTATCGCCGTCCACTGCTGAGTCTTGGGCAGCCCGCTGCCCGCCTTTTTTAAGTTATCGACAAGTAATGCTTAATATTACGAAATGTTATAAAATACGCTAAACAATTGGCCGAAGCGGCTATGTGAAAGTAGATGAATTAACTGAGTATTATGCAATATCAAAAACTGAATTTTTTTAGTTCCAGTTGTTGTAACTCGAACTTTTTAAATCGTGTGAAAACATAAATAAGTAAAATGAATCAAATTGTATCAATTGTGTGATACAATTGTAGTCTACGAACAGTTATTATGAGACAGTTATGAATATTTCTTTCGAGAAATAATTCAACGAAATCAGACTACTACACGATGCACGACCCCCAAACTTGAAGCCAATAGGTTAATCATGGAGTTTTTGTGAACAGTGTAACGTTCTAACTAACTAAGCGTAACATCAAACATGGGCCCCAAGATTAAGTGGGCTAAATAAATCCAAGAGTACCCACATCGCCATTGGACCCCGCGCCGTTGTCCACAATAAGGACCTCCTTGCTCTGGTGGAAGTTCAGCCCGACAACGTGCGTGTCTTCAGCCGCGTAAGGCGCCTCCTCCCTTTTCGACATCTTGTTCAGCCCCAGAGCCCCACCGGACACGTTGAGCTCGACCACTTGGTTCGCTTGACCTTTGGATGGAAAATGTACGGATGAGGAACCTTTTGATAGAAAATATTTAGATGAGGAATCTATACCACTTGCCTCGCTCGACCTGTTGTAAGAACGTTTTTCGAAAACATAGAAAAGGGAAACAGAGTCGTGATGAGGAAAAGCAAAATTGAGATGGAAAATGGTCAGATTACGTTGAGGCAAAACTGAGGTGTGAAACAGACAGAAAAACAATAATTATTCGCGAGGCTTCCCAAAATTGTAACTAAATATAGAAGAGCCTAGCGTACTGCTAAATAGTTTGAATTTATTTATTAAATGTTTCTTCTATACAATAAACATTAAATAAAATTTAAAATTAAGCATTCATTTCTTATTACTATTTCCTAAAAGTTTCTTTTTTTACGCTACGACTGCTATTTTAGTGTCGTGATCAGAATTGGTAACAACTCGTTAAAACCTCGTTACCCGAACAAAAATTTTGATTTACATTAAAACTTAAGAAATCCGTATCAAAATAACAGTGATTTAAAAGTGGCTTTGCGTTACGTAAAAGATATTATTAAAAATGCAATCACCTTCGCAACATGTATCTGGAAGCAATAAAAAAATATAAATAATAATTTCGCGGCAAAATGTTACGATGAACATAAGGCCGTATCGGATAAATAATGTAGTATATATGTTAATTTAAGAAGCATTGTCTTTTGTGTTGATGGTTGTACAAATAATAATTTATATTGGTTTATCGCATTTACAATGTGCCGTTAATTCCACATCTTTGGTTACGTTCGATAACCTTTCAAATTGTATACTTTGTACACAGTAAATTGAATACAGTTGGATACTTTAAAGTTTCTGGATCACTCCAAGGCTCTGTTGGATATGCAGATGGCATTAAATGTTGTTCTTTGTGCATAAAGCATAAATATATAAATATACCTACATGCAGGTAAGGATTAGAAAATGTTGAAAAACTTAGATATTATCTGTCTAGGCGGAAAGATAGACTATGTTTTTTTTTTACAAAAGACATTTTAGTCCATTTATGGGTTGGCAAACTGGGTAAGTCGTGAACTCGTGAAGTATAGAACTTTAATGGTATGCTAGAAGTTTCATTCGACTATATTGACGGGCAGTAAATGGCGGTTAAAAATTATGCATAGAATCGGATAAGATTGCTGACATAATATTGAAAACATAGAGCATTTTAAGTTTTGAATAGAGTGACTAGGTATTTCGAAAATTATAATAATACCTTCATCCTAAAGACTGTCGTGTCTATTGTATCTCGTTAGCACATCAGCAAAGTCAATGTCAGGGTTTTTTATACTTTGTTTTTTTTTTAGGGTCAAAAGTAAGACGCGACGTTAAGCCATTAACGTCATTGAAACGACGCGGAAACAACGTTTGTAACACGTTTTTTTTTTAGTTAATGCATGTATGGACGTCTTGAAGTCTTATAATCAAATAGGTGTGAGTGATCGCCAAATGGTCTAAATTGGACCGTAATAATATTAGGAAACTTGATGCTCTATGTGTATCTGTAATCATGAGCTTTCATATGTGCTTACGATAATAAAGGAAGAAAAAAAAATACTGTTTCAATTTTTCTATTGTTTCTATTCATCAATTTTGTGATGTTGTTGATTGTGATGAAAAAGATACTGAACTCTTTTGTTTGACCCATTTGGATATAGATTTTTACCTCCTTTAAAGTAAAGTTGCCACCTTGTATTAATTTATTTAACTTTTACACAAATCTTTTAGGCGGACCTGTCAACCGATTGTTGTTGTATAAGTAAAAAAAAGTACTATAGTAAAATTTATATTATTTGTTAGTTTGCAATTATATATTTATGTATATTTAATATTTATTTTGTATTAACACGAATAATGAGTCTATTTACATAGTAACAAACCTCAGTATGTCAATGTCTTTTTAATGTAAAAACAAATTATTTGCATTATATTACGATAAAATTTCTCTAAACTTTTTATATAGTTCTCCTTGTAAATTCATTAATATTTCTTTAACATACTTTTCATGCAACTTGAACAATTTTATCATATACTTCGAGAGCGTATCTCGTAACTATGCCATATTATGCAATGATGTTATTTACAAATACGAGATAAATATCACACTATCGCGCCGAAACTGAGGCACTGAAATTACGGCAATTGTTGTAATTGATTAGTCTGCAGTCTCTTTCCGTATTGTACGTTCTATATCATGTGTCACATTCACTTATGTACGTCATATAACGATGAAAAGCGGAACAACTTGTAAAAGCCGCACTGTATGGACATGCGTCGTCATTATTAACACATTGATATTTTATTACATCATTGATATTACGAACACAATGTAATGTCAACCGCGACACCAACCAATTAGGCGACTGCAAAATAACTTGTTCGAAATTGCGCGTCAAAACGCGGGAAGTGTTTTAACGCCAACGATTTCCTGATGTGATGCACTGTAAATATACATAAGTTTTGCGTCATATTCCTATTAAAGGGACGTAGAGATAAATGGCTGCACTGCAGAGCATAGAGATACCGTAGGACGGAGCGCCTCAATTAGCATAGACAACGATAGAGGACGTCTAACCTCAAAACTAAAAAAAAGTGTCGATTTAAATTAACCTCATGATGTCACGTTCCATTTTTTTTGTTTAGTACTCGATTAATGTGTAAAATTGTAAACGTACAATCTTACTTATATATTACATTACGATGTAATATGTACAATTTTTTATAAAAAAAAATTTTTTTCAGTGATGGCAAAGTTATCTTCGATGTTTTTTAATTTTATATTGCAATCTATAGGATAAAGATATAGATAAAACCAAGAAATTATCCTCCATGTGTCTTTTATCCTATTGAAAAATCACAAATGCATTGAGTTCCGTTCACCGAGATTATCAGAATAAATAAGAAACGTTTTGTGTTAGGTGTGTTTCAACCAATGATATTATATACTTACAAATACGAGGTAGATAGATACTAATGCACCGAAGCTGAGACACTCAAATTACGCTAATTAGTGTAATTAGATTGCGACTCTATAGACCGCTATCAATTTCCGTACCATACGTTCTATATAATCTGTTACATTCACTTATATATGAAATAGTACCCGGAGGACCGGTTTGATTTTTTTTGGTAAATTACATTTAGATACAAATTACTGAGTAATGAAATATGCATAATATTTTTCGATCTTACCGACGTAATAATAAGAAAATATGAACTGATGTTTTTCACAAAAGATAGAACTTTAAAAAAAAGGGAAAAAAATAACAAAATAACAAATCGACAAAAAATTAAAAACAAAGAAAGCAATGATCTGGAATCGAAAAAAAAGTAAAAAAATAAATATGTAAATGATCGTGACGCGAACCACGGCCGTCTGCTTTGGGGCCGCCCGATTACCGACCGAGCTATTATGACATTTTCTCTTGCGGCAAAATTTACCGTCATATTCGAATTATATTTTTCATTCCCTGAAAACAGGGATAAAAGGACATTTTCTAAAAATGTAACCTATATATATATATATATATATATATATATATACAAGAATTGCTCGTTTAAGGGATAAGAGATAATGTGAAGCGGAACAATTGTTAAACGCCGCGCGGTATGGCCGTACGTCATCTTTGTGTCGAAAGCCAACCCAAGCCAAAACCAATGTTGTTTATTAAAACATCATTGGTTTCGACACATACCTTGTGCCAATAATGAAACTGCTAAAACGAGAATATGCGCAGACAGATTCTCTACACAATGGTAAAGCCAGAAAGTAAAAATTGGACTAAGATAAAATATAATAGCGGAATTTGACGATCCGGCGTACTGGGTGGTGTACCTGCCACCTGCGTCAGAGGGTGTGGGTTCGATCCCCACTACTAGAAAAATATTGTTTTAGTAAAAATTTGTTTTTCTAGTGTATCTGTGTTTATATATGTATAATATGTATTTATTTGCAAAAGAAAAGTATGTTTAACTATGTTTATAAGTTATCTAGTACCCGTGGTACAAGCGTTGCATACTTTCGGACTAGGGAACGTTGTGTAAAAATTTGTCCGTAAATATTAAAAAAAAAATAATTAGAATTTCGATAAGCCTGTGGCACTCACCCTGCTTTCTAGAGAGCTTGAGGAAGACGTCTTCAAGGGAGATACAGCTGTACATGGTCAGGAGGGCCTGGGGTGACTCCTCGGCCAGCAGCCTACCGCTCCTCATCAAACCGATCTGAAAGAAACAGCCGTTATATCGATTTGCCTCACCGTAGTACTATATTTCGTTTGCATGTATAGATACTGCTCATTTTTATCGCTTCATAGTATGACCAGGGCACCATGACAAGGGTTGACTGGCAAAGAATGCCACTAGGCAATAAGTCCGCCCATTTATCTAAGCTAATAGCCTAAGGTGTAGCAATGAAGTTGAAATATATATATATATATTTTTTTTCCAGAAGATAACGCACCGGTGTTAATCTGTTATCGAATTTTTATTATTCGAATCTGGCCAGCGCTGGACTGCCACCCCGCCTATTCCGTTGAAATAAATATTCTAAACAAATTGAATTTACGAGATAATAATAAGGAAATTAAAAAAAAACGTAAGTGAGTAAGTAATAAAAAAATGTAACTTTTGTTTTGAAGAATCAAAACAAAATTTAAAAAACCTCTATTTTTATTACAATCATTCTTGAATGTAAACATAAATATCATTACAAATCATTTCGGCGGTCAAAAATCGTTGATAGCTCTTAAAGCACAAATAAACAAGGCATTATCCTTGTGAATTCGCAGATATAAATTCGTTTAAATACGGATTCAAGTGTTTACTCATCGCCTCACAATACAGTTTAAATTTCACACTGTCTTGTGGTACATTCTTTGTTTTGCATAGCCACAGTAGTAATACGTATCTTGTTTCTGCATTTATTTCAGTATTGCCACGATCAGTTCAATGAAGTTACAATAATCAATCAATCATAATCCTTACTTCCTTACTAATAAACGCGAAAGTTTGTACCTATGTATGGATGGGATGTTTGTTACTCATTCACGCAAATACTACTGAATGGATTCTAATGAAACTTTACAATAATATAGCTCATACATCAGAATAACACATAGGCTATAATTTACATACATATTTTTATGTATATCTGTCTTTCTGTTTTTACGCCTTCAGCCATCTATGCAGACGTAGGCGCGGGCAACAGCTAGTGGTGTACTAGGGTCCTCTCTTCTTTCCCTTATCCTAACTAGGTGGGGTCGGCACAACATTTGAATCATGTTGCCAGTGGTATTAACTGGATTCTTGAGACCAGCCTGACGTCGACCCTCTCAGGGACAATTATCTGTGGGTCACACAAATATTTTTCCCGTGTGGGAATCGAACCCATGACCCTAACACATAAAATCAAAATCAAAATCAAAATGAAATGAAAATATTTATTCAATATAAGAGCATTACACTCACTTATTGATAGTCAAAACACTACCACCGGTTCGGAAAAGAAAGCCACTGTACTGAGAAGAACCGGCGAAAGAAACTCAGCGGGCTTTTTTTTTTTTAAATAAGCAGTTTGACATAAATTCGTTAAAATACAATATAAGAACTCCGATTGAAAGAGCCTGGAGCGATCAGTTCATTTACCAGAGTGTGTTATCATTTAAATAATCATTAATATTATAGTAGCCTTTAACACACAAACGTTCTTTTACTATTTTTTTAAATTTAGCTATTGATGCATTTCGAACGTTTTTAAACCTATAGCATAGCAACTGCGCACGGATTATTGTTTTTAATATACACAATTATTTAATTTGTTAATTTAACTAAACTCAGATAATATATAGTAAGTAAACGATATTAAAAAGTATTATTACACTACCATACAAATATATAATTATAATTATATGTTATGGGATGAACAGAATCCTTCAAAAAGATATTTAAGAAGCGATCTCGCTTAATAATATCTATTTAGCGAATCTTTTGAACTGTCTGTAAATTTTCATTTTTATTTTTTAATTGGCAGTACGAGTGTGAAATGTTTAATAGAACATTAAGTTTATAAAAATATTAGCATTACATACATATAAAAACGGTGTTTATGTATTGCGTCTACCACTTAATTTAGTTCCACTCCATTTGAGGTTACATAATACATATAAAACATACAATATGCAAAGGTAATTAGCGAAGTCCATATCCGCGGTGGGAGATATACAACGTGGTTACAACACTACTAACATCATTTAAGGATCTTTGTCTTCTACGTATGTCAAACACTAATAAAATCTCTAATGCCGACACTAAAGCTCGCTTATTAAAAACTCTAACATTCGCCCAACATCCGTGTATTGCGTAAACTATAAATAGTTGATAAGCCACACTTAATGGAGGTGTAGAATAATTTATTCCATTTACATAATGTTCTCAATTTGTATAACGAATGTAGTAGTGGCCCAGTGGCCGTGCTGCTATTTGCGAGTTTGAATCCCAAACGGTTAATACGTCATACACAAAACATTAAACATTGTAACTTCATCTTACTATAGCGTTATTTTTAATTTTATAGCAAAAGTCACAGTAAAGTTTACGCAATGATATTATATAGAAAGATATGACAAAAGCGCACCGAAATTAATGACTCAAATTACAGCATTCGTTGTAATTGATCGTATTTTATAGACTGCTATCTTTTTCGATACCATAATTATGTTTTGTTTTTTAATTCGTGGCGCCGTTGTTGTAAGGGCAATGTTATAAAAAAAGAATGTTCTATATCATCTGTCACATTCACTAATTTATTATGTCATATAAAGTAAAGCGGAGCAATTTTAAAAGGTCGCGGAGTATGGACATGTATATATTTAGATGAGATATTATAAATTCTATATTTTTTTATAAACAACTGACCTACGCAAGTGAGAAAAATATTGCGTAGTAAAAAGTGTCGGTAAACAGGAAAGTTGTATGTAGTTACTTTGTATAGTTTTAAAATACTCGAAAAATATAATTATATGTCTATCACTTCACGTCCTTTTTTATAATTATTAATCAATTCATTGGTGATCCACGGAAATAAATGTGAAGACAATATAATCTTTACAGATAAATGAAATTGGTGTGTCTGTTTGTAATATTAAAATAACCGCTTATTACTAAATGCATATGGATGTATACACGTTACATTTTTTACAATTTTTTAAATTTTTTACAATTTTTGTCTGTCTGTTTGCTCCGGCTGTTCTCAAAAACAGCTAAACCGATTTTGACGGCATTTTCACTGGCAGATAGCTGATGTAATAAGGATTAGGGGCTAGTTTTATTTTGGAAACAATTTATTTTAAATTCTACACGGGCGAAGTCGCGAGCACAGCTAGTCCTTACCAGTATTATAAAACGCGAAAATTTGTAAGTATGGATGGATGTTTGTTACTATTTCAAGAAATTTGTCATATAGTAATGAAACTTTACAATAATATAGCTTATATATCAAAATAACACATAGGTTATAATTTATAAAGATATTGTGTGAATTGGCCAAAATATAGGTAATGATAAGTGTCAGCTAAGTAGGAAAAAAATCAGCCATCTGCGAGATATTCTGCTGTAAAATAGAAAAACTCATTGTTAATTCCCTTTGGCCGCGCGGGTGAAGCCGCGGTTAACAGCGAGTCTATATCAAAACGAGTTGCTGTTCATTAGTCTCGGTACAACTCGAGAACGGCTGGACCATTCGGCTAATTTTGATTATGACATATTTGTGGCAGTCCAGGGAAGGTTCAAACGCTGAGAAATAAATTTGTTTCAATTTTAAAATGTCAACAACTTTGTGTTCCTACCTGTCAAACATTTCATGGGTGCATTCCGAAAATTCTTTTTCTACGTGTTCAGATTCACAAATTCCCTAGAAATAAATTGTAGGGCAAAACAACGTTTGCTGGGTCAGCTAGTGAGCAATAAAAATGGACTCACGCAGTGCGCCTGCCGGGCCTCCTCTATGTAGTGGGTGGTGATTATGACGGTCTTGTCGCCGGAGCTGGTTATTTGGACCAGGTGGGTCCAGATGGACTGCCGCAGGAGTGGGTCCACGCCGACGGTCGGCTCGTCGAGGATCAGGAGCTCGGGGTCGTGCATAAGCGCCACTGCGAACGACACTCTTCGCTGTTGACCACCGCTAGGGAAAGAAGAAAGATTAGCTCCGAGTTGTTCAGCAATGGGTTCCATAGAGAAAGTACGTATATACGCGTGTGTGTTTTTATGTGAGAAGGTAGGAAACGAGCTAAGGAAAGAAGAAAGATTAGCTCCGAGTTGTTCAGTAATGGGTTCCATAGAGAAAGTACGTATATACGCGTGTGTGTTTTTATGTGAGAAGGTAGGAAACGACCTAAGGAAAGAAGAAAGATTAGTTCTGAGTTGTTCGGTAATGGGTTCCATAGAGAAAGTACGTATATACGCGTGTGTGTTTTTATGTGAGAAGGTAGGAAACGACCTAAGGAAAGAAGAAAGATTAGTTCTGAGTTGTTCAGTAATGGGTTCCATAGGGAAAGCGTATATAAGCGTGTGTGTGTTTTTATGTGAGTAGTAGTGTTACCATTGTTAGAATAAAATAAACTTCTCTTAGAGAGGTGGTAGTAGGCAGAGACCACAATTCCCACGAACCTTTCGTACCTATTTCAAGCAAAACCCTGATACAAACAAAGACTGACGAAGGTGCAGTATGTAGATAAAAGTAATTATGAATAAATCCACGGCGCCTTCTATCATTTTGCTATAACTTTCACTCATTACATTAACCAATTATCTCTTTACCATTGTAATGAATTTAAAACCGATAATTTCATTCTTTATGTATCTACGATCACACAATGCCACGTGACGTGGCGGTTTCACGCTATTTTCACTTTTAACAGCGCCAAGTTTCTATCGAGTCGCGGACGAAAATCGGTTGCGGCGTGGTCGTCAGCGAAAGTCGTAGTTGACGGGATTGCAACGTCACGAGTTAAGGCCCATTTACACGATGCCATTTTCTTGAACATACAAGAGCAATAATTGAATGCAATAAATTGCGCGCAATAATTGTTTAGACCATTTCTTGTTTAGACCATGCAACTCATTTATTGCTTCAATTTAATTGTATACAACAGGCAAGAAACTGGCACCGTGTAAATGGGCCTTTACGTGCGAATCTGTAACGTACGTCGTTTAGTTTTAAGAGACTTACGTAAACTGAAAGTAATAGCATTATATACGTCCCACTGCTGGGCAAAGGGCTCCTCTATAATCAGTGTATTTGTTGTTCACCGCTGTGGATTCGACGAATACTGTTTCCGTACATGCTTACGTGAACTATATCTTTTACAAATTTTATGAATGCATACAAAGATTTTGGCTTCACGTCATAATATCACAGACAACTGAGAAAAAAAAAAAGTGTATATTATTTAACTGACAGAGGGACGACTTTGTTTTATACTATATAGTGATTTTGTTTTATAATGTTTTCTTTCTTGTGTTTGACTTATGTTTTAATCATACAACATCACAATGAATTATAAAACGTCTTACCAATGGCTGGGAACCCAAGCACAATCATATATAGTAAGAACTCAAGATACGACAAGATGTTCTTGTAACTTTTTCACAAATCGTACCAAAAGTAAGCAGAGAAAGAAACTGATGATATTTGCTGATGCTCTCGAAAACACAGACATACGACTTATATTCGGAAAAAGACAGTTAAATAGGTATTCCGTCTTAACTCTTAACCGTTTATATTTCAGTCTCTGTGATTAATTACTTTAAGCGCATCTTCACGGCGCATATAAAACACTGGCGCAGGTGACATGATCCATAAATCATATTTGTTGTATAGGAGCCCCACTTAAATATTTATTTTTTTATTCTGCTAGTTTTTAGTATACACTATAAATACATCATGTGTGAAATTTTCAACTTTCTAACTATCACGGCTCATCAGATACAGCCTGGTGACAGACGGACAGACAGACAGCGAAGTCTAAGTAATTTGGTCCCGTTTTACCCTTTGTCATCGTTTAGTTAATTGAGCCCATTTGTATGCTAGCATAACGCTCACTACAAACGTCGCTTATTTATCTCTGTCTGCTCAATAAATCGCGAAACAAATCTATAGGGAACAGTTACTTCGCGTGTTTATGTTGTCAATTGGACGACGACCTCCAATGCCGCCTTGCGGAGTTTCCTCATATTTCTCCGTGTTTGTGCGCGTCTGTTTGTTTTAGGTCGCATCCGCGTATCACATGTCTAGCATATATATCGGAGTTGCTGAATGCAGCGATGCATTCCCCTGTTGTTCAAAACTAACTTGGATTCAGCGTTCACGTCGCGGCCGATTATGTAATTTCATACTGCATCGATGTTTAATTTATGATTTACGATGTTTTAGATTTAACGGTAAAATTACCTTGATTAATTGGAATCAAAACAGAAAATGAGTGCACCAGAAAATGCAATTTGTTTCTAAATAGTGAAACGTTTAAATTTTTACAGTGCTTATCTCTGCATATTAGATGAAACATTAAAATTTGTAGAAAAAATCGACGAAAAGTTTTTAATCTACAAAATTTTTAAGTAAAATGTTTAGTTCATACTTCAAATTGTTGGATGCAATGTTTGATGTAAACAGATGTCTAAGAATTAATTAACTGTTTTATAATAATTACTAATAAAAGTGTCAAAATATGCGTCAGTTACGTGGAAGAAGTAATATGTATGTTAACCTTACTTAAGTTGTTCCGTAGAAGTGAATCATAACTTAAGCGACACAACAATGTGGTAAACCATTATTTACTAAGAACTGATTACGAGAACTCTCCGGAAATACCAACAGATGGGAAATTGCCGACGTGGAGCGATATATATTATTTTTTGTTCATAATTAAGCTTTCGGTTATGGCGAGGAGTTTATGACGGAAATAAGTTGTGACAATCAATATAAGTACTATGATAACCGAGCTTCGATCGGTATTTTTTCTCACAAAAGAAGGAACTTAAAAAAAAGCAAAAAAGAGAAAAAAAAAACCAGCGGGACTTGAAGCGAGGTCTTCTAGGTTCGGGACCGCCCGATTACCGCCCGAGCTACCTTAGGGAGGGGAAATTTACCTTCGTATTCTAATGTTATTTTTCATTGCCTTTATCGCCCCCGAAACGAGAGCGAGAGAAAATATGCGTGGGCACACTAAATTCCATGGAAATCATTGGAGCCGTTTCCGAGGTTCAGATTAAACCGACAAAAGGAAAAAATAAAAATATCCTCGAATAGCGATCTGTTCAAACCAACCTGAGGTTCTTGACCATGCGGCTCTCGCTGGGCAGGTCGAGGAAGTCCAGCAGGAAGCGGAGCCGCTCGTTGATCTCCCGCGTCTCCATGCCGAAGATCCAGCCGAAGTACATCATGGTCTCCTTTATGGTGAACTCGCCGTACAGCGCAATCTCCTGAGGCATGTAGCCGACGCGCTTGCCCGGAACACCGGAGCCTGGGCGGCGGGGAACGTTAAAATTAAAGTAAAGTATCAGCCTGTACATGTCCCACTGCTGGGCGAAAGCCGCCTCTGTGCAGAGGGTATCAGGGCATAGTCCACCACGCGGCCCCACAGCGGATTGGCGGCTCACAGATCTTCGAAATATTTTTTTGTTATTACTTCGAAAATATGCAGGTTTCCTCAATATGTTTTCCTTGACCGCTGAGCAACGTGATAATTCGGCACTTAAAACTAACAATTTAATTGGTGCCGGCACGGGGATCAAACTCAGGTTGCTCGATTATATTGAATTAAAGGCGAGCGCCCGGACACTGAGCTATGACGGCTTACATAAAACATTAACGTTAAACTAAATTGATGACTCCGTGGCGTAACTGCCAAGGTATCGGCTTCGGCGTCGGGGATCGTGGGTTCGATTGCCACACGGACATGTGTGTGACCATCAGATAATTGTTTCGCATCTGGGTGTTTGTCCACGTGAAATTTATGTTTGTAAAACGCCCTTACAACTCAGGATAATGTTGTCCTAGGGCAATGTTTTTTAAAAAAAAAAGACCGTCTGACTGTCCGCCTCACCAGGCTGTATCTCATGAACCGAGATATTTAGATGGTTGAAATTTTGACAGATGTATTTCCTTTGCCGCTATAACGGAAAATACTAAAAAACAAAAAAATGTTTAAGTGAGGCTCCCATACAACACACGTGATTTATTTGCAGCATTTAAAGATCTATTGTGGTCATGGCCTGAAATTAGGAATACCTAAACTGTTTTACAAATTTGGCTTATCTTCAATGTACAAAATTTTATAAATAAAAGGTAACTGAATGCTTTTGTGACTTCGTGGTTATCCGCACGTGTATAAGAGCCCTACCACAGTTGCATGCACGCTTGAATTAATAGTTACCTTTGGTCCCAGGCTTGCCTCCGAGCACCCATATTTCGCCGCTGTTCAGTTTCCGCCGACCCACGATGCAGGAGAGGAGCGTGGTCTTCCCGCAACCGGACGCCCCGAGTAGACCGTATCTGGTAAAAAAAAATATGGTAAATATATATATATATATATATATAAGTCTGGAGAACAAATACAATATTATGAACTAAGAACCGTGGTAGCTCATTATCTGGGAGCTCGCTTTTAATTTAACATAGTGGAGCAACCTGATTTCGATCCACGCGGCACCGATGAAATTATCGGACCCAAAAATACAAACAGACGAGAAAACAACTTTATATCACCATAATAATATTATAGCATAACTATTCAGAGACGAAATGCAGCTAACGTTCTTGGCACCATTCCGCGTGGATTAGGTTTATTAGATAATATGTAATTTTATATAGATTGAATCTTGTTAATATGTAGTTTTCATCTAATAATAATTGTTTATAACTTGAAAAAAAAAAACTATTATAATAATGATGTATTATATTTATCCTCACAATATATGACAAGACGATACAATATCATTTCTGAACGAACACGACGCTACTTTTGCTCTACAATAATATTTGATAGAAAATAGTGTCAGTTTCACGATCGGACGGTAGAATACGTAATTTTAATCGAGTTGATGTTGTTAATATGTGTAGCGTTTAAGAATTGAAGAAGCCCCGCTCTGAATGTTGAAAGTTTTCGGCTTTCACTCGAAAATCCGGACCGAATCGTGTCTGTGAGTCATAATCGCATCTGATACGAATGCGCCGACAAATGTTCCGAATAGAGCTGCCAATATGGCCAATATAGCGTATTTAGAGACCTGCTAATATATAGCATACTAGCGACCCGCCCGGCTTCCCACGGGTACAATGTATTATAAATATAAACCTTCCTCTTGAATCATTCTCTATTTAGTACAAAAAACCGAATCGAGATCCGTTGCGTAGTTTTAAAGATCTATGCTGTTCGGTTCAATATTGAACAGCTTTGTTTGCACTTTTTACCTAAAGTCCATCAATACGTTGTAAGCATTAAAATATACCGCGACAATCAATCAGTTCGCGTTCGGTCATCAAGCAAACCACGCGTTCTCAAAATATCATAACTATCATAAATATCATATCATATTATAAGTATCATTTTATATGTATCAATTTAGTAATAAAGTGTTGTTATCAGTACTATTATCATTTTATAACATTATATCCGGTGTTAGGAGTTAGCCCAACATAATTATGCTATATGCATATATACAAAAACGTCCTGCGGTCTGTCTATTCCTATATTATACGGACAGACAGACAGTGGAACGACTTTGTTTTATACTATGTAGTTATATAGTGGATGCGGAATTTAGCCCCCGTGGCAAAATGTTAGAGTTACTTTGAGTGATACAAAATATTCGCTTGAAGTTTAATTACTAACGAACTTTATTGATATCCAAATCTGATGTAACTCGAAGCATCTTTAGAAGCGATATAGATTAAAAATTACAAAAACAATCTATAAAGTTATAAATAAAAGAGTTTAATAGTCGCTTAAAAACGTTCTGGAAGTTTTAAATTACCTGTCTGTATGTTCTTTTGCTGGGCAAAAGGTACCTATTAAAAGTATTGAATTTGTTCGATGATTAACTTCACGTTATAAATGTTTGAAATATTTTTTTGTTATTATTTCGAAAACGAGCCGTGATAGCTCAGTGTCCGGGCGCTCGCCTTTAATTCAATATACTCGAGCAACCTGAGTTCGATCCCCGGTGCCGGCACCAATGAAGTTTTTAACTTTAAGTGCTGACTTATCACGTGCTCCGCGGTGAAGGAAAACATCGTGAGGAAACCTGCATATTTTCGAAATAATAACAAAAAAATATATATTTCGAAGATATGTGAAGTCCGCCAATCCGCAGTGGGGCCGCGTGGTGGACTATGCCCTGATACCTTCTGTATAGAGGAGGCCTTTGCCCAGCAGTGGGACTTGTATAGGCTGTTACTTTACTTTACTACTTTACTATTACTAAAACATGCAAGTTTCCTCACGACGTTTTCCTTCACCGCTGAGCACGTGATAATTCAGCACTTAAAATTGACAATTTCAATGGTGCCGGCACCAGCTAGCTAGAGCTATCGCAGCTCAATTCTTTCAATTATAAATAATGAAATGCAGAAAATTATAAATATAATTACAAATTATAAATATAGCCTGTCACGATACGCGATAAACCAGCGCGCAAATACGACTAAGAGACCTTAAGTTTAAGTTTTAATTGGTTTTTTATCAAATAGAATTAGGAATTCCCAAACAAGTATTGCGGCCTCATTAAAGCACCGTTTATTGTGTGGGCGTTTTCTTTTTGTGAGAAGTACCTAATACCGACATCTTTTAATCGCATATTTGTTAGAAGTTTAGAGATGTTTCTTTTTTTTTTTAAAACATCGCCCTTACTTTAGGATAACACCATCCTGTGTTGCAGGGACGTTTTACATACATAAATTTCGCGTGGACAAACACCCAGATGCGAAACAATTATTTGTGGGTCGTATAAATAGTTGTCCCGTGTGGGAATCGAACCCACGACCCCCGACGCCGAAGCCACCACGAATACCTTAGCGACTGCGCCACGGAGTCATCTATCATTTCATTATCGTTGCTACATATATATAATGCTGGCTAGCTCTCAATTACAATCATTACAAGTCTGCCAATTCGCGGTGAGGTCACGTTGTGTACTGTCTTTTTTCTTAGCAGTCCTCAATATAATAACTTTTGAATGTCGTTTCACCTGTAATTGAGATACTATTTAGTTTAAGATACTATATACTTATTTATGTTTTAAGCTTGTTTTGATGTGTATCTTGTTGGTGAAGTAAATAAATAAATAAATAAAATAAAATGTCCTAATACCCTCTGTGCATAGGCCTTCTTCCAGCAGTGGTACACGTTTCATATATAACTCCAACTCTCCAATATTTTGGGAGTCGGTACTGTCACCGTCAAATCTACGGGCACAGGCTGATTACCCTTTCATTACAATGGCTTCGTACACCATGCCTAGTGAGACTTGTAGCTGACGAATTCGAAGAACAATGGCTCGGTACCCCCGCGACGAGCCTGACGTCACAATACGCGATAACATGTAGGAAATCGACGCGATCGCAATTAGAACCCTCTATTATCTTCGCATTAAAGGTCCCTTGGCCCATACACGGCGCTGGCGCGAGGCACAATGGGCCGTTGTTCGACGATTCCAGAGGTTAATAATCTTTGGCTGACCTTGGTACTGGCACAGCGCCAGAACTCTTCCTAATTCGCCGCAGTGGATATGACTAAGATTGCAGCAGATATGTGTATTTCTTTAAAAAATAAACTAAAGGTCAAAAAGTTGCAAAAACCTACAAGAAAATGTTCAACACCCCTGACTGTTGGATAACTGGAGGGTGCTTTAAATCGCTGGCGTTTTTAGTTTAAAGTTACTTCATCAATCTCTACGCTGGAGACACCTTTATTGTACTCGAGCGATCAGAACTAATTTCGAAATCCCCCCAGACCATTGGTCATTTATTTTTAAGTCTTACTTTTGGGCACTGAACTAGTGGTAAGTGAAATTAATGTACCATCTTAACCGTACCGGGCAGACATATGTGAGTTAAGTTGTAATTTTACCAAGCTTTACACAGCAGCTACTTTTGGGTTGTGGGTATTTTGTTCCGAGTAAACGATATTGATCTGATTGCTCTGTAGAGCTCTTGCTAAGCCATCGGCTTCAGCGCCGGGGGCTGTGGCTTCGATTTGAACACAGGAATAGTTATTTTTTTATGTTGCAAAGTTAAGCGAACTGGCGGTTCACCTGATGTTAAGTGATAACCGCCACCCATGGACATTTGCAACACCCTTAGGGTTGCAGACGCGTTGCCACCTTTTAATAAATCGCGCCCCGGCTTCCTTACTCACCCACCAGACGGAGCGGAAAAGTGAAACTTCCACTTCACGCCGGTCTTCTGTGAGGTCGTGGTAATAACCCGGACGGATGCCCATTTGTGCAACAGTGAACACTTGCGTGGCCCGACCAGTGCCACGACCTCACAGAAGACCGGCGTAAAGTGGGAGTATAATACTTTCGCGTTTCGTCTGGTGAGTGTGGTGGCCGGAGACCAATTTTCAAAAGGTTGTCAACGCATCTGCAGCTCTCGGGTGTAGCTGATGTCCATGGGCGACGGTATTCACTCAACATCAGGTGAACCGTCTGCTCGCTTGGCAACTTTTCACATAAAAAACACCATGTTAAATAGACGAGATACTCACATAGTCCCTTTTGCGACGGTCATATTCAGGTTGCTGAGGACGTGGTTGGGCCGTTTGTTGGAGCCGTAGTGTTTGAACGCGTGCCTGACGCACACCGCTTGCTGTCGTTTCTGCCACACCTGCCAAACGAAACGGTGACGTTCATTACGCATGTGAAAACAGAGAGAATCCCGTACTGGACTACGTGTCTTCTTTTATCTGGAGGGAAAGGAAAGAGGCAGAGACAGTAGATTACAGCTTATTTCTTTCCGAATGGGGTAAATGCGAGTACTTTTTGAATGTGATAAATCTGAACCACTTGTATTGGAATCCGCGATGTTTATTTTGAAAGTTATACGTCCCAACCACTGGGTCTATAAGTTGTGTAATATCCTTATCAGCCGACTTCAAAAAAGGAGGAGGTTGTTCAATTCATTTGTATTTTTTTAATGTTTGTTACCTCAGAACTTTCGACTGAATAAACCGATTTTGATGATCCTTTTTATATTTGAAAGCTGGTGCTTCCCATTTTAATGTCATTTGAAAACTAATTATAAAATGAATACAGAGCGAGATATTTGAAGTCGATTTTGTTTTTCATTAATAAAAAAATGGCCTTGTTACCGCTAAGTTGGTACACGTCAGTAGATGCACAAAGATAACAATGTCAAAATAGGTAAAGGAGTGATTAGGTTGCTTTAAAGAATAAATGAAGAAAGAATAACCAAGAATGTGTTATATCATTACTACCTGCTTCTCATGGATAACAATTGCGAATCTAAGTCATACAATTAATTTCATACAAATAAGAAAGTGGAAATTATGTTTATTTGTCTATTTTCAATGTTGGTTTTCTGGTTCTTTAAATATTTCGTTAAGAAGATTTGCCGTAGCAATATTTTCTGTGTATAATAAAACATTGTGAAACAGATAATCTAAAAAAACCGTTATTGAAAACGGATAAAATTACATAACAGACTACAAAGGCTGACTGCTACATCATGAAATGGCAATATATGTATTTGATACAAAAAAAAAAGTATGTGAAATGATTATGTAAGAAAGTATGTATGCAAGAAAGTAAAGTAGGCTGGGCATTAAGGATATGTTGGATATGCAAAAGGCCATTTTGCTATGTGGATATTCAATAAAATACACTACATCGCTATTCACGCGAAACCGCTATCGTTAAACTTGATCAAATCAAATCAATAAAATCATCTTTATTTGTTATGATGCCTTTGTTTTAAAAAAATTAAGATGCCATGCTTATAAAAAATTAAAAATGCAACATGCAACCGTTAAGTCTTAAATATATAAAATATTAAAGCCTATGTTGTAAATGTAACATACCAGTTACAGTTGTAAATATTTGTGCTTTTTTTTTCTTTTTTTGTAAAATGTATAAATATGTATACTGTTGGTGTGTCTATAACAATGAAATAAAGTAAAAAAGAGTTGAGTTGAAGCGGCATTAAGCAGTAACGTGTAAGAAAAAAACGTTAAGATTAATTGTTTCGAATTAGAGTCGTGACTGATGAAAAAAACTACGGAAACGAAGGACCTCCTCGTTTCGCGCGCACTATCACTTCCTATATTAACTTTAATGCTAACGATGAAGTAAAATTATTGCACAACAGTCCGAGAGAATGATGCTCGTTTGTTTTAAATAAAAAAAATATTTTTTTTTTATTAAAGGCAATTCATTCATAATATGAATGTATTATCCTCTCTGTGCATGGTTAAATAAAAAATATGAGAAAGTTTAAACTTTTAAATGAAGGCGTTTTGAGTAGTGACACTTGATAGTTTACAATAAGTTGGATATTTTTTCATCAGAAAATATATAAAAATTTCGAAATTAAAACTGTTTTGAGCAGGGCCTTGAATCGTCTTTGACAAATCGGTATATGGCAGTTTTCAATATATTTCACGTGAGCTCCATAATGTTCTATCTCCAGTAAGCAAATCTATATGTACATTGAATATTGACACCAGCCGATAGTTCGAAGAAGATATTGTGGTCGATAAGGCAATCTCAGAAGGTGCCTTGTTATAGGTCTTTCCGAACCGTTACGACCTGGGAACCTTCGAGAGGAGAGCGTACTCTTTCCTAAGAGGTCGGCAACGCATTTGGAAGCCCTCTGGTGCTGCAGGTGTCCATGGGCGGCGGTGATCACCCACCATCCTACACGTTTACCCATTTTTCTCCATAAAAAAGAGCTTTCCGTGGATTCAATAGTTTAACCGTTAGGAGAAGCGAAAAGCCGCGTACATAAACTAGTCTAATTACAAAATTCGAGGCTCACCGTGCTGTCCTGTTTGTCCAGTGGCGCTGAGAACTGAATCTGGCTCATTTTGGATTCCTTCTCGTCGCCGGCTGGCGACGGAGGTGAGGTCTCTCTGTAAATAAAAAGAGATAGCGATACATAAGTCATGCTCTTCTTTATCTATTTCTTATTCTTCTTCTCTTTCACGCACCCTTAACTTCTAAAGGCTTCGCACGGGTACAATGTTATTATACATATAAGCCTTCCTCTTGAATCACTCTATCTAGTTAGTAAACCCCATCAAGATCCGTTGCGTAGTTTTAAAGATCTAAGCATACTTCAGGACAGACAAACGACGGGACGAGCGGGACAACTTTGTTTTATACAATGTAGTGATTATTCATATAAATATAGGAATGTGACAAAGGAATGTGACAAAAGCCTCCTCTGTACAGAGGATTATAGGGCATAGTTCACCATGCAACCCTTCTGGTGTTTAGGTAAATACCAGAAGGGTTCAAGCTGATCACGAGCTCCTCGTTTAACCTTAACCGCTTAAGCGTATAAGTAATTAACAATTTCATTGGTGCCGTCAGAATTGTGAACTCATATAGCTCGAGTATATCGAATTAAAAGCGAGCGTCCTCGACCCTGGATCACGGCAACTAATAAGTTCAATTTGAGTCTTGTTAAATGTGTTCAAGACTGAACTTCACAAATGGATCAATTTAATGCCGGTTAATTTCTAATTGCAGTTTCTGAGCGCGGCCGAAGTCCTGGAAAGCTGGCTTGTGTCTGTTTACGTAGTATTTCCACATTAACCTCTAAAATATTCTAAAAGATTTAAATATTAGTACCCGGAGGACCGAGCTTTGCTCGGTTTGTTTTTTTTTGGTAAATCGTGTATTTTGGAAATTTAATTTATCGATCTTATCGACGTAATAATAAGAAAATATGAACTGATGTTTTTCACAAAAGAAAGAACTTTAAAAAAAAGGGAAAAAAATAACAAAATAACAAATCCACAAAAAATTAAAAACAAAGAAAGCAATGATCTGGAATCGAAATAAAAGTAAAAAAAAATGTGTAAATGATCGTGACGCGAACCACGGCCGTCTGTTTTGGGGCCGCCCGATTACCGACCGAGCTATTATGACATTTGCTCTTGCGGCGAAATTTACCGTCATATTGAACCTGTTTTCAGGGAATGAAGAATTATATTTTTCATTCCCTGAAAACAGGGATAAAGGGACATTTTCTAAAAATGAAACCTAGCTAGATCGATTTTCCGCCCCCGAATCTATGCACATACTAAATTTCATGAAAATCGCTGGAGCCGTTTCCGAGATTCCGATTATATATATATATATATATATATATACAAGAATTGCTCGTTTAAAGGATAAGATATAATGATATTATATTTAATATTAAAATATTTAAAAATATTCTCAGTGTAAAATTTAAATCCTTTCTTGGCTGGAAGTTAAGCGTTTTTTTGCATATATTGATCTAGGTACCTATATGTAAAAAAAACTAGGAGCTGTGGATTTTGTTCCTTAATATTATAAAATAAAAATAAGATTTAACGATGTTATTGAGACGCATCACTAATCTTTATGTACATATATAATTCTCCAGTACGTGTGTATGTCTGTCACTGAACTCCACCTAAACGGCTGGACCGTTTTTAATGAAACTTTTTGTGTGTGTTCAGGTGGATTCGAGAATGGTCGAGATTCACAACGTTATTCAAAAGAGTTTGCAATTTTTGAATTTAAGACGTATGTACAGGACAACGTTGGGTCCGCTATTCATGTATAAAATATTAATATGTCGAATAATTTATGAAAATATTAATATTAATATGACGAATTTTATAGACAACCACTTCTTGTAACCAAATTTGTCTCTCTTATGTCTATGCCATCGACATTCATTTTTAGACGATATTCCTACTGGGTCACGCTTGGATCTTTTAAAAATTATGAGTAGTAAGTGGTACAATACAGTTTTCACTGTTTTTTTTTATTTAAAAATAAAAGACAAGGCAAACGAATTAAACTCAGGGTCTTGGCTTAGAGTCCTATGACTCCCGGCCTCAAGCCAATATCTTAGCAACTGCGACAACGAGTCATAGCATATAAATGATTATACAATTCTGTATGATTACGTATAAAAAAACACAACAAGAACCACTGCATTTTTAACAGAGCAATCGCAATACATACAGGAATAAAAAACATGTTTACAAGTATATCGTGACGATGCCTGATCTTATTTCCTTATAGCTTGTAGTTTAAAGTTACGACTCGGTTAAAACATATAGTTTTTATAACATATTTAAAGCAATTTTTGTTTCTGCAAGTCATCTTCATACAACCAACCGGCAGAAGACCGGCATGAATGGGAATAATTAGGCTTTTGCGTTTCGTCTGGTGCGTGAGATAACTGAAAGGTAACCCACTGTTTTATAGGTTGTCAACTCATCTGCAAGCCCTAAGGTGTAGATGTAGATGATTGGCGGTGGTAGTCACAACAACAGTTGCACCGCCTGCTTGCTTGACAACTTTTCACGTAAGCATAATTAACATTTGCCACACCCGTAGGGTTGCAGATGCGTTGCCTTTTAATAAAGTGCGCCCCGGCTACCTCACTCACCAGACGAAACGCACAAGGACAACAAAGCATAACACTTTCACCTCACGCCGGTTTTCTGTGAGGTCGAGGCACTTACCCGGACGGACCTGCCCATTGCCACCACAGTGTTAAACCTTACTAATAATATAAAGGCGAAAGTTTGTATGTATGGATGGATGTTTGTTACTCTTTCACGCAAATGCTACTAAATAGATTTTAATGAAACTTTGCAATAAGATAGCTTATGCATCAGAATAACACATAGGCTATAATTTATATACATATTTATTTAATTTATATACATACTAGCTGCTGCCCGCGACTACGTCTGCGTAGAGGGGTGAAAATTTAGGGTTGTATGTATTTTTGTATGCTGTGTCATAAAAAAATAGAAACAAAAAGTTTTATATAAAAAATAAAAAAAATTTAGGGGTGGACTACCCCCTTAACATTTAGGGGGACGAAAAATAGATAGTAACCGATTCTCAGACCTACTGAATACGCATATAGAATTTGGTAAAAATCGGTCAAGCCGTTTCGGAGGAGTTCAAGTTCGAACCCCGTGACACGAGAATTTTATATATTAGATTTTATTTATATCTGTCTTTCTGACTGAATGTTACGCCTTCAGCCTATTCTACGCAGGCGTAGTCGCGGGCATCAGCTAGTATTATAATATTTATAAGTAAAATTATTTATTTGAGGCAGCAATAAAGTTCGCACGCCATTCGCCGTTTCAAATATACAGAGTAGTTTTAATAATATTTATTTATAATTTTAAAGGTTATTACAATTTTTTTTTCTTGAAACCAAGTTATTTAATATGTTATTCACCACATATTTATTCTTGCGCAAAAACGACCAACAAACGAATTAACATACCTACTCGTAGTGTGTCATTAAAAACTTTGTTTTTCCTTGCTTGGATATATATTTAACCTTTGAGTCTGTATGGAATTATGGAAGTGTCATTTTATCCATTAGATGCAAAAAGTCATTTCAAATTCGTTTTTTCCTGGAAATTACTATCTTGTACGTTACAGTACGGTACATTACTATCGTTACTTATCTTACGTTTGAAACTTATTACGTTTTTATGTTCTAATATGGATGTATGTTTTTCTTAAAATAAAATCGTTTCAAACAAATACTATACGAAAAGACTTACATAGAAATATATTTTTATGTAAGTCTTATCATTTAAAATTATCTTAGCGCTAAATTTGCCGTCGTGTACTAAACACAATTGAAAAGGAATACTTTTAGATTCATACTACGTTTTAAAAGTTAAGGGTTTCACACGAGTTTTTGGAGGAATCACATCTACAATAAAGGGGATACCTACGGAGTTTCTTTCGGCTATTTGTTCTCCGTTAGAGGAACGTCTAACGAGCCATTGGTAGATTTAAAAGAGGACTTTTTGATAGATGAAATGTACGTACGTCTCTTATTTCGATGAATAAATGATTTCATTTGATAAACTCTCTATTATTTTCGACGCATTATCCACATTCATCCTTTAATAATAAGAGCTTGTCCAGTTGATCCACAAATGAAATAGACCGAGGCAATTGAAAACTTTCAGCGAAGACTTTGAGCGTAGATTCTAAACAATGTTGGAACAATAAAATGACGTCTTACTTTTCATGTATAAAGGTAATTAAATGATAATGGTAATTTAATTAATTTATAGGTTAAGCATAACTATTCAGCGAGGAAATGCAGCTAGCGTTCTTGGCACCATGCCGCGTGGATTAGGTTTATTAGATAATATGTAATTTTAGATAGATTAAATCTTGTAAATATTTGATCAATAAAGATTGTACCTTTACAAAAAAAAAAAAAATTTAATGACTCATGATATGTCTAGTGGCTTAGATCAAATGAACGAGTCAAATTTCGCTTTAACAGCCAACAAAAACGCGTCATGTATGTATATTTAACAATATGAAACGTCAAAAATTAATTATCATTTGCAAATTGCGGCGAATCCTAGCCCATTACCTCGACTCGTTCTGAGGTAGCGAATTCTAACTACAGTTGCGTACACTCAACAAAACGTAGAAGTTACTGAGTTTCTTGGCGCGCACAACAGACAAATGTGGAGCAACGAATTCTGCAGTATAACTCGATTTGAACCCATTACCTCATATGGGCACTGTAACTGACGTTACATAATAGAATTTTTCTTAGTTCCATCCTTACATGGCATTTCTTATCCTCCTATACAATGATGTTTACTAACATATATGACGCATATTCATACTGCGCGGCGTTTAAAAATTGTAACACTTTACATTATACATGAATGTGACAGATGATATAGAACGTATGATACGGAAAGAGATAGTAGTATATAGAAGTGTAATTTATGTATTGTACGTTATTGCATTTTAAAAGATATAAAATTACATATGAATGGTTCACCGAGTTTTGCCCGCTCTTCCCTGGAAACTGGTGGTAGATGTGATTTGTTTGATGTATAGCGAAATT